CGCTCGCCAGAGGACGGGGAGCGTTGCGTGAGTCCATCTTGTTGTGTGTTGGTCGTTGTTCAGTGTGTATGTGTGAAAGATGTGGGAAATCTAATAAAATGTCTAATATAATAAAACGTCTATTTGCAAAGTGGGAATAAAAGGAGGATGAACAGCCAAAGGTGTTCAAGAAGAAGAAAGACCCACAGAAGAGAGAGTGAAGAGAGTAAGAAGAAGAAGAGAGAATGGAAAGAAAAAGCGGCTCGTTTGGCGTTAAAAAGTTTTAAAGTCTCTGTGAGAGGAATTACAACAGAGAGAGAGAGACAAGGGGGAATTTACACACACACAGAGCAACACACACTCTACAAAAAGAGAGAGAGAGAGACTGTGAATAAAGAGGGGGAAAGGAGAGGCAGAGAGGAAATTTCTCTCTTTCTTTTTTTTTTTTCTGAGCGTCATTTTTGTTGTGTTCCCTCTTGTTGTGTTTAATTAGGAAACGGACCAGAGGCCGAGTACTCGTTGGGAGAGAGAGAGACAGAGAGAGAGAGAGGGGAAAAAGGGGGGAAACAGGTGTAGACAGAGAGATTTCCCATGCGGTTCAACGTCCGTTTTGGCATTGCATTGGCACTATGAAACGCTCTTATTACGTAATCCATGCATCTGTTTCATTCCCAAATTGGGAGTTCTTCTCTCTCTGAAAGCGGCATGGGAACCCATGTCATGAATTTTAGTGCAAAAATTGTAATACTGCGCCCCACAACCTGTAGTTGGCAAGGAAAGATCCCGGCTCGTTATCAGATAAAAGAATGGGAGAATGACGTGAGAAACGAGAGAACGAGGCTATGACGGGGGGGAATGACATGCGGGGTCTCTCTGGGGCTTTGAACGACAGAGCTTGTGAGAAAGAGAGTTTACTACGGGGTGGCTATGAGCTAGGGAAGGCCATGGCGGGTGTCTAGAGTACAAGAGATTTTGCCAAGAATATGACGTTTTTTTGCACGTCCACACAGCCCACCCCACACGAAGCAACAAGAGGCACCGCGACTTTTCAACATGCCCAAGCAATTTGCATTCCATGTAGGCCATGACATGTTCTATGGCCCTGCTCGCCTACACAGGCACTATGGCCATCCTGTGGCATTACTATGGCCAATTGACAAACCCACGACAGCGCCCTTTCGAGGGAGGCTCCCTTTAACATCCCTACCAAGAGATCCCTGCTTGGCTGCTTGGCACGGAGGAAATGACTGCCCATGACAGGATGCTCAACCAGATCTGTCCATCTACAAATGTCATAACGATATCATTCTGGCGGTTAATCTTGCAGCATGCGTATCTACAGAGATTGGTCTACAAGTACTTGTAGATAATTGCATAGCTATCTATCCCGACTATCCGCATGGGACATGTCATTCCCCAAAACGCATTTTGCGCAGCAAAGCATCAGAATACAAAAATGGGGGCGCCCACGTTTTTTCAGAGGCCGTGGGGGCCATGTGGTCACCGATCGTCTCAGTCACACGGGCTCACGTGAAATCCCGATCTGCTTGTCCCATTTCTTCTTGTTTGAAGCGCGGCCATGTGCATTGGATGGGGTGTAGTCGATGTGATGGACGGGGAGTTCCATGAACGACAAACGACAATCGACAAACGCCGGCGGTCCCTCGGCGAAAGAACTTGGCGACGATGGACCACGATGGACGGCGATGACCACCGTGGAAGGGCATTTCCCATCGTAATGACAAGCCCATGTAACATTAAACTTACCACTCTGGTGGAGGGACGCGGTCCCCTAAATGTAATACTAAGCAAGCCGCTGTACAAAGGCCCCCTGCGGTCCCCAGGAAATACCAAGATATGCGTGACTGTAACAGCACCGTTTCCTGTTTACCATATTGATTATTGACACGTTCATGGCAGCAGGGACTGTGGGTTATACTAAACAGACACCACATATAGAACAAAAGTCACACTTTCAGATGAAGAGCAATTTCTTATCCATAGGACGCATCGACCCTTAGTAACAGGTGCAATGAACAATACCATACGTGGTGTGCAGAATGGCATTCCAGAAGCAGCACACAGGAAATGTCGTATCCACCTCTTTTATACCTGGAGCCGTGGGAAAATGCGCAGCTAGTTAGCAGACGCGTCCAGGTCACGCGTCCGGACTCGCTTATCTAAGCAACTCCGACGTGTCAGACATCTATCAGAGTGGGAAAGCAAAAGAAAGTTGGTAAACGTAGAGAGTGGTTCCAGGCCAAGCGGTCGAAATGGACGTGGATCCCTCGGTGCAAGATGCGCCGGAACAAGATCCTTTGCCAGAGAGTGTGCCGGATAATGCGCCGGAAGGTGTGCCCGAGAGTATGCAAGGTAAGAGTCATCATTGGCACAGCTAATTTTCACGCTGGCCTTAAATGCGCAATCATCATCAGATGCACCAAATCAAGTCGAACCGTCGCCTCCGCAAAAACCCATCGAGACTTTACACCCATCTGGCGACGACCTGCTCATGCTTGAGCAGCTTTTATCTGAAATTTACATTCCACTACTAAGTCAAATCGATCTCCGCGATGAGCATGATTCGGCAACGCATGCAAGAGGGCCCGATGTATCCGGTTCCGAGCACATACTTGACGAGCAAACTGTAAATGGGGCAGCAGGAACGGACAAGTCCGAGGGACTCCGAACTGAGCTCGTTGTATCTATCCAAAAGTTTGCTAGTCAAATATCTCATACCGCTCAACAAGTATCCAGTGAAACGAGGCTGAAAATCCCAGAAGAGCTAAATGTCCTACAAGGGCTATCAGATTTAAATGAGGCAGTGAGGAACACGAACCTGGTCAAATCATTAGAGACATTGGCCGAGGAATGGATTGATACGGTGACCAATGTGTTGGCAAGGGAAGCCAAAAAGACGCCGGTCGGAAACGTACGAGCCCAAAGTTGTTCCTTTGTTCAACATCATTGTTTTTTAGCTGATCCAACTTGTATAACCTAGGGGCCGTTGGCTGAAATTGAGTTTTGGCGAGACCGTAACGCGTCCTTATCCACTCTCTATGAACAACTCAACCTTCCCATTGTACATTCCATTGTACAAATCCTCACAAAAGCACAATCACCCGTATCCTCCTCCCTCGAATTCCAACTCGGGGAGTTGAACAAGTTTTACACGGAAGCAAAAGACAATGTCAAATTCCTTAGTACCCTTGAACGGCACTTTAAAAACATTATCACAGGTAGTCTCAACAGCGTCCAAGACTCGCTTCCGTCCCTCTTGAATGCTATACGTATGGTATGGATTATTTCTCGGCACTATAATCGGGATGAGCGGATGGTGCCTTTAATGAGCAGAATTGCATGGGAGTTGGCAAACAAGGTGGCCAACATTGTGAATATTCGAACGATATTCCGAGAACCCCCGGTGGAAGCCAAGAAAAAAATTGTCGATGCAAAAGACTTGTTGGAAAGCTGGCGGAAAACGTATTTCACTGTTCGAGAACGAATTGAACAATCTGGGCGTGATCAGCGGTGGGAATTTGATCGCAAGAAACTCTTTGAACAAACGGATTACATGGCCCTTCGGTGTGCGGATTTTTACAAGATTGCCGAAATTATGGAGCAGTTTTACAGTATCTTTGGACCAGAATTGAAAGCTGTTACTGGAGATCCACAGCAAATCGACGAAGTCATCAAACGCGTTGAAAACCTCGTAGTCCCCTTTGAATCCGTTCCATTTGATGTGTTTTCCAAAAAGTATGGCCGCCCCATTTCGTATGCCTTACCCGTATCATTTCATCTTATTTTTCTGATATGATGCAGGTATCAAACGGCTTGGGAAACACTCATGTCCCGCTTTCGAGAGCAAATCGTTCAAATTGAAGATATGGCAAAACAATTCATTGACGCCTCGTTCAAAAAACTGCGATCAGCAGAAGGAGCTTTTGATCTCTTGCAGAATATTAAGAATATTAAATCGAGAGAATCAATCAATAATCAGCTTATGGGCAAGTGGTATGAAATTCTGGATCAATATGCTAGAGAGGTGGATATCATTGATGAGATTTTCAAAAGTCACAAGTGAGTGGTTTTTTTTTTTGGAAAGATGTGAGGTGATCTATGTGCGGTCCTTTTAAAAACAACTTTTATAATGCTAGGGATAATCCTCCCTGTACGAAAAATCAACCAAAAGTTGCCGGTGCCATAGCGTGGTCCCGCTCCCTCTTTTATCGCATCAAAAAGACGATTGTGCGGTTTCAGTCTTTGCAAGGTTAGCATTAGAAAAGCAATATGTGTTCAGAATGGTAAAGACTTTGTTGTAACAACATTTCACCAGAGATGCTCGCAAGTGATCAAGGTCGAGCGGTTACAAAGAAATACTTGACAGTAGCAAAAGCGATGCGAGAATACGACGAGCAGGTTTGTTATGCCTGTATTTATGTTTCTAGCAGTCTAATCAAATCCATAACCTAATACTTTTTTCAAACCAATCCCAACACAGCTATACAATTCGTGGTGTCAGTCCGTTGAAGCCAATTCTCTGCAATACCTCAAATCCCATATTCTCTCCAAAGACGCTGGAGCGGCTTACACGGGTACCGGAGCACCTACCACACCGGATACCTACACGGGCGGAAAAGGCGAAACGAATCGAAAGGTTTATGTCAACTTTCGCCCCGAGTTGAGGGATATCATCAAGGAAACAAAGTATTTGGATAAAATGGGGTTGACTGTCCCTGAGGTGGCTTTGAATGTTGCGTTGCAGGTATGGAGTATATGTGTCAGAATTGGGCTCGATTGTTCTGTAAATTGAATATCTTGTTCGAAATAGGAAGAGAAATACTACACTTATGTGGAAAACCTCAACACAATGCTCAATAGCTACAATTCCATCCTGGATGTCCTAGACAGTGCCGAGCGCAAATTACTGCAAACCCACATTGCAGAACTCAAGCGTGTCATGAAACCTGGTTTTACGAGGTTGAATTGGAACTCGCTTGGAATACCAGAGTTTATCTCCCGGTGTAATTCGGTATACTACAGGCAGTTTCTTACTACTCGTTCGCTCGCAAAAGTGAGCTTAACATAATCTCATTTTTTGGAAAAATAGGAAATCAACAAGTTTTCGTCCATGGTCAACCAAATTCGAAAGAATTCTGCCAATATTTCCAATGCAGTTGACCAAATCTCTTGCGCGATGCTCATCAAAGAACCGCCAACGGATAACATTCTAGATGCCCATGTAAGTTTTACCTTGACATTTTGAACATACTATGAATGAAACTAAGAACTTGTTCGTTGTTTCCTTGTCATTTTATAGGAATTTTTCGAGTTTGAGCACAAGAACCGTGCGAACGTTCTTGAGACCATTGTTCAGAAATACAAGAGCATTGGTCCGCTTCTTATTAAAATGGAATCACTTGTTGCAGGGACCAATACGGGGAAAAGCAAGATGCTACGAGAATACTATGCACATTGGGAGAGAAAAGTGTTTTCTGCATTAAACTATGTAAGAAGAAATCGTTTTCTTGTGTTTTCTTTCGAACCATTTACGGCGAATGAATGAATTTTTTATAATGGTTAGATGGTAGTTAACAATATGCAAGTTCTCGAAAACATGCTCAACCTTCGTACGAACGCCCGTCGTTCCAAACGCGCCATTCATATATCATCCATCACAAAACCCCGTCGAAGCGTCCCACTTTTCAAAGTCAGCGCTTCCCTCTCTGCCCCCGAAATCGTCATATCCCCACTCTCGGCCGAAATCTTCAAAATGATGGTCAAACTCGTGCGATCCATTGTTGATTCCACCAAGCAATTTCATCGATGGATGAATGGTACTTGTATTATTACACCACCGCAAAAGGTTGCTGAGGATGAGGACCCGGTGACATTCAATTTTCATACCGACTTGTGTGCGAATCAAACGATCATTACCATGATTGGATCTCTGAATGCTTCCATTACCAAAACCTTTGGGGGTTTGAACAAGTGGCTGGATACGTGGAGAAAGTATCGGCCGCTATGGAAGGTTGACAAGGTGAGATTATATATCTGTTCTTTTTTTTCGATTCTTTTTCCTGTAATGTTTGTTCTTACATGGCCCTTCCGCAGGTCATCACCTTGGAAAAGTTTGCACAAAAAAAGCCGTCTGTTGTCATGTATGATGACAAGCTCGCATTTTACTCCAAGCTAGCAATAGACGTGCAGAGCAATCCGAGTTCCAAAGATCTGGACTTTATCCGTGTGATCTCGACACCGTTACAAGCTGCCATTCATAACGAAGCAAAAGGCTGGATTGATTCAATTGGTAAAGAGTATTTGTTAATGCTCTCCAAATTCTTTTCAACTGACACTTTTCTCTCACAGGAAAACATTTGAATAATATGGGAAGAGAAGGTCTCGACCAACTACACGAGCGAATGGCAAACTACACGGCAGATTTACAACGAGTTCCCGAGACATTAGATGACTTGACATTTGTCCTAAACATTATTGCAGAGCTACGATCCGCCTCGGAAGATGTTGAAATGCGGTACAGAGATATCATGGAGGCATATCGGACGTTACAAATGTACAATATACAAGTTGATCCCGCCGAACTAGAGGCCGCCAATTCTCTTCCCGAAAGTTGGCAAGCCATGCTAGTCAAAGCCAAACAAGTCGACGATGACCTTATACCCGTCAAACGAAAATTCACGGAAACAACTGAAAACCAAGTCAAAGAATTCAAAGCTGAGCTCAAAAGATTCAAGGACGAATTCTCCGCTACGGGACCGGGTGCAATGGATTTGGATATGGATCGTGGGTTACAGTTGTTAAAGGAAGCAAAAGAGGTCATGGCCGCTCTCCAATCTAAAAGAGAAGCCCTAGTCCGAGCCGAGAAATTGTTTAATTTGAACATTACGTCTTACCCAGAACTCCACGAACTCGAAAACGACATTAAAGAGCTTGACAAGATTTATGTACTCTATATTGAAGTCAAGGAAGCCATATCATCGTGGTCTACAACACTATGGGTCAATCTGGATATCAACGTCCTAAACAAGGGTGTTGAAACCTTTTCAACGAGATTAAAACGTTTACCAAAGGAACTTAAACAATTACCACCTTACAACGTCGTAGCCGAAAAAATCGTCACCTTCAAGGACTCTATTCCCCTCTTTGCCGATCTCAAAAATGAAGCTCTCCGCGAACGACACTGGAAACGTTTGATGGAAATCACTGGAAAATCCTTTGACATGAATCCAGACAGTTTTACCCTTGAAAAACTCTTTGCCATGAATTTACATGAACATTCTGAAGCCATTGGGGAGATTGTCGGTGGTGCCATGAAGGAACTCGGTATCGAAAATGGAATCAAAGAAGTGGAAAATACGTGGAAGAATTGTAAATTCACCATTGTAAAGTATATGAAAGGCACCGAGGACCGAGGATTCATTCTTGGAGCCATTGACGAGATTGTGTTGAATCTGGATGATAATGCCATGTCACTTCAATCCATGGGTGCATCACGATTTGTCGCTGCCTTCCTCCCAGCCGTACAACAATGGGAAAAAATTCTATCCCATGTCGGGGAAGTATTGGAAGTATGGATGGTCGTTCAACGTCGCTGGATGTACTTGGAATCCATTTTCATTGGAGCGGGTGATATCCGTATGCAGTTACCTGAAGAAGCGGCCCGATTTGATCGTATCGACAAAACATTCAAGAAACTCATGAGCGATACTGCGAAACATAGTCTAGTACTAGAGGCATGTAATGCCGAAGGAAGGTTACAGCTGCTTCAAAATCTGTCAAATGAGCTTGAAGCCTGCCAAAAATCCCTATCAGACTATCTAGAATCCAAACGAAATGCTTTTCCGCGCTTCTTTTTCATCTCTGACGAAGAGCTCCTATCTATTCTTGGAAGCCATGATCCCAAAAACGTTCAAGAGCACATTATCAAAATGTTTGATAACGTCCTCAAATTGAATTTTGGGACCGGCAAGAACGAAAAGGCTGTGGTAGGCATGTCATCTTCCGAAGGTGAAACCCTCGACTTTCGACGAGTTGTCCCCGTCGAAGGGCGCGTAGAAGAGTGGATGACGGCAGTTGAAGCTGAAATGAAACGATCCAATCGTACCATTCATAAAGAAGCTGTCTACTATTACCCAGACATGGAACGACTTGCTTGGATCCAGGCTTACCAGGGTATGGTAGCCCTTGCTGGTTCCCAAGTGTGGTGGACATGGGAGGTCGAAGACGTCTTTCACAAGATTAAAGGGGGAAACAAGCTAGCCATGAAAAAGTATGCCAAAACACTGGGAGACCAACTCGAACAACTTGTCGTCAAAGTCCGATCCGATCTAAACTCCAATGATCGCAAAAAACTCAATTCGCAAATCATCATTGACGTCCATGCTCGTGATATTGTAGACCGTTTTGTTCGTGACTCTATCATGGATGAAACTGAATTTGAGTGGGAATCCCAACTTCGATTCTATTGGGATAAACAAGCCGATGAACTTCTCGTTCGACAATGTAATGGTGTGTTCGACTATGGATATGAATACATGGGTTTGAATGGTCGATTGGTGATTACACCCCTCACGGATCGATGCTACCTCACCTTGACGCAAGCACTGTCAATGAAATTGGGTGGAGCTCCTGCCGGACCAGCAGGCACAGGAAAGACTGAAACCGTCAAAGATTTGGCCAAAGCAATGGGATTACTTTGCATGGTGACAAATTGCGGTGAAGGAATGGATTACCAAGCCATGGGAAAGATCTTTGCTGGTCTCGTTCAAACCGGTGCGTGGGGTTGTTTTGATGAGTTTAATCGTATCGAGTTGGCAGTCCTTTCTGTCATCTCTGCTCAAATCAAGACCATTCAAAATGCCCTCGTGATGAATTTAAAGAGATTTCAGTTTGAAGGGAATGAAATTGGACTTGATAAAAAGACGGGTATCTTTATTACCATGAATCCTGGCTACGCTGGACGCACGGAGCTTCCAGATAACTTGAAAGCTCTTTTCCGTCCTGTCGTCATGGTGGTACCCGATCTCGAATTGATTTGCGAGATTATGCTCTTTTCAGAAGGGTTCACGCTCGCAAAAAGCTTGGCGAAAAAAATGGTGGTCTTGTATAAACTCGCCAAAGGTCAACTATCCAAACAACACCACTACGATTTTGGACTTCGAGCCTTGAAATCCGTGCTTGTCATGGCTGGCTCTCTCAAGCGTGGATCACCGGATTTGAATGAAGACGTTGTACTCATGCGTGCACTGCGTGACATGAATCTCCCAAAGTTTGTCTTTGAAGATGTGCCGCTGTTCCTTGGGCTTATCACGGATCTCTTCCCTGGCCTCGATTGCCCACGTGTGAGATACCCCAACTTTAACGACGCTGTCGAAGAGGTGTTGCGAGAGAACAATTATATTTTGGTTCCGGAGCAGGTGGATAAGGTTGTGCAGCTTTATGAGACGATGCTTACACGTCACACTTCCATGGTCGTTGGTCCAGCGGGTGGAGGGAAATCCGTTGTCATTGACACACTCGCCAAAGCTCAAACCAAGCTGGGTGTGACAACCAAGCTCTATACGCTGAACGCCAAGGCAGTCACAGTCGCGGAACTCTACGGTGTTCTTGACCCAGTTACTCGAGACTGGACAGACGGATTGCTCTCCAACATTTTCCGTGAAGTTAATAAACCCACAGATAAAAAGGAACGAAAGTACATTGTGTTTGATGGCGATGTTGATGCTGTTTGGGTCGAGAACATGAACTCGGTCATGGACGACAACCGTTTGTTGACCTTACCCAACGGTGAGCGTATTCGACTCCAGAAACACGCAGCACTCTTATTCGAGGTCGGTGATTTGCAGTACGCAAGTCCCGCGACAGTATCCCGTTGTGGAATGGTGTACATGGATCCCAAAAATCTCGGGTACAAACCCTATTTTCAAAAATGGGTCAATGCACGGCAGAATAAATCCGAGGGAGATATTCTGCTCCGGTTGTTTACAAAGTACGTGCCACCATGCGTCGAGTACGTCCTCGAGGGAACATTTGAAGGGTTTGTTGCGGAGCCTTTGAAGCGAGTCATCCCTGTCACTGCACTCGCCATGATTTCCCAACTTTGTGCACTCTTGGAAATGCAATTAACGGACAATAAACAGCATTCACAAGAATCGGTCATTGAAGGGATTTTCATCCAGTCTCTGACGTGGTCCATCGGGGCAAGCCTTGTAGAAGATGACCGAACCAAATTCTCGGATGCCATTAAGAAGCTGTCCGAATTACCGTTGGTGCATACTGCCGCAGCCATTGCGCTTGGTCAATTGCCAGGAAACGAAAAGTCCATTTACGATTACCACTTTGATGCTACAGAACTGCAATGGATACCCTGGAGCAACTATGTCCCCTCTTACGAACACAATCGTTCACAGTCATACCATGAGATCCTGGTACCTACAATGGACACCATCCGACACTCGTGGTTACTCGAGAAACTGGTTGCCATTAGACGTCCGGTCTTGTTTGTCGGTGAGACGGGAACATCAAAGACTGTGACTGTTCAGAAATTCTTGCGAGGATTACCTTCCGACAAGAATTTCCTCCTCAATATCAACTTTTCATCCCGCACGAGTTCCTTGGATGTTCAAAAGAACTTGGAAGCCAATGTCGAAAAGCGGACCAAGGATACCTATGGACCAGCTGCTGGAAAGCGCATGATTGTGTTTATCGACGATCTGAACATGCCTGCAAAAGACACTTACGGCACACAGCAACCCATTGCGCTTTTGAAACTACTTATTGAGCGCGGCGGTATTTATGACCGAGGCAAGGAGCTCAACTGGAAATACTTGAAAGATGTCCAGTTCCTAGGTGCGATGGGTACGCCCGGAGGAGGCAGGAACGACATTGACATCCGCTTTGCATCCTTGTTTTGTGTCTTCAATATCACTTTCCCGAAAGAGAACAGTCTGCAAAGGATTTATTCCAATATCCTACAAGGCCACCTAACGCCCTTTTCAGAGGGTATCAAGCAAATAGGCGACAGACTGACCACAATTACTCTAAAACTGTACGCGGAGGTTTCCAAAAATCTCATGCCAACTCCGAGCAAGTTCCACTACATCTTCAACCTTCGTGACATCTCCCGGGTTTACGAAGGCTTATGCTTGGCAACTCCGGATCACTTTGTCGAAGCAAAACACTTTGTTAGACTCTGGCGAAACGAGGTTCTCCGCGTCTTTTACGATCGACTGGTCACGGATGCTGATCGCGACTATGTCACCAAGCTCATCAATCGACTCGTACTGGACAACTTTGAAACCGATGAAGAGTACATTACACGGAACCCCAGTTTGTTTGGCGATTTCCGGCATGCGATGCATGAAGAAACTGCACGGTTGTATGAAGACTTGCTCGATTTTACTGCTGTCCGGTCTATATACCAGGAAATCCTAGAGGAATATAATGAAAAGTTTAACAGGATGAACCTTGTTCTCTTTGAAGACGCTTTGGAGCATCTGACGAGGATTCATAGAGTCATTCGTATGCAACGTGGTCACGCTCTGTTGGTAGGTGTGGGAGGATCTGGTAAACAGTCTTTAACCCGCTTAGCTGCTTTTGCTGCTGGGTGCTCCGTGTTCGAGATCACCCTTACTCGAGGCTACGGAGAAGCAGAGTTCCGCGAATCTCTAAAGACGCTGTACTCCCAACTGGGATCTGGCAAGAAAACTGTGTTCCTATTTACGGATGCCCACGTCGTGCAGGAAGGGTTTCTGGAACTCATCAACAATATGCTCACCACTGGTATGGTACCAGCACTCTATGAAGATGACGAAAAGGATGCGCTATTGGGGTTGATTCGAGACGAAGCGGTTAAACAAGGGATTGTTCAAACAAAGGAAAATCTTTGGCAATACTTTGTCAACAAATGTTCGAATAATCTACACGTTGTCCTTTGCATGTCCCCTCAAGGAGATAAGTTACGAGATCGATGCCGATCTTTCCCTGGTTTGGTCAACAATACCATCATCGACTGGTTCCCACCATGGCCTGAGCAAGCACTCTTCTCCGTTGCGGATGCTTTCTTACGTGAGGATTTGGTCCCTACTGAGCATCGAGGTTCGATTGTGCAGCACATGGTGGGAGTCCATCTGTCAGTGGGAGTTGCGAGCAGCGAATTCCTACAAAAATACCGACGAGCCAACTATGTGACTCCAAAAAATTATTTGGACTATGTAAACACTTATAACCGATTGCTGGAAGAGAATCGCGATCTGAACACTCGCTCTTGTGCTCGTTTGGAAACTGGTCTGGGAAAACTCGAGGAATCATCGCGACAGCTGGATGTCCTCAATGCACAGTTGGCTGAACAGAATATTGCAGTCAAGGAGAAGACCGAAGCATGTAACAGGCTGCTGGAAGTAATTACTAGCAGCACAAAGGAAGCTGAAGAAAAGAAGGAGCTAGCGGAAAAGAAGGAAACCGAACTGGACGCCCAAAATACGCAGATTGCTAAAGACAAGGAAGAAGCTGAGGCGGCGCTTGCCGAAGCATTGCCTGCATTGGAAGAAGCTCGACTAGCATTACAAAATCTTTCTGCTTCCGAAATCACTGAAATTCGTTCCTTTGCCAAACCGCCCAAAGAAGTGCAAAAAGTCTGCGAATGTGTTTGTGTTATCAAGGGCATCAAAGATGTTTCATGGAAGAGCGCCAAAACCATGATGTCCGCAACAGATTTCAAATCATCTTTACAAGCCTTGGACGTTGATGGAATATCTAGTGCACAAATCAAGGCCGTCAAGGGCATTTTGAAAGAAATGGATGTGTCCATGCAGCGGATGAATGAAATCTCAGCTGCTGGTGCTGGGCTGTTAAAGTTTGTACTGGCCGTGGTGGGCTACTGCAACGTCGCAAAACAAATTGCCCCCAAACGTGCAGCTGTGGCAACACTGGAAAAAAATCTTGCCCTATCCAAAAATGAGTTTGAGAAAATCACCAAAGAGTTGAAACGGTTGAACGACGAGCTCGGTTCCCTGCAACAACAATTTCACCAAGCAAAAGCGGAGCAGCTCGAACTTCAAAAGATGGCTGAAATTATGGAGCGGCGCCTTCAAGCAGCCGATAAGCTCATTTCTGGCTTGGGTTCAGAAAGAATCCGTTGGGCCAAAGATCTAGAGTCCCTGAAGGAGCAGCGTATCCAACTCGTAGGTGACTGCCTCCTTGTCTCTGGATTCCTCAGTTACGCTGGTGCATTCAACTGGGAGCTGCGAAACGACCTCATCTACAAGCGATGGATGGTTGATCTGTCCTCCAAGAGCGTTCCAATCAGTGCCAATTTCAAAGTTGAAAAACTTTTAGTGACAGATGTGGAGATGAGCAAATGGAGTCAAGAAGGTTTACCCGCCGACGAACTATCCATTCAGAACGGTATCCTTACCACCAAAGCCTCTCGCTTCCCCCTTTGTATCGATCCACAACAACAAGCTTTGAATTGGATCAAGAAGCGTGAAGCTGCCAATAACTTGAAGATATCGTCGTTTAATGATCCAGATTTTTTGAAGCACTTGGAAATGGCAGTCACCTACGGTTTCCCCTTCTTGTTTGAAGACGTTGATGAATATATTGATCCTGTTATCGATAACCTACTGGAGAAGAATATCAAAGTGCAAGGAGCCCGAAGGTTCATTGTTTTGGGGGACAAGGAAGTTGACTACGACCCCAATTTCCGATTGTATTTGACATCGCGACTTCCAAACCCGACCTACACCCCCAAGATGTTTGGGTCCGCCATGATCATCAACTACAGTGTGACATTCAAAGGGCTCAGTGATCAGCTCCTGAACGTTGTCGTGGGACACGAAAGGAAGGAGCTCGAGGAACAACGCGAACGGTTGATTGCCGAAATGAGCCAGAACAAGAGTCTCTTGAAGGATTTAGAGGATACGCTGCTTCGAGAACTTGCATCGTCCACAGGGTTGATGCTGGACAATGTGGAACTCATCAGGACACTGGAAGAAACAAAATCCAAGGCAACTGAAATTGGACAAAAGGTGGTACTTGCGACCCAAACATCAGCTGAGGTTGAGATTTCTCGTGATGCCTACCGCCCAGCCGCCAAGTGCGGGGCTGTCCTCTTTTTCGTCCTGGCGGGATTGTCAACCATCAACCCCATGTACGAGTACTCACTTGCCGCCTTCCTTGAAGTATTTTCCCTCTCGCTGCATCGCAGCAAGCCCGATGCTAACCTTTCAAAGCGATTGACAAAGATTATGGATACGTTGAAATACGCCGTCTATAACTACGCATGCACGGGCTTGTTCGAGAAACACAAGCTCATGTTCTCATTCCAGATGACGATTAAGCTCATGGAAGCGGAAGGGATGATTGACCCGGTGGAGCTCAATTATTTCCTCAAAGGAGATATATCCCTTGAGCAACCCGCCACTGCCAAACCCTTTTCATGGATCACGGACCAGGGTTGGAAGGACCTTCTCCGTCTGACGACCCTCAATGCCAACTTTTCCATGTTGGCCGAACACGTTCGCAAAAATGAAGAGGAATGGCAAGGTTGGGTGCGACTTGATGCTCCCGAAAATGCACCATTCCCAATGGATTACTCGAACCGACTGTCTCCCTTCCAACAGCTCTGCGTGCTCCGGTGTTTCCGCACCGACCGTGTCTACAATGCCGTGACCAACTTTGTCATTAAACACATGGGAGAAAAGTACGTCATGCCGCCGGTGATCAATTACCAAAACATTTTTGAGCAATCGACGCCGACGAGTCCGGTGGTCTTTATCCTCAGTCCGGGAGCAGATCCACAGAATGACCTGCAGAAATTGGCAGAGGCCCGTGGGTTTGGGGGAAACAGGCTCAAGTTTTTGTCACTAGGGCAAGGACAAGCCCCGATTGCATTGCAATTGCTAGAAACAGCTGTATCTCGTGGACAGTGGTTGATGCTGCAGAATTGCCATTTGTTGGTAACTTGGTTGCGGACATTAGAAAAGGTTCTCGAAAAGATCGAGAAACCGCATGTAGACTTTAGATTGTGGCTAACGACAGAGCCAACACCCCAATTCCCCATCGGCATCCTCCAACGATCTCTGAAAGTCGTGACAGAACCTCCCAACGGACTTAAACTTAATCTACGCAGTAGCTACTACAAGCTGACAGAGGAAACCCTACAAGACTGTGCTCACGAGGCGTTCCGTCCCTTGGTGTACGTTCTAGCCTTTTTCCATGCTGTAGTGCAAGAGCGTGGCAAGTATGGCAAGATTGGGTGGAATGTCAAATACGACTTCAATGAATCGGACTTTAGAGTGAGTATGACCATCTTGCGAACGTACTTGAACAAGACAGCTGGCGTCAAGGACGCAAAGATTCCATGGACGACGTTGCGGTATCTGATTGGTGAAACGATCTATGGAGGTCGAGTGACGGATGACTACGATCGCAGAGTACTGATGACCTACCTTGACGAATACCTCGGAGATTTCCTTTTCGACTCTTTCCAACCCTTCTTCTTCTACTCCAACCCACAAGTCCAATACAAAGTCCCGAGACACGGCACCAGAGATGACTACCTTACCTATATTGAAGGTCTCCCTCTGACAAACGCACCTGACGTGTTTGGTCTCCATCCAGACGCGGAAATCGGGTACCTCACCACAGCCGTAAAAGATATGTGGACGCAGCTCATCTCGCTTCAACCACGGACTGCAGAAGGGGCAGGCGGAATCAGTCGGGAGGAGTTTATTTCCAATATTGCGTCAGACATCCAAGCCAAACTCCCTACCATGTTTGACATTCCCCGAATTTATAAATCGATCGGCACGCCTTCTCCTACGCAAGTCGTCCTCTTACAAGAACTTGAACGATGGAATATACTGGTGGACCAAATGTCGACCTCCCTTCGAGATCTGCGCCGAGCTCTTAAGGGTGAAATCGGTATGAGTGCTAAACTGGACCAACTTGCCAATTCGCTCTTCAATGGCAACCTACCCAGCATGTGGAGATCCCTCGCTCCACAGACAGAAAAAGGTCTCGGAGGGTGGATCACGCATTTCGAACGGCGCTTCCAGCAATACTCCAACTGGATCAAGAACGGGGAACCCGTCGTCATGTGGCTATCTGGCTTACATGTTCCAGAGGCCTACATCACCGCCCTTGTTCAAACCACCTGCCGCAAAAATGGATGGCCACTGGACCGGTCGACATTGTACACTCAAGTCACGCAGTACACGGACCCCAAGGAAATACAAGAACGCCCCTCGTCTGGTTGCTACGTCCAAGGCCTCTACCTAGAAGGCGCAGGCTGGGACATCAAAAACAATGCGCTCATTCGTCTTGAAACTGGCGGAAGGCTCCTAACTGAACTTCCCATCCTCCGCATCATCCCCATCGAATCACACAGACTGAAGCTCGTCAACACGTTCCGAACACCAGTGTACACGACCCAGCAGAGACGGAACGCCAGTGGAGTCGGGTGGGTGTTTGATGCGGATTTGAGTACGAATGATCATGGGAGTCATTGGGTACTGCAGGGGGTTTGTCTGCTTTTGAATACCGATTGAAGGAGCTTGTGGGTATTGGTAGAGATTTTGTACATAATATTTAATAAAGATCTTGTCGATTAGACCCTTTTCTGTTGACCTCAAATGTCTAGCCGTCGACAGAGTAAACACATCTACAAGAAAGGATGCAAACACATATGCATACAAGTGAGATTTCTTCTTATGCTTTACAAAAAAGAAAATTATGTACAGAAGGTCCCAGCGTGGTCCATTATCCGCCATGACACAAGCCCACTAGCACACCACAACCTACTCACCAAACCCAGCAAAGGACCCGACCAAAACAACATAAAATAATCATTTTTCATCCAAAACCACCACCGGACTCCAATTCATTGGCACACCCTCCTCTTCCAACCTCATACACTCCTCCAGATGCATAATCGCCGGAACATCCCACGGCACATCCACCAAGTACGTCTCAAAGAGGACTTTTGCCTGTTCGAATTCCCCTTGACAGTAATAATCGAATGCTTTTTCGTACAGCATCATGCGTCGAAGGACGGCGGGATCACACGCATCCAGAGAATCGACGAGCTCATAACACTTTTTAGCAACTGTCTTGCCTTTAACTGCTACATAATCGAGAGGGCGAAGTACAAAATACTCGTGAACCTGATCGCGCACGGCGTCCGACACAATGATGGATGTGTTGTAGCGTTTGTTAAGACCTTCAAGGCGGGAGGCGAGGTTGACGGTGTCGCCTAGGCAAGTGTAGTTGAGACGAGTAGGGGATCCGAGGTTACCGACCAGAGCGGGGCCAGTGTTGAGTCCGATGCGGGCACGGATCTCCGGGTAGCCTTTTACCAACCAGTCTAGGATAGAGCACATCAGCCAATAGTTTTCAAATAGGCTGCATATAAACACCCATCGATAATTTACCATCTCGAAGCTCCTTTAACCGCTCCTGTGATTTGAGTGCAGCATCGCATGCAACAATGGCGTGCTCCTCTAAATACAAGGGAGCATTCCAGAACGCCATGACAGCCTAGTGTACATAGAAGACGAGGTTTGAAAAAAAAAAATCCAAACTCATCTATGAAAAGAGCTGTGCGCTTACGTCGCCAATGAACTTGTCAACGATCCCTTGACTTTCGAGAATGATGCTCGACATTTCGCTCAGGTACTCACTGTACGCACACGTTTTCAACCACAGTATTCGCTAACCGACAGTATTGACAAAGGGAAACCTTACCTCATCACAAGGACCAACTGCTGTGGACTCATACTCTCAGCAATCGTTGTAAAATTGGCAATATCCGAGAAGAAAATGCTCAAACTCATTTCATCGACACCCAACACCGCCTCTCGCTTCATTTTCACCAACAGGGCGACAACATCCAGTGGAACATATTTGCTAAAGCTTTTTAACCCAGAGGTCATGGCGTCCATGGCCGTATTGAGCAATTGGATTTCTTTTAGCACAAACGGGACTTGTTTGCTTCGTGCGGATGCTGCCGAACTTCGACGGCGTCGTCGGGCGGATCGGGATGTGGAGCGGGAACGCGGTGGTAAGAAAAACGACCGACGAACCGTAGAGGATCGACCTCGGTCTGTTGAATCTTGCGAATCGTTACTATTTCTCCGCCCCGGGAAGGACCATCCAAATCGGAGACTCGCTAGACTCCAGCGCCGTCTAGGGGGGTCCTCGTAGTCGCTTCCACCATCCGTGTCGTCATCCGAAAACGACGGTGCATCCTCGTCAAAATTCAAATCTGCAATTCGCATCATTTTCTCCGCTGCTCGTTTCAAAGGCCGCCCAATGGCCCTCGTGACGAGAAAACTCGCCAACGCCGAGGCAACAAGGACAAGCGCCGCTGTCAAGGGGATCGTGAGAGTGTAAATCTGTCCTAGACGGAGATGAAAGTATTGCCCAGGAACCCGCCCTATAATGGCCCACTGTAATCCCGCCCGAGGCTGATACAGGGATGCAATGACCAACGCACTGTCTGACCACACTTGCAAGGGGGCAGAGAGGATGGGAATATTCTCATCGCTAAGGACGGGTGTTGTAGGCAAATTTCTCAAAGAGCCTACTGTAGACGGTAAATCCCCCAAACACGGATCGCCATCCATCGAAGCAAACAATGGTGGAGGGTCATCGGGAGGTGGTGGCAACATCGCACCAGGCGTCGTCGCCAACGGAACATCTCGATTTCCAGGACACGTCGACGCAAGGATAATCCCTGTCTGTACATCAGCAATCACAAATTGAATAGCCCCTGCAACACTGGTATCATCGTTAAAAAGTACATCTGGCCGACTCGGGTCCAAATCCCTCAACAAGGCACTTAGTGATTGCTTTAAAAACTGCGAGAGGGACCGTAAGCGTATATCCACTGCCGCAATCGCGACCAGTGAATTCGTATCAAACGGGGACTGATGTACCGGCATAACATTGGTGAAGCCATATCCATCCCCAGATCCGAGATTATACACTCCGGTCCAACTTTCGAAAGGACTGGATAGTGCACGACGGTAGTATGGTCGCTGTGTTGCATCGTAGAAATCAATTGTTCCGTCTGTGGGTGATGCCAATAGATTGGCAACGCATGCCGGGTCCTCGTAATTGGGGCATGCAATCGCGGCGGTGCTGTTCAAGCTGTACGAGTATCTTGGGGCGGGTGCTGTCCCGTTTGCTAATCTCAACGTATACTTCCCCTGTCCACCTACTGCCTTTGGATCCGGAATTGTAAAATCTTCGAACCCCGGGTAAGAATTGACAAACACCCCACAAAAAGACCCTTTCAAATCCACAACATAGATCTGGTCCCCATTCCACCTCGTTGCTCGTTTCACCCGAGACCAGTAGTATCCAGCACAGACTTGGGTGTCGGGGCGGAGTGACCAAGTCTCGACAGCAGAGACCGTAACGGCGTTGGATTCTTCTGCGCGGCCCAGAGCCGAACCTATGGAGAGGGCGATGGACTTGAGGGCGACGGTGCCGAGGGCCTCGAGGGCGACCCGCGCATTATCTTTTCCGGAAACATAGCTCACAACCGCAATCACAATAATCGCGAATACAATAATAATGACATTGGTTAAAGCCATCGCATTTCTTAGTGACAACCACCTCGGAGGAAGTCGAACCGCCTTTAGCCACGGCGACCGTATCGACGGCGCATAAACATCCGATCTCCGCCGTCCACCCCCTGCTCCCTCGGCCGCATGACTCCCAGCGTCCAGCCGATGATGTCTCCCCGGTCTCCAAATTGATTGTGATAGTGTCCCGATGCTAAGTGTCTCATCAGGAGGATATTGCGGTTGGAGGATCAGTTTCCTATTTCGTATCGAGCCACTGGATTTGCGGGGATTGTTTGGAATGGATGCCTCATCTGCGTCGTCATCAGCAACATCCGCTTCATTCCCGTAGTCATGGGGGTCGTCTTCATCTGTAGGGTGGTGGTGGTAAAAGACTGCAGGGTGTTCGGCAACCACGGTGACAGGGAGGGCGTCGGAGTTAATGATGTCCCCAGGAAGAGGTTTAAAAATGCTCATGTTGGAGATATGGGTTGTGGTCGTGGTCGTATAGGTTTTGTCGGCTCCTGTCGATCGAGCTCGTTTGCGGCCCAGGGAGGATTGAAAGTCTTCTTCTGCTTGCTGTTGCTGCTGCTGCTGCTGTTGGGGTTGTGTGGGTGATGCTGTCTGCTTTTTCTCTTTTCCACTACTCCCTTTTCTTGGCGGTGGGCTCATCCGGGAGCCGGATTCTTCATCGGAATTCGATGCTCCCCCTGAAGACCTGGCACCACCCACTGTCCGCCGTTTCTGACATTGTTCCAGAAAAATGCGCATGCCTCGTTCATCGTCATCTGAGATGTAGTCAGGACCATTTGGTCCTCCACTGGGTTTGCGCGTTTGCCCCATGAAAGCCGAAAATGCCTTTCGATGTCCTTCCGAAAAACTTGACCCACTCCCCCTTCTTCCTTGAGCGATATGCTCCGTCTGTTCACTAAACGAGACACGCGGCTCAACATCGATTGCGCCGTCGCTTCCTTTCCGTGGACCATTGGCAGATTTTGGTCGTCCTTTTCCCTTTTCGTCAAAGCTGTTTGACCGCTTGCGCATGGTGGTAGGTGCGCTACCTTTTCGAGAGGGAATGTAGAGGGTGGTGGAACTCGGCCCTGCCTCACTATCTAATGGCAGCGCATCGTTGCGGTGGAGTGCCGGCTCGCTTTTGGTGCTGGTTTCCGAGGACTGGGGGTCACTGTCAGACGACAGCTCTGGAGGACGTTTGGCGAGAGCAGGTTCACTTTTGGTCCATGGGGTGGATGCGATAGGTGGTTGCTCAGGATTAACCTGGTTGATAATAGGCGAGGATGGCCGGCGGAGAGCTGGACGAAGGGGCTTCTTTTGCTTGGATGCTGGGAGAGCGATGGGAGATTTGAGTCCTATCGGTTGTGTCGTGATCGTGGTAGATGGCGATGTGGATGTTAATAATGGTGATGAGACATCCTGCCCTAAAGTAGCAGCCGAATCGAGACCAACAATAGTTGGAATCCCTTTCCATCCATTCCTAGGCAAAGACTGCGTCGTTCCTTCGCCCCGAACCAGATGATCATGTATCCTCATAACACCCAATCCCAGCACACCGCCCATAGCATCTGGAAGATACGATGCTCTTTGGAGCTGTTCTGGTACTTGTCCATCCTCCCGTTGTTGCTGGGTATGCCAAGAAGCGGGATTCGCTTCTTCCCCACATTTCACCTCATAACCCCCACTGGATGCGCTCGTTCCAGTTGACGCAGCACTTCCTCTCCGCACATATCCATCTAACGCTGCACCTGATCCTAATAGCGTTTTCCACGTTCGTGGAATATCGCCGGCGGAAGACGTCCGACGGATCGAACGGTGGAACTCGTCGCGGCAGAGTGAGGCTTTGAGTGTTGGACCAAGGATCCCGAGTCGGTCGTCAGGAAAGGGGAGTGTGAGAGCAGAGGACTCGAGTTGGGTCATGCTGGACGTTTGGGATGTGTGAATCGGGGGTGATGGATGTAATGCAGAACAGAGAGAAGAGTGCTAACCCTTAACAAGGGTTTTCAGTTTTTGTCCAACGACAAAACCGGTGCACCTAATGTAATGTAATGTATAAAATAAAAAAATAAAACAGATCGTATCTCCCAATGTCGCCACATACAAAGAAAAACACAACAACAGGTTATCCGCGCTCGTTACTCAACAGCAGTGCAGAAAAATGCCGGCCCATACAATCAAATCACCCGCCCTCATTCGTTATGTTGGAAACCCTCGTTTACCAACAAACCAAAATTCAATAGGGTCACCTACAGGCCTCAGCCAGAGGACGAGGAGACACGAGGGTAGCCCAGACCCAAGTCAGGATACGTTTATGGCATCCATGGCAGAAAGACACAAGCTATGCACAGTTGGAGTTGATAATGGCTGCTAGTGAATGGTAACACGCGAGAGAATTATTGGATATGTGCGCATATTGGACGTAACTGGCTGGCCCCGCCCGTCCGCGCTTTAGTTGGTATTGAAAATGCTGGATATCCCGACGGTTCGGCACGGGCCCTTTGAACAACAGGGGGTTGGGGGATTCCCCTTTCTAAATTTACGACCGAAGAGTAAGCAAGCTAGAGCCCTGCTTGAACAAAATCTCAATTGTCGCTTCCTTTGTCTGCCTACAATCAGCATTCTAAGCAAACACGTTCCGTCAGCATGCCCCTACGCGGAACTGCTACCAGAAGGGTAGACACAGATCTATTTGCGCGTGCAATACATGAATGGGACGTGACCACATCCGAGCGTAGGGTATTTTTTTTTATCACATCTTGGACATCGTTGTGTTTTGACAGGTCAGGTCGGTACGACCGCTCAAAAAACACGCTCAGACAACTCGTCAAGCACTCGGCAAACAAGACCAATACTGGAGCCCATATCACACAACCTGTTGCTCCCTCAAGATATCGCTCCCGCCCATAGCAGATATAAATATATGCGCATCAACTTTGGGGTTACCATCATGACTCAAATGACCCCTAGATACTTTCCAAAAGGAAACCCGAGCAATATGAACCAAAACGAGGTCGAGACCAAAACATACTGCGCCACGATGACGTAAAACTCCGATTTGAAGTTGCTCTGGTCACATGTTGAAAAACGTCTCCACTTTTGTGGGTTCAACAGTTTAATAGTCTTGAAGACAAATATCTAACGCATATACGACGATGCTAAAGATCGCCACATAGAACTATATATTTAACCGCCAATGTCGAAACAGCCTCTGGTCTCATTCTGGCCATGCCATGTGTGCACATTCTAGTAACGGTCCACATCAGCCTTTGGTGCATTGTCCAGGATCTCCTCGATCTCAGCCAAAATTTCGGGAGTAAGCTTAGGTAATATCTCTATGGCTTTCACGTTTTCCACCACCTGCTCCGGTCGACTAGCACCTAGTTCCACATAGTACAATCAGCAAGATGTCTACTAGCTGCCATTTTGAAGGGGTGAAACGTACCAGTGATAACGGTAGACACGTTGGGGTTCTTGGCACACCATGCCAAGGCCAATTGTGCAAGAGTGCAATCAAGCTTTTTAGCAATCGGCTGCGATACGTGAGCGTTAGGACGTATTGTTAAAACATTGCCCTGCATTGCCTGTAGCAAAGCGATAAACTATACCTCGAGTTTCTGAACTTTGGCGATCTTTGTTCTGCCTTCCTCAGTGTCTAGTGCGCTAGCTCTAATACGCTGGATCACAGCACTGTCCTTTAGGGCAAAACGAGAACCATCTGGGACGACCCCGGCGTTGTACTTGCCCGTCAGGACACCAGAGGCAAGGGGTGACCAGATCGTGGTTCCTAGACCGTGCTTTTTGTACAGAGGGGCGTACTCGACCTCGAACTGATAAATTAATTAGTAAATCTATAATCGCGTCCGCTGTCCGCTTCAGTGAATAGGTACCCTCTCACGGTGGAACATGTTGTATTGGGGTTGCTCCATCTGTTATTAGAAGTAATAATTAGCGTCAGCGTCGCCAACCCTGATCCAATGCGATGTGCGCTCTTAAAAAGTCTTACCAAAGGTCCAATAAGACCAAGTTTCTCAGCGATCCGATGGGCGTCGCTGATCTGCTCCGCGGACCATTCGCTGGTACCTATGCAGTTGATGAGCGTCTGCTTCCCTTATTAAAGGTTCTCCAAAGTATCACTCACCCCAGTAAAATGCGTAACCCTTTTCAATCACCCAGTTGAAAGCGCGAACTATTTCCTCCATAGGGGTCAAGTTGTCCGGACGGTGGGCAAAGATAAGATCCACGTAGTCCTGACAAACCCGAATAAATCTCGTAAGTAATAAGCATGCACCCGCGTGTGATAGTGTTAACTGCATACCAGCTGGAGACGCTCAAGAGCAGCCTTTGTTCCCTCGACAATGTGCTTGCGGGAGAGACCTGTGTCGTTGGGCCCTTTTCCACCCCAGTAAATCTTTGTAGAGATCACCAGATCACTGCGCTTCCAGCCAAAATGCTTGATCGCGAGTCCCATAGCACGTTCACTTTCACCTCCAGCGTATACTTCGGCTGATGACGAGAGTATCATATCAGATTTGGCACGGTCACGTAAAGTCACCACCCGGAAATACCATTGTCAAAAAAGTTGATGCCTGGATGATAGTGAGCTGTGAGTCTTTAACACTTACTATTTCAAACGCGAGGGTGTTCGCACCTGCATCATAGGCGGCTTTCATACACGAGAAAGTTGCTTCATTACCAACTTGTCCCCCAAAGGTAACCCTGCAGGTAAAAGAGATTGTGGCAAGATGAATAAACTAGCACAGTCAACGCCCCAGGCAACGTCCGAGAAACCTCCATCTGTAGATCACAGCTGGGAAACAAAGCACATGAACGCCGCACCCACCATCCTCCCAGAGAGAATACGGAAACCTTTAGCCCACTACGGCCCAAAAAGCGATACTCCATATTTGTGTTGGCAGCCATTATTGCAGGTTCAGTCCAAGATGTTATTGCAGAGTCAGTCCAAGATGAGAACAACAAGGAAAACCGTATTTCAAATCGAACTGCCATCGCCGTCACACATGTCGTGATCACGTGGGCGCAGCGATCACCCACGAAATCGCTAAATAGGAATTGCTGTTCCCTGCGGAATTTGGCCTCATGTGCGTTCGGCCCCAAAGTAGGTCGACATCTCTTGGCCACATCCAGGAATCTCCCCAGCCTATGCATTCCAGTCTGATATGATTTCCCATTATTTTCCACCAAGCAATATCATGGGGAGGAGGAGTTGTATACAGCATGGGTTCTGGTATTGCTTTACTCACGCCAGCATGGCTGCTGCTCGACAGCCTGCTATTCTCCTTGTATGTGCTGTAAGTGTCAAAGCGGATGGACGCCCTTTGACAGTTGTGATCGCTTGCAGTAAAAAGCCCGCGTAGAACAACGCGACTGAAATATGGAACATTCGCTGGGCTTGGACCTAACATGTAGGAGGTGTACATTTTGATATTAGTGAATTTAGGTCGCTGCCAAAGGCCCTCTATCTTTTGTCAACGTTCAAGGAGAATTGCTTAATGCCTTGTCTCCAAAATGCACCAGTGCGATAATTGTATTCGCTTCCAGATTTTATGCAAAACCTAGGTCAGTATCAGATGGGCCTACATCAATATGTGATCTCAACTTCCCCGTCACTTGATATCACCTAAGCCAATGACGGTCCGCACCTATACGCTCAAATGTGGTTTATATTTGCATCAGCCTTTTGCTATTCCAGAACCAGGTCAAGCACACTCAAAAGTGAACACGCAGTGAAAGTTTGAATGTTCCGTCGGAAGATTCCTTAACCAATTCAGAGAAACCACTAGATCAACATGCATTATTCACACTGGCATGGAGCTATACTCAGCCCGCAGTTTTCTTTTCGCCAGATTCCAGTCTTCTTGTCGTATTCTTTCCCTTTCTTATCAAATAAGCCTAAACTGTTGGATAGTCAGAGCGAACATCGTGCCGTATATATTTCCCGCAAGCCAGGATAGTTCAGCATTGTTTTGGCAATTTAAATAAATGCATAAGAAAACGGCGCAAAATCCGGCATAAACAGATATCTTCAATACTTTCATGATGAGATGTCCTATGTACAAACATACTATCCAATACACAGCACCATCCGCAAGTAAATAAATGTATAGTACTGTGTAGACTCCGGCGATGTTGTCCCTATGTTTCCATCCCTGGCTCCTTAAACCAGAATGTCTTCCTACTGAACCTTTTTACAAGTCGATATACCAACGTCATCACTTGAGGTCTGCCCAATCTGGAGTCTTGGCAGCAAATTCTTTCCAAGTGGTCAATGGCTCGTTCACGATCTAGAACAAAATTGCAAAATGTCGTTAGAAATCGTTCACGATAGGCTTCTGGGAATGCTAGAAGTACCGAATGACTTTCGTCAAGGCTTGCATTTCCATAATATCCAAACTCTTCCAGCAGTTGCATGTTTTGTAGCATTTCTTCCTGTACAAAGTCCGGCGCTCCGGTATAAGCTATTTTTTCTTTGTAAACGCTGGGGGAAACTTGCACAAATTTGGCAGTTTTCCCTGCTTCTGGCTTAACAGCCTTGAATTCTTCAACTATCCGCTCGAGTGTGTAGTACTCAGTAGCTCCAAAAATACGTTTCCCTAACGTCTTCTCTCGATGAAGAAGAATGCCTTTGACAAATTTTCCGGTATCTGCTGCCGCATCCAGCAAGGGGACGGGCGCACTGGCTGGTACAGGGAAAGCGAGTGTGTACGCTTTCGTATCTGGGTCGGGCCGGAACATGCCGCTGGAGAGATTGCTCATGTAAAATCCAGCCAAAAAGAAGGTAGCTGGGATGCCAATAGAGCGTATGTACTCTTCGACCTCGGCTTTGGAGTCAAAGTGAAAGACTTTATCGAGCTTCCCTCCGGAGACTATAGTATGGCGGACCTGACGGTGAATTAATTTTCTCCAATAGTGTCATTCACATGATGGCACTCACGTTTGGTCACATTCAACAGACTGCTCCAGATGAAGTGCTGAACATTGAGTTCCTTTGTACATGTAAAAGATGTTAGCGGCTGCATGATCGGCGTTGAAACCCTAAACGGGGCACACCTTTGCGACATCAGCAACGTTCTTCCCCTGTTGTATTTCCGCTTCTGCACTTTGCTCCTCCCAATAGTTTGTTACCGAAAATACTGCATATGCGCCCTTGAGCGCTGATCGCAGAGAAGCCTTGTCTTTCAAGTCCGCCTAGGGATGAACAAGGCGCAATCAGATGCGCTAAAGATATCATCTGGAGGGAACTGACAATTCAGCATACCTTGATAGTCTCAGCCCCCAGCTTTGAAAGAGCTTGAGCGCTCGGCTTTGACGTGTCTCTGGTTACGGCGCGAACTGAGAACTCTGCAGCAGTTTTGGGATCGCTCAGGATTGACCTGACGACAGAGCCACCTTGAGCACCAGTTGCTCCGAAAACGACAAGTAGTTTCTTGGAGGACATGCTTTTGCTGGATATCGAGCGATGAATGACTGATTCCAATACTTGGGGAGCGAAATGCCAGCTATTATATTTAATATAATTACAAATCTGACACTGCCATCATCGTGGTATTTCATCATTCGCACGCGATGACCTTTAGATGTGACTAACTCGAAATGGTTGCTTAAACAATACTTGAGTATTCGATATAAAAGGACAAACGTCCGCCGTTGAATGCAGAAAGGTTGCTTGGATGCTGAATCACAGTACGCGAAAACAGACGGGACATCCAAACCCTGGTGCATCACAAAAACACTCACAGTTTCATCCCTCTGGCGCGGGCAGATACCTTGAGGACGTCAGGTTCCTAACGATTTGCAAGAAAAGAAGGCACGTTTTTGGGTCTCCAAGTCACGAGCATGTATGGTTGTCGGAGTGCCGTGATGAGCAATTGAGCCAATGTGAACTCCTCAAGGGCATGACAAGCCCCCAAGAACTTGTTACTGAAACACAATGATCGAATCCGCAGAGAAAGACAAGACATTTGCGACGAACCAAACCTAAGAGTGATGCGCTGCTTGAACAAATTTACAAAAGAAAAAACAATGTCTCCCTCGAGGACTGTACCGCAACACTCGATATGTAGCAACCGCAATCAGAGTCATATACGATGGTGCACGCCAAGATCTGCACAAACTTGTTCCCTGGAATCAGCCTAAAAGCATGATGTGGCCATTCGTTTCAAAGCCCCAAGTCCGTATCTCATGCCAAAACAGTTCAAAAACTTACAATCCATCTAGTTCAGAAGATCGTTAATGAACTAAAAACAATAACCGTCATGTTATATCGATCTTGCACTCGATCCAAATACATCTGTTATATCCGTTGCACCAAATTGGACTTATCTCCTTCTTTGGATAAATGTGTGCCAGAATTGGGGAACCTATCATTGAGCAAGCGAATGATCAAGATGAGACTGCATATACTCTAGGGACTTTCGTGATAAGCCAATGAATTAATTAACGATAACACACGCGTGTGGAAACACTCCAAAACCTTTATCTTGACATCCTCTTGTGCGATCTTGAGATAGCAAATCACATGAGATGCTCTTCGCAAAGGGAATCTCTGCCTATAAAAGCATGGCTTTGTTCTCAAACTTCTGACCACCATAAGGTTTTTTATTTTTCATTAGTTGACAGTATTCATCATGGTCACATCCCATCTTTATGCGAATGACGGTCGCCCACATCCATTTGATCCTCTCTCGTTGGCCGAAATTGAGTGTGCGGTCGCCATCGTTCGGAAAGAGCACGGTGACCAACTGGCTTTCAATGCCGTAACCCTCTCAGAACCCAAAAAAAAGGACATGCTAATATGGTTGGCGGATCCTGAAAACGCGGACCGCCCACTGCGAGCAGCTGAAGTGGTAGTTGTGCATAAGAAGGGGTTTTTATATGATGGGGTTGTGGATTTGGAGAATGGGAAAATCGTAAAGTGGGAGACGATTGAGGGACAACAGCCCACGGTATGGAGAACTGGGAATGTCAATTATGCGAAATTGAAGACTTGATGCTATATCCTATTTAAACCAGATTACCATGGAAGACTTACAGAATACAGAAAAAATCGTGCGCTCGGACCCAAAAGTCATTGCCCAATGCGAGATCTTGGGTATTCCAAAAGAGGACATGGATAAAGTCTATTGTGACCGTAAGTTCTCAAAGTTCCACCAGTGAAACCTGGCTCTTACATTTCGTATTCCGTAGCTTGGACAATCGGATACGATGAGCGATTTGGCAACAAAGTCCGGCTCCAACAGGCCTTAATGTATTATCGACCGCATCCTGACGATTGTCAATACGCCTTTCCTCTCGATTTTTGTCCCATCGTGAACCCCGAAACACAAGAAATCATTCACATTGATGTTCCGCCTGTGCGTCGCCCCATCAACACAATTCCTAGCAATTACCATCCAGAGGCCATTAAAGCAGATGGTGGATATCGGACAGATATTAAAACGCTCAACATTACTCAACCAGAAGGCGTCAGCTTTTCGATGGCCGGACGAGCCATTACTTGGCAAAATTTCAATTTTGTTATTGGCTTCAACTACCGGGAAGGAATAGTGCTACATAACATTACCTACAACGACAAGGGCAAGGTTCGGCCCATGTTTTACCGGATCAGCTTGGCGGAGATGGTCGTCCCCTATGGAAATCCCGAGCATCCCCATCAGAGGAAGCACGCCTTTGATCTGGGTGAATATGGGGCTGGATATATGACGAACTCGCTATCGTAAGTCATCCAATCTTTTTTGTGATTTGGGCTCTTCCCTGACGATAATACAGTCTCGGCTGCGACTGCAAAGGGGCCATTCATTACCTCGATGCCGCATTTGTGAACCGTGCCGGCTCTGCAATCACGGTGAAGAACGCAATATGTATCCATGAAGAGGATGACGGAATCCTCTTTAAACATACAGATTTCCGAGATGGCTCGTATATTGTTACTCGGGGTCGCAAGCTGGTGGTCTCCCAGATTTTCACGGCGGCCAATTATGAATATTGTGTTTATTGGATATTCCACCAGGATGCCACGATACAGTTAGATATTAAGTTGACAGGCATCTTGAACACATACGCGATGGCACCTGGAGAAGATACGAAAGGATGGGGAACAGAAGTTCACCCTGGTGTTAATGTAAGTTTGGCGGAAAAAATATCATAATACCTTCCGTAAATAAGTGTTAACGCTCCGTAACATCCTAGGCTCATAATCACCAGCACCTATTTTGCCTTCGCTTGGACCCCCAAATTGACGGTAATGAGAATACTGTGATGCAAGTCGATGCTATGCGAGGACCAGGTGAAGTTGGGTCCGCGGAAAATAAATACGGAAATGCCTTTTACGCGCAAAAGACAAAGTTTACCACCGTCAAGGAGGCCATCGCGGATTATGATGGGAGTACATCGAGGACTTGGGATATATGCAATATGTCAAAATTGCACCCTTATTCAGGCAAACCTGCATCTTATAAGCTTGTTTCTCGAGAAGTCCCTCAGTTCATGCCAAAGGAAGGTGGCTTATGCTGGAAGCGTGCAGGATTTGCCAGACATGCCCTGCATGTCACAAAGTGTAGGTTGATCTCAGGATCTTTTTCTTGAATATTAGTGTCTTACCTACACCCTCCCACAGACGATGATGCTCAAGTACATCCGGCTGGCAGACACGTCCCTCAAACCTCAGGGGACCCGTCGCGAGGTCTCACGGAATGGATTCAGGCTAACCCGGACCAGAATATTGATAATGAGGATATTGTCGTCTGGCACACGTTTGGTCTGACACACTTTCCAGCTCCTGAAGATTTCCCAATCATGCCTGCGGAGCCAATGACAGTGTTGTTGAGACCCAGGCACTTTTTCCGCAGGAATCCAGCTTTGGATGTGCCACCTAGCTATTCCGTCACCCCGACCGAGGCTGCGAAAGGGGCTGCGGGATGGGATGGAACGGATCGGCACAGTATAAATGCTTTGGCGGAAACGAATGGATGTTGTGCAAAGTGAAATGTTGCACTGTGGGCACGCGAGAATACGTGTAGGCAATGAGAACAAAAGTGGTTTCCATTATACTACAAAAAACTAGGAGGGAGAGCTTGCAAGAAGGAATTGAATTGTATTTAGTTCAGAAGTTGGATGGATGTGAGTTGGCGTAACGACCCAGAGCCAGTACTAACATAGTCAGTAAACATGTGTAATTATCACCACCATTCCCCACGTATCAGGGATCCTTGATCAGCGAGAAACTGAATTTACAATGGCTGCCAAAATTTGGATGTCGCCTGTCAACAAAGTTATTTCTGATTTCCTCCTAGAAGATGGCGCCCGTCCATGTTTAAGCTGCGGCTGTCTACACTGGATGTGAATCCTTTCTTCATCGTTTTGTCGAAGTTGTCTTTGCTGTCTTCAAGACCTTCGGCGCCAGTGATCACGGCAGCAGATGACCTTTTGTATAAGCCATGAGGTTGGCACTAGCAAATCAATGGAAGAGCTATCAAGTGGTCTTGACAGCAACCTTGGCCCTTGTGTTTGTCTTGTCCATCCATCTGCTTGCTGACATAAGTATCAATTTCATCTACATCGCAAAAGGGCATATTGCAGTTTAACCTTAAAACTTTTCCCGATCGAAAAGTGCGCTCACGTGGTATGTGCGATATGAAATTGTAGGCGTAACCGAAATCCAAGTGGGCGGCGAGCGGACCTGTTGGATACATAGGCTCTGACTAAGCAGGCTTACCGGTGATCTGGATTTTACGTCATCCAAGTCACATGACTAACTTCTAGGTGCAGCCGCGGAAATCGCCAATCTTTCTGCCAGACACTCTGCAAACGACCAGGGGCGTGTACACAAATCGTGGTTGACCCATTTGGACAGACGATATCTTACTTTGGAGAGCTGGATTCTGGGCATCCAGCAAATGGCAGCCTCTGTTGTCGGCAACGCGGACATCAGCTCTGACTTGTACTTGGCTGACTACCTTGACGTCCTCCCACAACCCTACATCATTATCACCTATTCAGACGCCGAAACCCACCCTATTTTCAACTATGCCAACCCTGCCTTCTACGACCTTCTACAGCCATCCTCTTCGAGACTTTCGCGACAAGATCTCTCTGGTGTTCCGGCTTTAAACCTGTTACCTGGCAACTACACGTCGACACTAAAAGATCTCCGCACCGCGGCATGTTCCATGACAGTGAAGACTGGCGTTGCCAAGAATTTCGAAATCATTTCCACCGATGCAATCGACCGTATTCAAGCACAAGCGATCAAGCTGGAGATTGAATGGGTGGCCACTTGCATCAAGGAGCGCTACTTTGTTTTGAGTGCCCAGGCGATAGAGCACCGGGAGACTGAAGAACCTGTTCAACCGGAGACGAAAGTCAGCAAGGATTATCTCACGACGCAAGCACAAACGTCTGCGTCTGACAACACAATTCGTGATGAGGATACCGCCAATTATCCAAGGGTTCATTCATCATCGTCTGTCAACCTAACCGACAATCAAGGAAGACTGGATCCTGGTTCAGGAATTGATTCTACAGAGTCGAATGACTTGTGGAAAACTATTCCAAGGGTAAGATGATTTTACCCATGATGCATCGCGATTTCATTCGTGGTCCAACTCAAAACATTATGGTATTGATATATTGTTTATTTTGCAGTTTGCAGACTCTTTGGCGGGCGGGGGAATAATGGGTGAAATGTTGCGCAATTTTGATTGGTCCAATACGCCATTGGGTCGCATTTCGTCATGGCCACAGTCCCTTCTCACCGCTGTTTCCCTCACGATGTGCTCCATGTTCCCAATGGCGATATGGTGGGGACCACAATTTGTGCTCATCTAGTAAGCAGATAGGATTGCATGCATTTAGCTATTCCCTTTGCTACTTACTAACACCGCTTTTGCTAAGCAATGATGCATACAAGCCAATTGCCGGATCAAAGCATCCATGGCTTTTCGGCAAGGCAGGCTCTGAAGCGTGGAGTGAGGTATGCATCCGTGATTGAACACGAGAATTGGGATAGCTGAGCTGACCTTTGACGCCTTCCCCTAGATTTGGGATACGTTGGAGCCAATGGCTCAGAGCGTAATGCAAGGCGAGCGATGTTACTCTGAGGATCATTTACTTTTTATGGTTCGCAATGGATATCCGGAAGAGACATATCATACGGTATGATATGAATATAAATTATTTATGAATGCCTTAATAACCTTTTACGCAATCTAGTGGTCCTACGTACCCATACGCCAAGAAGATGGTTCGGTCGGAGGATTGTTAAACCCGACCTTTGAAGCTACTGGTGAGGAACCTCTAGCATTTGTGAGAGAATGTTATGATTAGGCTCTTACAACGTAAATCTTTTGTAGGCCGAGTCGTTGCGGAGCGCCGCTTAAAGACTCTGCGAGAGTTTGGAGCGCGAACTGGTATGCAACGATTTCTCTCTTCTCAATACTTTTCACTTCTAAGCACTTTGAATAGCAACGGCCAAATCTGTCCCAGAAGTCTGTTCCATAGCTGCAGATGTCATGAACGATAGTCACCATGACATCACCTTTGCGTTCATCTATACATGCAGCGTCGATAATACAGGTTGTCAACCGAAAATGCAGCAAGCTAACTCGCGAACCGGAAATATCAAGCTTCACAAACTAAAATTGATCTCGGCTGTGGGCGTGGAGCACGGGTGCAGTGCAAGTCCTGACAATGTAACAATAGATTTGCTTGGTGATCCCCCGGAGGATGAAATATGGCCGTTCCACGAAGCGTGCGCAAAGAAAGCCGTTGTGGAGGTTTACGATCAACAGCTGATTGGGGGAATTGAGGGCCGAGGATGGGGAGAGAAGTCGCGTATAACAGTTGTCTGTCCGATCACGGCGAATGATGGCGATGATATATTGGGAGTTCTTGTGGCGGGATTGAGTGCGAGACGACCGTACGATGAAGACTACCGGTATGCTGTCGGCGAAAAATTACTGATATTTCAATGCTCATTTGTAAGCTTTTCCTAGCACGTTTATGGAACTCCTATGCCGTCAAACGGCCACGAGCATCGCAACCGTAAGGGCCTACGAAGAAGAATATCAAAGAGCCGAAGCCCTCGCCATGATTGATCGAGCGAAAACTGCTGTACGTTTGCAGCTCTTTGCATTAAATATTCATATACATACTAAAAAATACTTGCCATGAACCAGTTCTTTAGCTCAGTCTCCCATGAACTTCGCACTCCCTTAACTCTGATCCTTGGACCTGTTGATGATCTGCTTGGCGAACGAAGTCAACCTCTCAATAAAAGACAGCTGGACCTCGTTCACCTGATTAATAGAAATGCTCAGAGGCTACTAAAGTTAGTAAATAGCTTGTTGGACTTTAGTCGAATTGAAGCCGGACGCATGCAAGCTACGTTCAAGGAGACGGATCTGGTGACATTCACAGCGGATTTAGCTAGCTTGTTCCGCAGCGCCATCGAGAAAGGTGGAGTGCAGTATATAGTTGACTGTGAGCTCGACGGGCGCACGGTGTGGGTAGACCGTGACATGTGGGAAAAAATCGTGCTGAACCTGATCGGCAATGCTTTCAAGTTTACGCTTCAAGGGAGCATCAAAGTGAGTCTCCACCCTAACGAGGACAAGTCAGGAGTCATTTTTGCGGTCGAGGATACTGGGACTGGTATTCCCTCCCACGAAATCAGTCGAATCTTTGAGCGGTTTCATCGTGTAGACGGACAGAAGGGGCGCAGCCATGAAGGCAGTGGTATTGGATTGGCTTTAACACAAGAGCTGGTTCGATTACATGGGGGAACCGTAGAGTTACGTAGTGTGTACGGGCAGGGAAGCACATTCTCCGTCTTTCTTCCATATGGTACCTCACATCTTCCGCAAGATCGGTTGTCAGAGACCAATGAGGATGTGTCTGATTACATTATCGAATCGAAAAGATCGTATGGGTACGCCATGGTTGAGGAAGCCAAACGATGGCTCTCGCTAAGTGATGATGATACGGCGGAACATTCAAGTACCGCAGACTCTACCGAATCCAGTGTCCCGAGCAATACTGTGCCTTCTACAACACGCGGAAGTAAGGTGCTGTTGGCCGACGATAATTCGGACATGCGGCGATACGTGAAGACTTTGCTGAGTAAATGGTGGGTCGTGACGGACGTTGCAGACGGACAACAGGCACTGGATGCAATAAAACAGGAAATGCCCGATATCATTGTAAGCGACGTCATGATGCCGGTATTGGATGGCTATGGTCTCTTGAAGGTGATTCGGTCCCTCCCGGAAAGCAAAATGCTGCCAGTGATATTACTTTCAGCTCGAGCTGGTGAGGAAGCTCGAGTCGATGGGCTCCAGCTTGGCGCTGACGATTACCTAGAGAAACCCTTCTCTGCCAAAGAGCTTGTCGCTCGCGTTCATACTCATTTGGAATTGGGAAAATTAAGGGTTGAATTGGAGCGCAGGGTTAATGAGAGAACAAGGGAGCTGGCAGAGAGTGAGTGGAGGTATAAGGTGTTGGCATCCCTTAGCCCGGTTGGAATTTTCCGGTCAGATATGAAGGGACAAATCACCTATGCAAATGACAAGTGGTGGGAAATCTCTATGCACGACAGGGAAAAGGATCCAGCCGCTGTGAACTTTATTGAAAGGTATAGCAAACGGAAAATCTGCTATCTCACGTTGGTGTGTCAATGCTGATTCTCCATTTATAGCATTCATCCTGAAGATCGCAAACGTTGTCAACTTCATTGGCAGGACGCAATGAATGGACGTCAGTGCAATATAGAATTCCGGTGGAAAAATACTCGAACGGGCGTCGAGAGGTGGTGTTTGGGCGCAACGATGATCGAATACGATGAGGCTGGGAATCCGGTTGGTCATATCGGGACGTGTACGGATGTGACTGAGCGGAAACGACTGGAAAAAGAGCGACTTGATGTACTCGAAATGGCTGAAAAATACCAGCGACGTAGAGCAGAGGAGGCGGAAGCGGTCAAGAAGCAGCAAGAGTTATTTATTGGTAGGTTTTTTTGTTGGATTGGTTTCAAAGGGGTTTCATTGTGTTGCAGCAGACAGCTGATGGCATGATTTGTCAAATAGATATGACATGCCACGAATTGCGCAACCCACTCAACGGCATATACCACAATGCCGATCTTCTGCATGAGTCTCTTGAAAAAGTACAAAAAGAAGTCGATGGATTGCACAAAACTGTCGAGAGTGTCGAAGATATAAAACTTCCTGCATCAGCTCCCGTTACAAATAGCCCCGTTACACGACAAACGTCCAAGCCAAAAGATAACATGATTCAGAGCGTGAAAAAGGTGACAAGATGGTTGGGAGCGGAAGTCATCAACGATCTTGAAGCGGTCGAAACGATCACACTATGTGCACAACATCAAAAACAAATTGCGGACGATGTCCTGCACATGTCCAAGATCAGCATGAACCTTTTGGTCCTTGCCCAGCTCGAGTTCCAACCACGGGTAGAAATTACCAAAGTCCTACGCATGTTCGACACTGAAGTCAAGTTAAAGAATATTGATCTGCAATATAACATTGGGACTGGCTATGAGGCGTTATCGGTGGACTGGGTACGAGGGGATCCGACCCGGTTGGCGCAGATTATGATCAACATCTTAACCAATGCCATTCGGTTTACCGAAAAGGCTGAGGTTAAAAAGGTGGTTGTCACCCTCGATGCCAGCGAAACCCCACCGAGTTTGCCAAACCAACCAAGTTCAAAAGGTGCAGCTTGGGATGGTATGGTGAGTAGTGGCTCGGAGGATGATGAGAAGGCGGATATGCAGAGTTTGTCTTCGAGTAGGAGTACAAGTAGCTCGGCGACGATTAGAAATGGTGAGACTACTGAATACGTTTTAGGTCATAAATGGGAACTAATATTTTGTTTGTCGTTTGAAAGTCCAAGTTCCCGCGGCTCCGGTACCTTCATCTTCCCCAGCTACCTCTGCCAATGCTATTTATGTTCAAGTGACGATAGCCGATAGTGGTCTTGGCATGACTCCCGAAGAACAGGCCATGCTTTTCCGCCGATTCGCACAAGCAAGTCCAAAAACTTATGCAGATTTCGGCGGAAGTGGGTTGGGTTTGTTTATTTCTAAACGACTAGTGGAATTGCAAGGGGGCAATATCGGTGTAGATAGTATCAAGGGCCAGGGGACGACTTTCACGTTCTTTGTGAAGTATGAAACTGTCGAGAGGAGGGCCGAGTCTGATATCGGGGTGGAAGGAGCGACTGGTAGTAGACAGCCGAGCCAGCCGCCTGCGGCACAATCCCGCTGGACGAGTCGGCTACCAGCACAGACACCTGAGAACAACCCTGCCGAGATGGTCGACGGAGAGGTCAAGATCAGTATCCTAATTGTCGAGGTAAGGCCCCCTCTATTAATTTTTACTCTTAAGTACAGGACCTGGTTACTTATCCGCTTCATATCAACAGGATAACATGGTGAACCAAAAAGTTCTCAAACGCCAACTGGAAACGCTCGGTTATTCTACCCAAGTAGCAAATCACGGCGCAGAAGCAATAGACATACTCCAACGACAGGAACGAGCATTCGATATTATCCTGATGGATATCGAGATGCCTGTTATGGATGGCTTACAAGCCACCGTCAAAATCCGGGAAATATATGGCAATCGATGGAGGATACCTATCGTTGCTGTGACCGGTAATGCACGACGAGAACATTTGGATAAAGCCCTGCAGGCGGGGATGGATGATGTGATGGTCAAACCGTATGTGAAAAAGGATTTGGTGGAAAAGATTGAAATGCTTGTGCAGCGACGAAGAGCGGATATGCGACGATGACATGTGGACAAAAAAAAGTACGGTCCAGCGACCTATTGAATTGGTTTTTTTTTTGTGGGTGGTGGGCATGAGTGATGGACACTTGGTTGGGATGGATTTTTCTTTTTGTTTTCTTTTTTGTTTCTTTCTTGTTGCATGTGGATATATATTTTTATCGTTTTTTTTTGTTTGCCACTATGGCCTGTAACTGTTATTGGGTGCGTAATGGGCTTGTACTTTGTAACTTAGATATCATTTAATGTATATCGCGGTAGTTCACTATGCATCTAGCGTGAGTTTCTCATTTGTGTGCAATGTCTGTTTTATCACAATGTTTGCCTTACGAGGAGGCGATCGATTGTAAAAGATCCAAAAGGTAGGCTTCATAGGTAGCTACTTTCTGCTGATAGCACTAAATCAATGTCATCTTGCATCCGTCAAAGCTCCTTCTTTGTGTTTTTAAGAAATTGACTCTAACATTCATTTTAAAATCACCACCAGAGACTTGCCACGAAAACCAACAACATCCCCATTACTCCTAGGTCCACCTTACGAATACCTGTCCCAGAGCTGATAGAAAGGAAACTCATCGGTCCCACACCCCACTCTACCGTAAATCTCTCTGTCAACTCTATCGCCAATCCTTCGATGGTCACGGACCCCCGATCAGCTTTATAAGAAATCTGGCACATAATCTGTGCATCATTCACTCGGACCTGTTGGACAGGTTGCGATCCGAGTATAACAAGTTTTGTCAACTTTGGTAAGTCATTGGGTTGATATCCGAATGTTCCATCCGCAACCATTTTTCCATTCGATACTTGAAATGAGATGTTTGAAGTATGATTATCGACGTTGAGGGATTCGCCATCGTCTAGGTATAGCAATCCTTGTGCATTTCCTTTCTCGTCTAACGCTACGATAAGGGAATAGGGATTCTTGCGGGATTCGGTAGTGGTGTAGCCAGGTTCTTGCATGGGAATCACGTATCCACCGCGAATATGCACGGGAACGTGCCCCAATGGTGCATCAAAGGACATGTTACGTCCTTGTCCATTGATGGGGATCAAGGTTGTAAAATCGTACCAACGGGATTTGGGCATGTAGGCCGTGACGGATGTTGCTTTCTCGGTAACGACGGGTGAAACGAGTAAAGCGGGTCCAATTAAGAATTGGGCATCGATCCAGAGTGTTGGTGCTTCGGTTGGGAACTCGTACATGAGGGCTTTCCATGCTGGTGTGCCCTGTGCGGAAGATAGGTAGAGATGGGTGTACATGTAAGGGAGGAGACTGTATCGATGACGGAGATGTGTTCGTGATGCTTCGGCCACAGAGTTCCAGATGTAGGCTTCTTGGGAAATTGTGCCCCGGATGTTGTGATTGCGCATAAAAGGAAAGTACGCCCCTACGGACATCCAGCGATTGCATAGTTCTTCAGTAGTGTTGCTACATGTACGAAGCAAGTTAGAGGCAAGGGTCATCATCTCAGTGGAATAGCACAAGTACCTGTTGAACCCGCAAATGTCTGGTCCAATCATGGATATTCCGTACATCTGGAACTGCAATACGCCGACCACAGAGTAATGCAAATGTTCCCATGTGGCATGATTGTCGCCTGTCCAGTGGTAGGTGTGCGCACCGCTTGATGGAAACGTCGATCTGGAGAGAACGAACGGGCGTTTGTTGGCTCTTTTTGCAATTAATGCCTTTCGGGTTGCGATGGCCCACATGTGGCCGTATAGGTTGTGTACATCTACTTCACTGATACGGGGTTTGTCCTGTCCTCCCCAATGTGTGGCATTGGTTTGAACAGCATGGTCAGAGAGATTGGCGAATTTATTGTTGATTTTGTAATGAGGTTCTAGCTGTTGTTCGATTGGCATTGGTTTGTAGGCTCGTTTGTGGAGATTCCTTGGCAAGGTTGAATACGGTAATGGTCTTCCTTGTCGCGCAGCTTCGATTGAGGCATTTAAAAAGTCTGGTGGAGTAAAGTCGTCGCCTCCAGGTAAGTCAAACGGGGTCTTTGGTTGAAAGACTGCCGGATCAGGTGCGTCCAGTCCGCATGGTCCGTAACAAAATGAAGAGGGTTCATTCATGTCGATCCATAGGCCATCAACGTCGAGGGTGTCCAGGAAACGAGAAACTTCATCGGTCCAGTACGCACTGGCATTTGGGTGGAACCAATCTACAAAGGCGGTGTAACCAGGCCAAACTTTTATTGAAGAATGTCAGCAAACTGTTTATGGATAAACTATTCAGTATTCAATGCCAGTACCTTGTCCGATGTAATACTTGTGTTTCTCATCTGTATGAGTTGCATCATTTTGCATAAAGACTTGGGCATCCAAACCGCGTTGGTAAGGTGTTGAATTCGTGCTAATGCCAGGGTCGACAATGACTACAAAGTGTTGCGCCGTTTGATGAAGTTCTTTGACAAACTTGGTCATTAACTCTTTGGGATATTGAATCGGGTCAAGCGTAAAGTCCTACAAGTATGATTTAAAAAGATTGGCTCTGGTTACTGTACTAACGGGAAAAAAGTTACCCTGTATTTGTCCATATAATCGATATCCGACCATATCGTTTCGAGTGGAATATTTGCGTTTCGATAGTTGTCCATCACCCATTTCAAATTGGTGATATTCTTATATCCCCACCGAGATTGATGAAAACCCAAATGCCAATAGGCAGGCATAGCAGGTCGGGAAATGACTTTGGTATATTCGGCAACAACGTCGTTAGGATTTCCACCCAATGGTGCGAAAAAGGTGAGGTCAAGAACTCCACCAATCGTACGGTATCTAACGATGCCATCACGAAGAATAAAGTCCATTCCGTTCGAGTTGCGCAGGTAGACTGCATGCGCTTTATTTTTCCGCATTTCCATGTACATGGGATGACTACCGTAAATGTTTTCCTCCGTGGGAGTTGCAACATCACGAGCCCAGAGTGCTTGCGTGGTGCTTTGCTCATTACGGCGGAAGCGACCGATAAACTCGGAACCTCCGTAAATGTTTGCATGGGATGGTACGCTGGTCGTGACTTCAAGGTACTGATCCTCGTAAATCAGCTAAAGCAAGGCAAGATTGAGTTTAGGAACTTAATCAGTGAGAGGAGAGACTAAATTGTTTAAACTAACTTTATGAGATGTGGTGTCGAAAATCACTTCATTATCCTCCACTCTTATAATCTTGAAACCAAAGGGCTTTGCGACGTACTCGAACCGCAAGTTACTCTTGTTTTTTTCACCGTTCTCTGCTTTTGGGATCGGCACAATCTCTGGAGGAATGAACCAGTTCTCCTGAGGTGTGTCACGGATGAGAACACGCAGACGCTCGCGAGTTTGGTATTCCACAGTGATGTCCAGGTTTGGGTAGTCTTTGCCGTAAGCATTACACGGCTGGTCGCTCAGAGAGAGTTTGGCAGAGAATCGTCCGACGGAGGTGTCGGATGCATCCGACAGGGAATAACCAGAGCATTTGGATGTGTCAATTAGGGCAGCGCTAGGATTGGCATCATCACGCTGGTGGATGGCAGGAATCCCCGCTGTTGCTTTGGCAAAGAGAATGAGGCTCAGAATACGTGCAGCACGCATTACTGACTGAAATATACTACGCGTGAAAAGCGTCAACACCAGACTGGAATATCAAAAGTAGCATGCAGCTTTAACATTTCTTTAAAGGCCGGCATGCTTGACAAGGATCATGCTGGGGGAACATGTAAGATAATCATGAATGTTTAAACCTGCTTGATCGTGACAAGGTCAGGTCGTCCAATCGATGAAACCGCCGTCCATCCCAGCCATCCAGCTCTACCGCTGGTGTTTAAAAAATGCCCGACAATAAGCACAAAGCGTTCTATTCTGGCTTTGGGCGCCATCTCGTCGCGTGCTGGTCGTGTGCTTGTAAATCACCGGTGCGCGGAACCCTCCGACTCTAGAGGGCTCCGGGCTGTCTTTGACAAGAAGGACAAAGGGAAACATTACCACCTTTGATTTTAGCTTTGTTAGTTGGAGACAGTTGTTGCGTCCCTAACTTTCCGGATGGACAGCAAGGCTTCATATCGCTCATCTCCCTTCCTTCTGTTATGTTTTATTCGACACGGCGGTTGCATTCCTTCACTACAATACACCTCTTGTCACCTGTCCTTTGTTGAAATTGGATGTCATCAAAGTCCAACCAACACTCCCCTCACCCTCAACGTCATGTGATTACCTGGACGTCAACATGTCGTCAAGATCGCCATTTTTAATGATCAATGGAGGGTGTTCCTCCGTTGGGGAAATATGCAACAGCAGCGTTGACCGCTGGCAACACTTTTTTTACACAGACGCGAGCGGAAACTTGGAAAAGCAAGATTATAAATCACAGTTGTTGAGTAGAAATGCTTTAATCTCATTCCCGCTCACTGCCGGTCGTAAGGGCCAGTAGTAAACGTCTACGTGGCAAGTTTCAAACCTACTTACCCACTTGCTTGCAAGCAAGTTATCCATACTTACCCACTTGCAAACAAGTTATCCACCAAGCACAAAAACAAACACTCACACATGCATAAATAAATCCAATTGGGAAAGAGTCCGAAATCTCTAGATGAGTCATTGCGGGAATTTCGGACAAGTTGCGTTTTGAACTTCCGCGGAATTTCAAAGAAAACTTTTGTTTCAATCACCAATGATGACAAATGGGAAAGTCCCAGCGCGCGTCTCCTCTCAAACGACCGTGGGAAAAAAGAGTTTCTTGGACCGTGGGAAAAAAAGAAATAAAATGGAATTATGGAATGATTTGAATATTTGGGAATTGATCGCTTCCCCACCTGTTTAAAGACTTTGAAATCAAAGGCAAATTGCCTGCAAAGAAGAACGGGCGTTGAAGGCATTTTGGACAAGACTCACCTCCTTTCCCATTGGATTTGTTCCTCCGTTTGCTTGCTCCGTTTGTGAAATAGCGCTAGCTACATCTTGCCAGCGAGTGAGTATAAATAAGAGGCCATTTGGGCACCTCTCTTCTTGCCTACAGATAAATCTCATACCCATCCCATCATTTGTTTTTAAAAGGTCTGATTAAAATGGCTCCATCCAACGAACAATCGACGGACCCGGTTGCCCCATCTGTGTCCGAAGAAACGCTTGTAATTCCCCCAGAATCTATAACGGGTGCTGACGCCAAAGTCCCCGACAATGTCGACAAGACAGTCGCAAAAATAGAAGACGAGAAAACCTATGAAATAAAAGAACACGATCAAGATGTTGAAGCCCCAGTTACTACCGGCCATCCACCAAAAGGACATGTCGCTGTCCCGTTGCCAAGACTTCAATTTGTGCTCGTATTTGTTGCGTAAGTTTCCAATATTCGCTCGCAGCTAGTGTGTATCTGCAAAAAGTGGGTGCTGACATTGTATATTTTTTCCAGGCTGGCCATGGCCCTTTTCCTTGCTGCTTTGGATCAAACAATTGTTGCGACAGCAACTGCGCGCATTGCTCAAGACTTTTCAGCATTTTCAGAAATTGCTTGGATTGGAACCGCCTACTTATTGACAGCGGTGAGCCTTGGACATTTGTGGGCAATTACTATTTTCCCTTTAAACTAATTTGATTACGGCGTCTTTTGTGTAGACGGCAGTCGCACCCACTTATGGCAAACTAGCAGACATCTTTGGACGAAAGCCAATGTTTATATTTGCTCTCCTTGTATTCGAATTTGGATCAGTGATCTGCGGTGCTGCTCAAAATATGGTCATGCTGATCATTGGTCGGGCCATCGCAGGAGTTGGAGGCGGTGGACTTTTTGCTTTGGTACGTACCTTGTAAACTATTCGATCGGATCGCCATCGTTAGGGTTTCTAATGACATCCGTACACAGATTTTGATCATTATTGCAGACCTGGTCAGCTTTGAGGATCGTGGCAAGTACCAAGGGTTGATGGGCGCCGTTTTCGGAATTGCCTCCGTTGTTGGTCCTTTGCTGGGTGGTGCATTCACTGACCACGTATCGTGGAGGTGGTGCTTTTACATAAAGTAAGTGTGAAACTGGAAGCAGTCAAATCATCGATTTGATTTTAACCTTTCTTCAAACAGCCTTCCCATCGGTGCTCTCACTGTTACCGTTGTCCAATTTACCCTCCGCATTCCTTCGCCAAAAGGCTCTATTCGCGATAAGCTTCACCGTATTGATTACATAGGCACAGCCCTTCTCATCACCGGTCTTATCCTGATCCTGATTCCACTTCAACTCGGAGGTTCAGAGTGGGACTGGTCTGCTCCGCAAACGATTGCGCTCTTTATCGTTGGAGCAATTATTCTCGCTGTATTTGTCTATGTGGAATTGAGAGTGGCACAGGAGCCTGTAATTCCAGCCTCGGTCTTTGAGAACCGTAGTGTACCTGCCATTATCGCCATCGCATTCTTCCTTGGTGCAAATTTCTTTTCATTGGTGTATTACATCAGGTATGTTCTAGGGTGCTTTTTGTGTTGATACTTTAATCCTTTCGCCAACATCTGTTTTCTCCTGTTATAGTATCTACTTCCAAGTCGTCAACGGTGATTCGGCTACCAAAGCGGGTCTCCAATGCATCCCTCTCATTCTCGGCGTATCGGTAACCTCAATCGTCGCGGGTCAGCTCATGTCTAGGCTTGGCGTATACGTCCCCTTTTTCTATATCGGTGGGATACTCCTCACCATCGGTGTTGGTTTGATTTCGACTCTGGACTCTACGTCAAATCGTGGGAAGCAAATTGGCTTTTTGCTTCTTTCTGGCATTGGCATCGGAGCAATGATCCAAACTCGGATCATTTCAATCCAAGCAAGTGTTCAAGTACAGAAAATTGCAGTCGCGACAGCTCTTGTTAATTTTGCTCAAACATTGGGAGGGTATGTACTTGGTTTTACATATGTTGTAGTGGAGTCGCAGAATCTCATCAAAGAACATATTCCACCAGGGTGATGGGCATGGCAATCGTTGGAACTGTCTTCAACAACGTCCTAACGGACAAGCTACAACAATATTCACCCGGAACGCCGTTTGAAGAAGCCACAAAACACGCAACCGAAATTCACAGCTTCGCCGAACCCCTTCGATCAAATATGACCCGCGCGTTTACAGAGTCACTTCGCACAACGTTCATCGTCCTTATCCCATTTTCAGGGCTTATTGTCGTACTCACGTTGCTTGTGAAACAGTATAGAGGGGCGTTCAACCGAGCAAAGAGTGTACCTGCGATGGCAGAATAGTACTTATTCTAGATATGCATTGTAAATTCACCTGTATTAATTCTTGGACCTTTTAATGATATTTTCAGAACGTGTCTATTACCACTTGTGTGCTCTATTCCTTAATCTTTTGACATGTGCGAGGCAAAAGAAGGAAGATACATGCAAAGATAGCCAACGAGAGATCTAGCCAGTATCAACAGTCATTGAATAATATATAGTTACATAGTGTCATAGTAAATAAGAAAATAATATATGCTGTCGAATAACTGGCTTCCTCGACATTGCTTTAATCTACCAGAGCCCTCCTCCATTAAATGCCGCAGTTTAAATCACATAAGTAATACATCTAACGCTACGAGCTTGGTAGCTTTAGTTCCCCAAAAGTTCCGAGAGTTTCAAGGTCGCTTGTGTCGTGCACGCTAGAGATGCTGTCAAGAACCACGTCTCGGTGGCGATCTGGGCCCATCTCTTCTTTTTTTCCGGCACACGAATGACAGCAGCAGTGGGTTCGCACAACATTTTTGGAGCTACAGCGTTTTTGTATTTGGTGGCATTCTTCGGCCGGGGCGGTGTCAGTGCCTTTGTCTTAGCCACACTGTTCTCGTACTTGGCGGTCTTTTTCGGCTGGGATGCCTTCTGTGCCTTTGTCTTTTCGCCTTCCAATACCGTAGAACGCTGCCCCTCTTTAAATGCCAGAATACGACTCTGAATGGCGGCCTCCTCGCTCTTCACCACGTTCGATCCCTGCTCCACCGCGTCCGTCAAAGCACGATATATTTCATCTGCATCGTTAAGCCAATGGTATTTTCTGCTCGGTTTCGGAACAATGTTTCTGGGTTTGGTCATATTCTGACCGGTCAGGTAATCCAAAAGAAGCTGACATTGTGGGGCGACCAAAATCTCCACCTCTTCATGAACATGAATTACCATAACGACTACTCTGCCTTTCAAGTCTGCAAAGACTTGCTCCATCGCTTGTTTTGAGATCTTGTCGATTTGTGTGGCGGTCAAGGTCCTGTTCCCTGCGAGGTCCCAGCAATAGGAAGCCCACAAGTTGCGGGCGATTTTGTCCCATACACCATACTGTGCATATAAAAAGCATTGCGTTTGGCCTTCGATAGGTTGGTGACCCTTTGGTTTGAACTGGGGATTGTTCATATCAGTAAGCGCCTGAAAAATATTTAAGGTTTGTTAATCCCTTACCTCGCCAACTGTCAAATCTAAGGGACTATCCTGCCACATCATGTCTGGATAGCAGCGTTCATTATTTGGTCGACGCAATGTGAGGCTAAAATAATATCGTCAGCGCCAAACATCATTTGGCCGGCAGCAATTAAACCCCACTTACTGTATCCGGTCTATCTCCTTGTACAATTTTAAAAATCGTTTCCAATATCCCGTAATTGCATTTTGATTTGTGATCGGCATTTCCAAATTCTTGATGTAAGAGTTCATGTGATTGTAGTATTTCATCGACTGCATGATCCCACATTTAGCCACGAACCGTTTGATGAACGTATAATTGAATTCTCGGAGCAAGTGCAACTCACCGGCCAGGTTTGGGTACCCGGAAAGTTCACGCTTACGTCCAGATAATTATCTTTGTAAATATGTTCAAAATTCGGCTTGAGTACTTTCTTCCAATAGGATTGATTGGAAGGTGGAGGGAGATCTTCGCTTCCAGGTGGTACAGGCCAAGTGAATCTATGAAAGAAAGACCAAAAGTTTTAAGCATTTCAATGTGATATAAGCAAACTATGATGGGCTTACCCCGGTGGTAATTCAGGTAGCTCGGATTGTTTACGGCTGCCATTGCTTCTCAGAAGAGGAACCGCAACCGAAAAACTTCGAGGGGGGAGAATCTGTCGAGCCAATAATAGAGAGCTCGAAGCTTGGATGGCTGCATGCTCCCGAAGAAATAGACGGCGTTGACTGGATGCACAGGTGGAGGAACTAGGAAATAGGCCTAATCCCATCCTAATCGGCCGGGGAGCATATCTAGACAACATCCCAATTATGATGGTAGTTTGGCAAAGAAATAATAATTCCGAAAAAAAGGGCTTGTGGGGAAGAACATTTTGAACTCTCGACTTTTAAGATAATTGAGTTTCCTTCTTGCCATCGGGCTTTGCTTTGTTGCATCAACACAAACGACTTGACCTGTCATAACCTCTTGGCTGTCTTGAATCATTTTCCGACTGCCATCTCATTCACCTGTCAAAAATCGGATGTTTCCCATTTAACAAGTATCTATTGCTACCGGTATAGCCCGCATGGGGCGTGGCATTCCAATACGATTTACACAATATATGCACATTATAGACACGACGGCCAGAAGGTCACCTTATTTTGACAGGTAAAACATGTTGTTTATCCACGTGATTATAAATTTCAATGATGATGCTTGTTACTGGATGATGCGAAATGTAGATCTAAGTCATAGTTACAAAATCCAGTTTGTCGGTTGGACACCCATTTGCAGAAAGTGCTGCACGGATGGTCCAGATAGTATATAGCGTACAGCGTTGAGAGAGATTCTGCCAGTCCAGGTGGCCCGTGAGTGAGGCCTATGGTAGCAATGACGCAGGTTCGGAGTACTGCAAGTGGTGACAATGATGGTTCCTGGGAGTACTGCTGGTCAAACCAAAAAAAGTCTCGTCCAATCTACATGGTATGGGGCTCACAAACGTGAAATGATCTGCTGAAAACGTGTGCGGACATATCGGTCCTGGTAGGTGACACGGCGGTGCTGGCCTGGTAGGTCTGCATACATGCAAGCGGAGAGATACTTGGGGATTTGAATAGCGTCATATATAATAAAGAACTAGCTGCACTGATGCCTTGCACACTTGCTAGATGTAGGCAAATGCACTGAAGGTAACGCAAGGATGAAGGTGGGACAAGCACGTTATGATTCCGATGCTGATCAAGTTGCTTCAAGCGTTGTTTCTATCATAAGATCAGATTCAAATACTGTGGCTAAACAAAGATATAAGCTCACTAGCCGTATAGTAGCAAATGATTGGGTGACATCTTAACTTCTCTATATTGGAAGCATCCAAGTTCAGAAATTTTTGCAATGTTGCCTTCTTGAGAGCTGCATATGGAAAGAACCGTCTTTTTTGGAGGCCAATACTGTGCTACGGCTTTTAGATTGGAAAGCTTGCGAAGGGAACCGAATGTCTATGTTATTTTTTGGTAATGACATGAACTTTTTCCTCAACAGAGGTGTGAAACTTCTACTTGAGCATGACTTTACAATGTTTAAGCTGATAGCAGGAGTCTGCTAAATACGTATATCTCCTCGACGATTCTATAGCTTGACTGTGAATACGACCTACACTTTCTAAATATTCTTGTCCAGAAGGAAACTCTAGACATGTTTCCTAGTCAAGACTTCCAAGCGCATCGACCAATCACTTGCCTCAACCTGTAAAATGCCGTTCATCGTGGCGTGGATTTCCATTTGTGGTAAGGAGCTGTGGCTTGTCAACAGTTCAGTCATCGTGTCAACCGGGTCACCCAACAGCGCAACGACCAGCTTTTGGGTTGCAGTTTCGAAACCAACCTTTGTTGCATCAAAGAACGACGACTTGCATCTCGCCTTTCCCTTTCAGGGTAGACGAACGTCCTGCCTACTTAAAGCACGCGAGGGAGAATCCGTCCACGTCGCGTTGGTCTTTTCCCCCATCCATCTGGTCGCGCCGCTGTGTGTGCGTGTGTGTTGTGTGCAAAGGATCCTTGTGCGGTAACGGAAGACAACGAATCACTCCAACGCTAGCAAAGGAGGTTTGTATTAGACCTATATGTCTTTTAACGTTCAAGGGACTGCGGAATTCCTGTGCTGCAGCTGCATGTCATCCGGCATTTTGAACGTAGTTTGTTGGGATTTCACGTGCAACAATGACTGACAAAACATGTTCTCTCAACCCCTTTTAGAAGTATACAGAGTCGCATATTCTGCACATTGGACACTGGGTTACTGTAATCCACGATGAGGTTGCGATACATCGATCGAACGTCAACATTGGCATGGTCGCCAGGACAGCATGACACCCATGGGCCCCTTCTCGCGACTGGAACCGTTGCTGGGGCTCTAGATGCATCTTTCAGCACCGCTGCTGAACTCGAAATCTTTGACTTAAACTTGGCCGCTCAACCAGGAACGCCCGGCTCCAAAAATTTGAGACGGCTGGGTGGTATTACGTGTAGCGCCAGGTACGTAATGGTGGGCTTTGGACTCCTTTCCAGATAGTTAATCTTTACCTTAATAGATTCAATCGGCTTGCGTGGGGTGCACTGCCGGGGGACACTACTCGACCTCTTGGAGTCCTTGCGAGTGGAATGGAAAACGGGGAGCTGGACCTTTGGAACCCAGCTGCTATCATGGATGGTGATTCACAAAAATCGCTGTTGATGCGACACTCTATTCATGGTGGACCTGTTCGTGGGCTGGACTTTAGCCCTGTCCAGGGCAACTTGCTGGCATCTGGTGCCACAGACGGAGAGGTTAGGGATTTGTAAAGGCGCCGTTGATCGGAGTGGTCCACTTACCATCGATTTGCAGATTTATATCTGGGATCTCACAAATCCGACAAAGCCGTATACCCCTGGAGCGAAATCTCAGAGATTAGAGGACATTAGCACCTTAGCTTGGAATCGACAAGTCGCATACATCCTCGGGACTGCTAGCAATAACGGATACACAGTGCTGTGGGATCTTCGTCACAAAAAGGAAATCATTACGCTTGCTCATCCAGGTGGGCGTAAACCTATCACGGCGCTTGCATGGAATCCTGCTGTGGTAAGGTGTCATTCTGGACCTTACACTGTAGGTGGTATGCATCACTAATATTTTTTTCCCAAATGATAGGCTACACAACTGGTAACTGCGTCGGAGGATGACAACGCCCCCGTATTACTTGTTTGGGATCTGCGAAATGCGAGTGCTCCGCAAAAGGTTAGATGGATTATTTTTTATTGATAACCCTGCCCATCCTTACATGCCGCAATTACAGGGTCTGCAAGGCCATCAAAAGGGAATTTTATCAGTTTCATGGTGTCCAAAAGACTCAGATTTGCTGTTATCCAGTGGAAAAGATAACTCCACGCTCGCGTGGAACCCAACCACTGGAGAAATGATTGGTGAATTGGCACGCAGCAACAACTGGTCGTTTGATGTGCAATGGTGTCCGCGCAATCCTGACCTGGTCGCTATCTCGAGCTTTGATGGTAATGTCTCGGTGCACTCCCTGCAGTCATCTGGGGCGGAGGAAGGGGAAGAGCAGCCGGCCGCGGCACAGCCAACTAGTAACGATCCTTTTGACGGATGCTATCAACAGCAACAGTCACAACCAGCGACCCAATTTGCGCTACGACAACCACCAAAATGGCTGCGTCGTCCTGTTGGTGCGACATTTGGCTTCGGTGGAAAATTGGTGTCCTTTGACACGCAAAGCAAGTGGATAGCAGTTCGCACTGTCCCAACAGAGCCTACCTTTGCTAAGAGAGCCGACGAATTGGAGGCGGTCATGGCAGACGGCGCACTAGATACGTACAAAGCTTTCTGTGAACGAAGGGCCGCCGCAGATGATGAAGGGGATGCGGTTAACGAAACAGACCGTGAGATGTGGTCGTTCCTGAAAGTGATGCTGGAAAGTGGCGCTCGGGAACAGGTTCTCCAATATCTCGGTTTCGATCGTAGTAAGGTTGGCGAAGACAGGCTGGCAGGGTTGTTGCAGAAGCTCAGATTGTCTGCCTATACCAAAGATGAAGAGGAGGAGCCGCTAACATCTGTGAGCGAGCCGCCAAGTGCGGTGAAACAAGCAGCTGCGGCTGATGGTGGGCACCCCAATGGTTTGACGAACCTCTTCGGCGCGTCGGAGGCGGACTTCCCAGAAATACTGCCCCAATCCGATACCATTGCCCCTGAAGAAGCGAAGAGGATGCAAAAACGACGCTCAGATCCATTCTCTCTCTACCCATCAAAAAAGACCGGCGAACAGGGAGATATAGATACTCTAATTACGAAAGCGATCGTTTTAGGTGACTTTGAAACTGCGGTAGATATTGCCCTCGGTGCGAATCGCTTGTCCGATGCCCTTATGCTGGCTGTGTCGGGGGGTCCGGATCTTCTCCTGAGAACTCAACAGGAGTACTTTAAACGGCAAGCCAAGGAGAAGAGCTACGTGCGGGTACTCAAAAGCGTTGTAACCGGCGATCTTGAGGATATTGTGGAGAACGGGAACCTGGACGGTGCAGAGGGAGGATGGAAGGATATTCTGGCGCTTATCTGTACATACGGCAAGGCGGAGGACTCGTCTAGTCTTTTCTCAGCACTTGGCAGGCGACTTGAAGCAACTAGCCCTACCAGTCCTGACGGAGCCGACTACCGCGGAGCAACTAGGGATAACAAAAAGTTTGCAGCAGTATTATGTTACCTCGCAGCCGGCGATTTGAAAAAGGTTGTTAACATTTGGAGCCGGAGAGAAATTGAGGAAGAGCATAGGCTGCTGGAGGGTGCTGGGTCGCAGAACAAGAAGCAAGTTACTGCTTACGCGTCTCATATTGTTGCTCTCCAGAGCCTCATTGAAAAAGTTACCGTATTCCGAAAGGCTATTGGTTTCGTCGATCCAGAACTTAGTAACCCGTCTGGATTCTTTCAATTGGAAAACCTGTACGACCACTATGCGGAGTATGCTGATTCTGTCGCTGGACAAGGGAAATTGGATATGGCATGGACATTGCTTGAACTCGTACCTGAAGGATTCCGATGGACGCCAAGAGAAGAGCGTCATGGCCCACCTCCGGGCACAGAAGATGCTATTGCGGTGCTTAAAGATAGAGTGTATCGGAGTGGCGGCTTGAAACGACAGGTGACACGACCTCCCGGACCTGGCTTTGAGGTGAAAGATATCCTCGCACCTGCTCCAGTTCATTACCAAGGCCCGCAGCAACCTTACGTATCGCAGCCAGCGAACGGACCGACGCACATTACTAATAGTGCCTGGAATCAACCGTCCTATACCCCTGTATATGGACAGCAGACGGGTGGCCAGTATTATGCTCAGCCCCAACAGCCGGCATATGGTTACTCGCAGCCAACCCCGGCGACCTATAACACCCAGTATCAACCTTCTAGTTATGGTCACGTAAGTAATCCTCCTCCGGCTTCCGCGTACCCACCGCCGCCCGCGAGCAACGCGTTTGATCAGCAAGCGCCACAGCCTGTTTCCATGCAACATACTAGTAGGTAAATAGTTGACGCCTTGTGAGGTCATTTGTCTAACAGAAGTTCTTCAATTGCAGCTCCGAAGACCGGCTTTAATGATCCGCCAATGGTGCTGTCAAAGTCTCGCCTGGCCAGTAATACCGCCCCTGTAAGTAATCCGTTCCCGGGCGCACAGCAGCCAACAGCAACTGCTCCATTGCCCCCACCACCGACAACGGGATATGCACAACAACCGTCAGCATCTCCTGGACTGGGGCGGAGAACTCCGGCGCTGCCACAAAATGGGCAGCATGAATACACGGCACAAACTGCTCCAGGAAGAATCTTGTCTCCGCCCCCAACAGGCTATCAGGCCGATTACAATAGTTACGGCCAACCACAACCACAACAACAACCTGGCTATGGTGGCGCTGGACCTATTCCGACACCCACTCCCCCACCTCCTACTCCTCCTATAGGTGGGAAACCCACGATCCCCAGCGTAGGCTTGCGAACGGCGACACCGCCAGTTTATGCTGGAGCGCCGTCTACACATGCTCAGGCACCCGTTGCCCAGAGTGGACTGCCGTCACCTGGTCCAGCGCGGACACCTACACCTCAGAGGCCACCATCGGCTGCACCAGTGGCATCTAAATATCGTAAGTTCTGTTTCTGATATGTATGCATTAAGGAATGGCTCTAAAATTTCAGAGAACAGCTCCTGGCGACCGTTCCCACATTCCAGTGGCTCATAAGCCCCTATACGACGGATTAACAAAGTATTTGGATCTATTCCGTAGTGTCTCTAGTGCTGTAAGTCATTTGGCGCGGGCAGTGATATCGTTTTGAAGAGATATGGACTCAAACTTTCGGTCCTTGTAGCCTCAGCAAAGAAGAATCTATGACAATGCGGAACGAAATCTGAATATCATGTTCGATCAATTGAATGCGGAGGAGATTCCAGCGGACGTTGTGGACAAGATGATGGAGCTGGTGAAAGGTACGTCTAGTCTTTTCATGTGCCGCGCACCAAAGATCATTGAGCCAAACCTGTCGTACATATTTTAGCAATGGACGTCCAAGATTTTGCCACCGCGCACCGAATCCAAATCGATCTCCTAACCACCCGTTTTGACGCAACCGGGCAATGGATGCTAGTCGTTAAGAGGCTCATTGACGCTGCAGAGCGCGTAGCCGGTGGCAATGCTGCCGCGGGAGGTCAGCACGCCCAACAAGCCCAGCCCATGCAGTCCATGCCACCAATGCAAGCCATGCAACCACCGCCACAGCAAGGTCCACCTCTACAGCACGGCATGGTCGGTATGCCACCCCCACCGGTAAATCAACAAATGGGGGGACCGGGTGCATACGCTGGGGTCCCTCCGCCTCCTATGGGCACAATGGGATGGAGGCAGTAAGGAAAAAACCAACCATGTTTTCGGGGGAAAACGAAGCGCACCTTTACAAAAATGGTTTATGAAAATAAGAGGTCTATTTGGCGTCATTTGGATTCTTTGTTACTTTTTTGAGTTTGGTGGGGTGGTTGGTCGGATGAATGGATGGATTGGACTGATTGCGATTGAGACAAAAAAAAATGAGGGGGGGATGCATGGAGGTTTGCGTAGTGGGTAGATGTTTTAAAAACATAACATGTTTCTCTTTTACTTTGCTAGTCTCCGATTTTTTTCTTATTGGTCGATTCTTTGACTGTGGATGAGAATGAATTGTTCCAATTCAAATTCGTGTCCTATATCTGTCATCAAGTTGACGGTTGATTGTGTCTTGCATGCTATTCAGATTTTTTGCGAATGACTTTATCAGTACCTCACGCAAGGGTATGCCACAAGATACTCCCCAAGCGCAAAGTACTGCCATTAGGAAGGAAAACGCAAAGCCTTTCGTTTTAACCAAAACCCAAGGAATCAAGGTCAAAATTTTGCATTATACGAACACATACGAATACAGGACAGGAATAACTGAAAAACAAAAAAAAAGACAAGAAAAGCCAACAAAAAAAAAGAAACAATCAAACAAGCTATGTACAAAAAAGTATCGTCTCAAGCCCAATTCCTTTTTGTCATCTAGTTTTGCACCTCTTTCGATCCCCATACGTTTGAGCCCATATTAAAAGATCCAGTGTATCCCGCACCAAACCCCAAACACTCGTAAAAATGTTTTGTATGAAAGCAGACTGTCTTGTACACAGTCTAATAGAATAATCAAAAAAAGAGAAATCTATCTTCTCAAGTTACCGTGTGTACCTTGTCTCTGCTAAAGGGCCCGATTCACTGGAGTTCCCGCTCTCTTTCGATTTGTCTTTCTCTAGCCATTTCCCACTCACGGTCGCGATCTTCTATTTGTTGCTGTTGCTGCTGCTGCTGACGCTGTTGCTGTTGTTGCTGTTGTTGCTGCATATGCGACAAGACGGCTTCAGCACCGACACCGAGGCCTTTGACGCTTCCGACGGCTCTATCTGTTGCCAACCGCATATCGGCGCCTAAACCGAGTCCGGCACTCGCGGCGCCGCCTGTGGCGACAGCTGCCCGACCGCCCGTGACGTGGGCTTGGTGGACACGCTTGGGGAACTTGTTGATGATGGCGTTGAGTTCGTTCATGCGCAGTGGTTTGGTAATGTATTCGTCCATGCCTGCATTGAGACATTTTTCCCGGTCGCCAATCATGGCGTGGGCGGTAACGGCTATAGAAAGTAAAAGATGAGTTTAGCTCCCATGACACAGCACTTATTATCAACCAGGAAGGACAGCGGGGACAAAATACATACCAACGATGGGTATCCTTTTCAGAGGGGTGTCATGGCCCATTTTCTTTTCAATTTCGCGGATGCGCTGGGTTGCTTCAAAGCCTCCCATGATTGGCATCTAGGGGATAGGCAAGAGGCATTTTAGTCAACCAGGTCAAAGTGAAAATGAGCTAAATAGTAAAATTACCTGAACATCCATCAAAATCAAATCAAATGCATTCCGTTGGAACGCCTCAACCGCCAGTTTTCCATTCTCGACCACGACCACCTTATGTCCAAATCTTTCCAAAATCTTTAGAGCCAATTTTTGGTTCACAAGGTTATCCTCAGCCAGTAAAATCTCGTAACCTGTGCCGGCGCTTCCACTTGCGGCGCCCGCTTCTCCAGTGCCATGCGTCCCACTCTGGATCGAACTCTCCAGCGCAGGAACGAGGGCGTTGATTATGTCTTCCCGTGTTGCGGGACTGGAAGCGTATGAGGAAATACCCGTGTCAATGCACCACTTCATGTCAAGGCGCATACGAGCTGCGGATGCAAAGAGGACGACAGGAATGTATCTGAGACGAGTGTCGTCTCGGACACGTTCGAGGGTGGCGAGGGAGGATAGGATGATGGTGGAGTATGTTGTGCGTTCGGCGAAATCAGAGGCTTCAGGGAGAGAGCGGACGAGGGTTGTGACAAGGCCAAGGTGCTTGAGGGAGACTTCGAGGGTCTCCATCGAATCCGCTGGGTCAGGGGAGCCAGGGGAAATGTACGGCTTGGGAGGCTTGACCGCAGACTCATCATTCTGGACAAAGGCCTCCTCCAACTCGTAGTTATAGTCTTCCTCTTCCAAGAGCAAGATGCTCGAGTTGCGGAAGGCTGACATTTTCTGTTCAACATCTTCCGCAATTTTCTGGGATAGCTTGAATCGGACGTTAAAGTAAAACTGAGACCCTTGGCCAAAGATGGACTTGACCCAAAGATCGCCTCCCATGAGCGCAACCAGGCGACGTGAAATCGTAAGCCCAAGACCTACAATAAAAAAAACGATACCACTACATTATTATCGAATCCGAAAAATATCCACACTCCACACAGACATACCGGTGCCTCCAAACTTTCTTGTCGTAGATCCATCCGCTACATCCAAAGATCAATCAACACAAATCCCAAATATATCACAGAACCAAACAAGTCTCACCCTGGCAGAATGTATCAAAAATCAAATCCATCTTATTCTCTTCAATTCCAATGCCCGTATCCGAGCAACAGAACAAAAGCTCCACAACGTCGCCGGCGATTCCTTTAAACGAAGCATGTAGAACAACTTCACCTATACGTAGACGAAAATAAAGAAAAGAAAACAAATATCATCAGGCAACGTTATGTGTTCCCGTCGTTCAGGACGAAAAATGTCCGAACTGATAATTTGAAAAACAAACCCGTTCTCGGGGTAGTGGAAAGATCAATACCCTCGGCGGTAAATTTAATAGCATTTCCTACGAAACAGGGAGGGTCATTTAGATGATTCGAGCAAATCGGCAAGGCAAAGTCTTAGAATACTCACCAACAAGATTGGTGATAACTTGCTTCAACCTCAAAGGGTCTCCTACTAATTGATCCGGAATTCCATTATCGACATCAAACACCAATGTCAAACTCTTTTGATGCGCCCGGACCGCCAACGTTTTCAAGACCGAGAACACCACACTCCTCAAACTCATTGGAATCTCCTCCATAACCATGCGACCAGCTTCAATCTTGCTGATATCGAGAATGTCGTCAATGATGGAGAGGAGAGAGTTGGCAAGCGAGGAGACAATGATAAGATTGTCTTTTTGTTGGCGGGTAAGCTCTGTTTCGAGTGTCAGGGCCGTCATGCCAATGATACCGTTCATTGGCGTACGAATTTCGTGAGACATGTTGGCAAGGAACTGTTTGCAGCCAGGATTAGCAAACAAATTAGATGGTATGGTAAGTCAAAGTGAATTCACCTCTGATTTTGCTCTGTTTGCAAGTTCAGCAGCCTCCCTTGCGGCCGTGTTCTTTTGAATAGAGTCGCGCAAGGTCAAGACCATTTGGTTGATCTGCATACAATCACCATAATTAGTGTCCACTTCATATCTTGAATTTTCTCTAGTTGCAACCTACCTTGCTCTTCAAACTAGCCATTTCACCTTCGACTTTGATATCAATGAGACGCGTGAAGTCGCCATCCGTCGCCGCGGCACTAATATCTGCAAAGGCTCTGACTTGCGATCTGCACAATAATCATCATGAACACTGTACATGCAAATCTTCACACTCTCTTCCCAAAGTCCGGATGTCTACTCACGTCAAATTGGCAGCCATGGTGTTGACATTGACGATAATGGTTCTCCAAGTGCCCTCTACATCGTCGACCTGAGCTTGCACACCCAACTTGCCCTCCGTTCCGACCTCGCGGGCTACTCTCGTCACCTCAGCAGCAAATGTACGCAACTGATCCACCATTCGGTTGACGGTGTCCTTCAATTCCAGGATCTCGCCTCCACCTTCGACGACAATCTTCCTGCCAAGATCTCCCCTCGCGACGGCCTTGGTAACACCCGCAATGTCACGTACTTGGCGCTGTGGATTCGTAGGTAGGTGCATTGTTGAATAACATGTACTACATCGTAATAACGAGCGATCCCCTTCTTACCGTCAAGTTGGCGGCCATGGCATTCACAGATTTTGTCAGCTCTTCCCAGATACCAGCAACATCCTTGACAACGGCCTGCCCGCCCAGCTTTCCCTCTGTTCCGACTTCACGAGCCACTCGTGTGACCTACACCATGTCCGTCAAGCAAATCAGCACCCTGCACGATGAAGTAGAACACCAACGTATAATGCCACAAGACCTCTCACCTCGCTAGCAAATAATCTCAATTGGTCCACCAAAGAATTGACCGTCTCCTTGAGCTCGAGCATTTCACCTCGAACGTCTACTTCTATCTTACTACTAAGGTCTCCTCTTGCAATACATTTACTGACGCGCCCAATGTCACGCACTTGAGTCTGTCCAGAAAAAAATAGGATTAGTAAGTGGCATAGCAATGGGCAGTTGCTTGATGCATACCGTAAGATTATCAGCCATAGCATTCACAGCCTCAGTCAACTCTTTCCATGTACCGGCAACATCCTTCACGACGGCTTGTCCACCAAGTTTACCTTCCGTGCCGACTTCACGGGCGACTCGGGTGACTTCTCGCGCAAATGTCCTCAACTGGTCTACTAAACTATTGACAGTCTCTTTAAGTTGTAACATTTCTCCTTGAACGTCTACAGTGACGGTCCTCGACAAATCACCGGCGGCAATAGCCGTACTGACGGAAGCAATGTCACGCACTTGAGCGGTAAGGTTGGCAGCCATGGCGTTGACAGAGTCCGTTAAATCCTTCCAGGTCCCGGCAACATCCTTCACTACAGCTTGTCCACCAAGTTTACCTTCCGTGCCGACTTCACGAGCGACTCGTGTGACTTCTCGTGCAAATGTTCTCAATTGATCAACTAAACTATTGACGGTCTCTTTGAGCTGTAACATCTCTCCCTGGACATCGACCGTAACCGTCTTCGAGAGGTCGCCAGAGGCAATGGCAGTACTGACGGATGCAATGTCCCGCACTTGGGCAGTAAGGTTTGCAGCCATGGCGTTGACTGAATCGGTCAAGTCTTTCCATGTGCCAGCAACGTCTTTGACGACAGCCTGCCCGCCGAGCTTGCCTTCAGTTCCGACCTCTCTCGCGACTCGCGTTACCTCCCGTGCAAAAGTCCTTAGCTGATCCACCAAACTGTTCACGGTTTCCTTGAGCTGGAGCATCTCTCCCTGGACGTCCACCGTCACCGTTTTCGATAGATCACCTGCAGCAATGGCCGTACTAACAGAGGCAATATCTCGCACTTGGGCGGTCAGATTCGCAGCCATGGCGTTCACAGAATCGGTTAGATCTTTCCAAGTTCCTGCAACGTCTTTGACAACTGCCTGCCCGCCCAATTTGCCTTCGGTTCCTACTTCCTTAGCAACACGAGTGACTTCTCGGGCAAATGTTCTTAGCTGATCTACCAGACTGTTGACGGTCTCTTTGAGCTGCAGCATCTCTCCCTGGACGTCGACCGTCACAGTCTTCGATAAATCACCTGCAGCAATGGCGGTACTAACAGAGGCAATATCTCGCACTTGCGCAGTTACTGTTTGGAACAAGTAGTCAGAATCACTTCAACTTAATACAACTGCACTGGCCCCCACTTACAGTTGGCAGCCATAGCATTGACAGATTCTGTCAACTCCTTCCAGGTTCCCGCGACATCTTTAACGACAGCTTGCCCACCAAGTTTGCCCTCAGTCCCCACCTCTCGAGCTACACGCGTCACTTCGCTCGCAAAGGTCCGCAGTTGGTCGACCAGAGAGTTCACCGTCTCTTTCAGCTCCAGCATCTCCCTCTACATTGACGGTAACCGTGCGGCTGAGATCTCTTTAGCAATGGCCGAACTGACAGAGGCAATATCCCGAAGTTGCGCAGTAAGGTTACTGAATAAGATAAGGTGTGTGAGCATCGGAGCCTCCTTGAACGAACATCCTCGCCATCAAATGTTACCTTGCCATAGCATTCACCGACTCTGTCAGCTCCTTCCAAGTTCCCAGCAACGTTTTCCACAACTGCTTGTCCGCCCAGCTTACCATCCGTGCCCACTTCACGAGCCACTCGGGTAACCTAAGGAAAGTGAATCACTCGTCAGAACATGACTGCCATGTACCGTTTGCATGATATCAGATACTCACCTCAGACGCAAACGTGGTTAATTGCTCAACCAAGCTATTCACAGTCTCTTTGAGTTCCAAGATTTCTCCGCGTCCGTCTACCCGTACTTTGCGACTCAAATCACCCTTGGCAATGGCCTTTGTCACATCTGCAATGTCCCGGACTTGCGCTGTTAAATTTGCCGCCATCGCGTTTACAGACTCGGTGAGTTCCTTCCATGTTCCTGCAACGTCTTTGACGACAGCTTGACCCCCGAGCACGCCCTCTGTGCCTACTTCCCGCGCCACTCGTGTGACCTGTCCATTAAAATTAATGCTTCTGTAAATAATGCACCAACGCAATTTAGAACATACCTCAGATGCGAACGTTCGCAGTTGATCAACAAGACTATTGACAGTTTCCTTCAGTTCCAGCATTTCACCACGGACATCCACAGTGACCGTGCGACTTAGATCGCCTCTCGCAATGGCAGAGCTGACGGATGCAATATCTCGCACTATTGCAAATCAGCAATCTGCTAGGCGTAACATATTGCGTAAACATTACAACCCACCTTGTGCAGTAAGATTGCCAGCCATGGCATTGACAGATTCAGTCAACTCCTTCCAAGTTCCACCAACATCCTTGACGACAGCCTGCCCTCCCAACCTCCCTTCGGTACCTACTTCACGAGCCACTCGAGTCACCTACACCTCACCGTAAATACACACTACCAAGAACACGTATGTATGATGGACGAGCATACCTCTGCTGCAAATGTTATCAACTGATCCACCAAACTGTTCACAGTCTCCTTGAGCTCCAAAATTTCACCGCGACCATCCACGCGGACCTTTTTGCTCAAATCACCTCGTGCAATCGCTTTGGTCACATTAGCAATGTCTCGCACTTGATCTAAAACAGGGTACAGGCGTTAGATGAGCATGCGACGCTTAACAATGGAGGAAATACTCACCCGTTAGATTGGCAGCCATTCTGTTTACATTGTCAGTAAGAACAGCCCAGGTTCCACTGACACCGTGAACCTGAGCCTGGACGCCCAACTGCCCTTCCGTTCCGACCAGATGCGCCACCTTTGTGACCTACATAATACCAAATGCTTTAATATCACTTGTTCAAGCACACATAACGAAAGGTTAGAATGTGTTACCTCAGTAGCAAACGAGCTCAGTGTGGTGACCATCATGTTAATCGTGTCTTTCAAAATGAGCGCATCACCCTTGAGATCTACCCGAATCTCCCTGGTCAGGTCACCCGCAGCAACAGCTTTGCATACTTCAACAATCTCCTTGATGCGATCGCTGTGGGTTCCGGTGACATTGTTGACGCCCGTCACCAGATCGGCCCAGGCGCCTGTGGATTCCCCTACCTCCACCTGAGCACCCAATTTGCCTTCAGTACCAATATCATTCAACACTTTGTTCATGGGTGTGATGACTGTGTCCAAACGTTCGACGGTAGAGTTGATGCTAACGGAAAGCGCGGCGTGCAGGGGAGAGGCCCCAGAGAGGGAAACACGTTGGGAAAAGTCACCATTTCCAATAGCATTCACCACGCGTATGCATTCGTTGACAACCTCGTCGCTATTTCCGTTAGAGAGGAGCGGAGCTGCGGGGCCATCGATTGGGCCATTATCCATGGAAGCCGGGGTATATGGACCAGGCGGAGTTGGTAGGCTGGCAGTATGTCGGTACAAGTCCATGGGGTTCGGCTCGAGGCGCAAATCCTTTTTCGCTTGGGCAGTGTCTGCGTGTTTGCCATGTGTGAGTTGAGAAAATCAAGAGATTGGCGCCTCACATCTCATGCCACCAGAGTAACACCAACACAAAAAAAAAAATCAGCGCCATGCACACACGACACTTACTCTCTGCTAGCTCTTCCCGCAAAGCTTGATGCGACTGCAACAGCATCCTCAACATCTCCTGCATCCTCTGTGCCTGATCATCAATTCCATTCTCGTCCACATCAGCCGGCATCGTCTGTGCAACAGTTTGAGGCCCAAAAATGAACGTTCCAATTTTGGCCGTGATCGACTTTGACCGCACGGGTTTGGCCGGAATATTAGAGTGCGCCTTCGCCAGAGGTGGGTCCGTCAGACTCGAAAGTGAGGCATTGGGAGAGGAAAGGTCTGTAAGACTCTCGACGAGAGTGGATGCACTGTCCCATTCTCCTGCATTGATGCAAGCGAGTACGGACTCTACATTGCCCAAGAGGCAGGCAGAGCTATTGCGCATTGCTAAAATTCGGAGAAAAAAAAATAAATGGTGAACCAGACTGTAGACACCCAAACTGACAGCACGAACCTACCACAAAATGGGTGGGAAGAAAAACTACGCAATTGGCGTATAGGTGTTCGTATGTGAGGAAATACTCACCAAAACATCCACCAGCAAGACAAATGAAAACCCAAAATGAAAATCAACAACGAACAATGGACGGAGGTGGTTTTTTCATAAGGTTGAGGAGGAGGAGGAGGAGGGGGTCTGCTGAGGAGTTGAATTGAACGAATTGTGTCACGTGACTTATATTGAGTGCCGAATCCGCGGCGCAAAACAACATTTGGGGACACTTTTTGATGGGAATCGCATGGGGTGAAGCTGCTGTTCCTATGCAACTTGTCCATGCGCTTACTCCTAGGAGGACGAGAAGGAAGGGAAGGAGGGAGGAAGGAGAACGGGAGGATAACATCTGTAGTCATAAAATGCGTATAAACAAAGGGAAATCCAAAGGACATACAACGCTACTACAAGTCCAACAGTTGGATCAAAAGGGCCAAAGGAGATTAAAGGAGGGAGACAATTCCAAACGATCGGATGCAAAATGGGACATTTATTATTACTTGAACGCCCAAATCTAACATTTTCTATTGTATTTCACGCTGTAAGTGTGCTAAAAAAGTGTGAAATGCATCATGGCCTTTCAACCGCGGTTGTAGTTTATCGTTCAGGATTGAGAATACATCCATAGGTTTTATGCAATATATCGTTTATTGATGCTTGTGGTTTCATCCAATAACTCAAAATACCCAAAACCCAAAGAAACAAAAGGACGTGTCACGCTCGCACAGTTCATGACTCGGCTGCCAAATTCATCCGCCCTTGTTGCAACATTTAAAAGACCACTCGGCCCCCATCGTCGTCGTCGTCGTCGTCGTCGTCGTCGTCGTATTATTTTGTTTTAACCACTGCCAACGATAAACAGCAATGCCATTTACCTATGACAATTACAAGGACATTCTCGTCGCGCTTGACGGGCCTGTCGCCATATTGACATTCAACCGGCCCAAGTAGTATGTACTTTCAAAATTTCCCCAGGTTTAACAAAAAGAAATATCTAAATAAATATCCAGTCAAAATGCATGGACGGAAGAAATGAACAAGGAAGTCATTCACGCCTTTGAGCAATTTGATCTGGATGACCGAGTTCGGGTTGTCATTGTGACGGGAACGGGTGGAGCGTTTTGTGCTGGTGTACGTTCTAAAAGAAAGGCTTGACAATGTTGATGTCGTGTGTAAACCAGTTTGTTTTTTAGGCTGATTTGAGAAAAGGCGATTTCTCTACAGACGGACGATACCAACCCATTACCATCAACGGTGAGCCTTCATACGCAGCACTCGTACACTCGTTCACTCGTAACCAATGGTTTTTTTTTTTTTTTGACAATAGACCATCGTGATGGAGGAGGTCAAGCCTCGCTGGTCATTCAGCGATGCCGCAAGGTGGTGATTGCGGCTATCAATGGGCCGGCGGTAGGCGTTGGGATCACCATTGTACGTTTTTCTTGTCTGTTGTTTAGGAGAAACGAGTATGTGGCTTACACAAATCATTTGCATGTTGGATAGACTTTGGGAATGGACATCCGAATTGCGTACAAGGATGCAAAGATTGGGTAAGAGAATTGTACAATGTCCCAAGGTCTATACCGTACGCTCAAACTGCATATTCTAGTTTTGTCTTTGTCCGCCGGGGTATCGTCCCGGAAGCCACATCCACCTACCTTCTCCCCCGCCTTATAGGCCACTCACGTACCATGACCCTATTCCTAACCGGCAAGGTGTACCCCGCCCACTCTCCCCTTCTTAGTCTCCTCTTTTCATCGCTCATCGACACACCGGACCAAGTTTTGCCCGCTGCTCTGGAGCTCGCAAAGGAAATTGCAGGAAAGACGAGCGCAGTCAGTGCAGCGTTTGCCAAAGCTCTGGTTTGGAGACCAAAGGCGTCCCCAGAGGAACAGCATCTGTTGGATTCAAAGGCCATGTACGCGACTGGGAATGGCGCAGATGGGAAAGAGGGTGTCAAGAGCTTTTTGGAAAAGAGGCAGCCAAAGTTTGCAGGGACAGTCACAAAGGATCTGCCAGACTTTTACCCTTGGTGGGATCTTGTCGACGTCAGGTCCAAGATCTAAGTCTATGTAGGGTAGCAGCATTAGGACGCAATTGGCCACGTTCTCGATAAAGTCCAAGAAAAGAAGGATAGACAGGTGGTATCCTAGCCCCAAAAATTCGCAACAATTCAATAAACAAAGCTGTGGTTTCAAAAACAAAATAAAATACACAAAAAGAACCACATTATAACATTCACCACATCGACTCATCAACTGCACCTATCCATCCCACAAACTTTTTGCCAACATCACTCTCCAACCCCACAACCTCATTGACGACATCAGCCAAAACTTTTTTCATCTCCCCCTCATTCTGATCCGCTTCACCTTCTCGAGCCGCCAACTTTACGCTCTCGCGCTGCTCAATAGACGCATGAACGAGTTTCCCAAACAATCTTTCGTCCTGAATAGTTTGTTTAAGGGAAAGGTACGTATGGAGACTGGCGAGGAGAGAGGGGAGTTGATCTCTGATGGCGTATTGGGTGGATGTACTTGTTGAGGGAGTTGGAGAGGGTGGCTGAGGAGGGGCTTGGACGGAAGTGTCAGGTTGTGGTTCGGATTCAGATTCGGATTTGGGAATCTGTTGAATCCCAGCGACGCTCGCAAATTCTTGAAGCAATTTCACATCTGCGTCCAAGAACCCTTCCACCCGTTCTGCCCAGACATCATCTGGAACATCATCGCGGGGTAAAGCCAACAGAGAACGAAACCTCCCATAGGCATCTCCAACCCTCTTCTTGATCCTTCCAAACAGTTCAGGGTGGACGACTTCCAACCGAAGCAGTTTCAAAGGACCGTCCTCAGCGCCTCGGATGGGAACACGAAACCGCCCCGTCCACTCTTCATCATCGGAATCCATAATTTCAGATGTGGAGAGCACAACCGCCTCAACGACCTCGCGAAACATTTGGCGTAACCGTTTAGAAGACGACAGAAACCGGTGCGTAATGAGTGCTTCCCATTTGTCGTCGGGGATGGCGGAGCGTGGGGCGTACAGTGCGCGAATGAACCGGTTGTAGTCATCATGCGATGTGAGGTGTTTTTGAAGAAGGTTAAAGAAAAGGGGGTGCTCGGTTTCCAGGTTGCGGAGGTTCGCAGGGTCAGAGCGGACTTTGACCACGACTAGGCCAGAGGTGTCTTGGTCGGACGGAATTGCGTCCTCTTCTTGTACTTCGCCGAGAGGTAATGCCGAACTCGACAGCTTGGCCTCATCAATGTCCAATTCATAAACAGCAATCTCTCGTAATTGCTCCAACAGTTGACTCGACCTCATATACTTTTGCACCCCTGCGGCCCACTCTTGGTCCGTCACGTCCGCCGGGGCGCTGAAAAAGAGTGTGAGGAAGCGCTCATACTCGGAGGGCGTCGGAGATGTCGGGGTGTGCTCGTGATCGTGCGTAGGGTGATCGTGCGTATGGGGGTGATGATGGTGCGGCGTGAGGGCCTTTTTGACGTTGGCAAAAAATTGGGGATCTACGTAAAACGTTAGTTCGGAGGTGCTTGCGAAACGTAAACAAAATACATTACATACAGTCACTTTCCAGCCTAGCCATCATTTCCGGAAACTCTCTCATCTTGACAATCGAATCCAGCCACTCAACCTTTTTTGGTTCCTCCACAGCATTATCCTCCTTGTGTATCGCCTCGTATTCGTCCTCGAAACTGCGATCACTTCCTTCATCGTCAGAACCCTCTAACACCTCTTCATACATATCATACCCAACCAACTCTTTCAGAATCGCCAAAAGGCTCGGTCCGTCCTGCATCTTAGCCCCAATGGACCGCATCCAGGTTAAATCGTCCATATGATCACGGGGAATGTAAAATAGTTCTTGGAGGTTCTCCCAGTCTGTTTCACTTGGACAGCAGCTTTTGCGAATGTTTTCGAAAATGTCTGGATTGCGGGCGAAAAGGTCCCGCATTTCATTCGGGCGGTCCATCATGGCAACGTGAAGATCATATGCAATGTAATGGCCATTAAGACAAACTTCGGTGGGCTCCGGGTCAGGGTCGGCTTGCATGGGGCTGGCAGGGGTAGAGCTCATGGGCGACGGGGACTTGATTTGCAATTTCGTATCGAACGGAGAGATGTCAAGGTGAAGAGGTGCGGGCGTTGGAGGAAAGTACGGATGTCCGCCTTCTGCCACTTCGGGAGGTGGCGAAAAGGTGACTTTGCTGCTAGACCTCCTCGAGAGTTTGCCGCCCTCGGCCGCAGCGGCAGCAAAGGACGTATCGCCTGCGACAGATTCTGTAGCAATCTCTTCTTCACGTATTCCAAAAGCATCTTTAAAGTCTTCAAACAAGTCGGCATAATCAGTCAAGAACGTCCTGATGGCCACCAACCAGTCGGTATCAGATACGATGGAACATTGGGCCTTGAGGAGTTCAATGAATCCCGCATAAAGGGGAGACCACTCTGGGTGACTTTTTGTGTCAACTGAGATGCCCAAGTCCTTGAGGACTCTGAGGGCTTTCTTTGCGACTTTGTCATCAACGTGATCAAATGCCTGTTGGGCCCGTTCCAAAAACTGGACATGCCTCAGAGCATTGTTGGTGAGAGCATTAATCCTCCAGGTGTGAAAGTTGACAGCGAGGGGAGATGTGGCCACGTCCATGACCGAGAGCTTACGGCGAGGTGAGAGAACGGGCGCCGAGGTATCCACCCACTTTGGAGAGCTACTCTCTCGCCGGTGATGGTGCGTGTTAATGTTGAGCAGGTTGGCCATGTTGATACTGGCGATTTGTTTTTGAAAAAAGGCTGCTGAGAGCGCGACTTTTGCAATTTAACTTGTAAACCTGCAAAGAACAGAACACACATGTCACTCTTTCCGTTCGCTTTCCCTCGTCGCTTACTCCCATCACAAAATTCAACATACACAATAACATACCACAGAAATAATTAAGAAACATACGCCAGCGTTTGCTTGCAATTTCCTACTCTAAAAAGCGTTTTGGTTTTGCTGCCAGTAGGCAAAGGGGAAACAAAAAGGACACAAACGGGCGAACGAAACTCTAAAGCAAGTCCAAGTCATTTCTGTGGCCTTCTACTGCATTCTAATCATTATTCACACTACAGTGCACTCCAATCACGTTCCACCCTCAATGTGTATTAATGGAATGCACTCAAACGCATTCCATTCATATGCAATCCTATCACGCGACGTTTGGTGACGTCACAAACGCGCGATTGTGTCAGCAACTGTCATGTGAATTATATATGCACGTGATTAGGCTTAAAGTTTGGAGAAGGTGTCAAGTCAGTGTGCATTGTGTTTGGGCATTATGGATTTAGATATTTCTGCCCATTACAATGCTCTGGCATGCCTACGTTGGATGCTTGAATTCATGTTTCTAACCTGCATGAAGAGTGCCAAGCAGGGCTTCCAGCGAACTGCACATCGACATGTACGTGAGACGACGTCAGAGAGATATACTTGTATGCCGGATGAGGTCACCAGGTTCGTCCCTGTAAACCGAGGCGTTGAATCACAATGTTGCAGTACCCAGCACCAGAATTCAACTGCACTAATGCGAGAGAACAAGTGATCCAGTGAAGGTGCCGAGAATAAAGGGAATCCAAGGATCACACAACCATCATTCAAAGCATTACATCGATGGGTTCATGTGCGCCGTCATCACATTGGCAAGTCCGGGATTGCGATCATGTGCGCAACCAGTGCCATTGCTCAGCGATTGCTGGACCTTAGGAAAGACTGCATTTCATTGATTTAGTGTGTAGACGCCAAGGGAAATATGGCAAAAGATCGACTCCAACGTTTCTGCATTTGGTCCAGTAAAGTCATCATACTTGTACACATGTAAAAGGAACTCGTACGCCCCACACATTAATAGGTCGTAATCTGAGGCTGCTTCCATATTCCCCATGCAGGGACCCTCCCCACAACCCTGACTTGCTTGCCATCCCTTATTCCCCGCTTTTCATCAACCATCCACCAACCCTCTCTCCATACCCGCGTTGGGCCCCTCAGCAACACTCCTCCATCCTCTACCCTCCCCGCAATCCACCCAATTATACCCATTCCACACGCCACCATCCCGCACACAATCAATGTACCACCAAAGATGCTTGTAATGACGCGGGGGCGAGACGCTACGACATAGCATACGTACGTCACCGTGTATCCGCACAGTGGATAAATCAGCGCTTCGACAGGTGGAATGTGCGACATGTATTGGGTAGTGAGGAGTGCAGAAGAGCAGATACTGATTGGAATAACCTGGGAGCCTACCAGGCTATGGCGATGAGATGCATTTCCACCCGTCGGGATCCTCGGGTGTTGCCCGACACGTGGAACATGACCGACTGATTTTAACAAGGACCCTATCCAAGTCGCTCGCCTCATCAACACTCTTGCTGCTGTTGGAAATCATCTCAATCCAACCTGGAATATATGCTCCAAGTCGACATTAGGTATTATCTATTTATAGAGTTGGAATATGAAAAATAGTAACAGGTCGAAAATGACATTAGGTAAACGAGAGGCTTGACATGGCGCAGTGTGGCGTCGACCTTGCTGTCGTTTTTCTCCTTCAAACGGCATCGTTTGAAGGCTAGAAAATTGCGGAGATACTCAGCTCCTAGGCAAATATGTTCTTAATGGTAAGTACTTTGTACATCCCCACAAACACCCGGAAAGCAAGCCCTCACTCAGCAAAAGAGAGATGATGCTTTCACGAAACAACGATTAGTCTTGAAGACCTATCTCGTGGTTACAATTTTGCCCGTGACTGATTCTTTTGAGGGGGCTGATGAGTGTTTGGAGGGATTTTGACATAGTTTAATAATGCTTTTGATCGGATTTGCTCATCTTATTTTTCGTTCACGGGTTGTAGGATACGACATGATACGGCACGAGTCGGAACGCAGACATACGCAAGTTTGGTATGGTCAAGTGGTAAAAGGAGTATACCAGATGCACTGACATGGAACGAGGACGATTGGTCCATATGGCGACTCTTTATGCAGTCCTAGGTCCTACTCTGATGCAACAGCATGAGCACTGTGTTCATCACATTAGGATATAAGATATGTGTACTCGAGTTTCGCACCAATAAGATAGAACTTCTTGTCTTTTTTATCATGTCTGCGATGTACTATATTCAAATTATTTCACGGATGACTGCATGGGTTTGGATCTCTACTTTGATGTCCAGCATCTTGGCCAATGGTGGGATTGAAGAGCAGGCAATCCATTGCAGGGACCCCGTAGATCTATTTCGTTTAGAACTGTGAACCAAAACCGTCGATGCGGATCATGCAAGGAAGGGCCCGCCGGCAAACCAACTCGTAAGGATGAGCAGATCGTAATGGTCATCAATCCTCTCCTCGTTCAGCAGCAGCATCAGCAACAAATTGCTCAAAGGACGACCAATGCTAATAACAGATAAAGAACAAACGTAAAGGAAAAAGTCACCACACGTGTGTTGCGTCGCCCACAAAAACTGAAAACAGAAACATGAAGGGAAATCGCGCGGTACGCCCCCCCCCGTGTTGCGAGGACTCTCCGCCCCGACACGCCCAATCCATTTCGGACCTTTTTGTCCATTTTGTACTTTACATTTTGGACACCCATCATCAGCACATGTGCACATCCTACCTACCGCTATCCAACATATGAACAGTCTCTACCTGGTCAATAACTAGATTTTGCATTATACAAACGTTTCTCGTCGTTTGCCAACGTCACGCTATCCCTACCCACCTTCTCCGGACACTTGTTGGTTCTGCGCTTTGAACGCCGTTGCCTGTGAAAGGGGCAAATCATAGGTCCCTTGTCCTCACTTGTATTCTCCGTCCCTCGCATCTACTCTACTGTTAAGAAGTACGGTGGCCGTTCAGCTTGTTTCTTCCGTTTCGGCATCTTTTCCCATTCTGGGGATAAAAATATACCCAACTCCACAATGACGATTCGATTCCAGATCGAAGAGGAGGGGCGAGAGCATTTCTCAAAGGTTGCTACAGCCTTATGGCGTAGTAAGCGGTGTGTTGTTGTTACGGGTGCTGGGATTTCGGTTTCTGGGGGCATACCGGTGAGTGAGTGCTTTTCCTGGGTTTTGAGATTGTCATGATTGCATGAGAAGAAAAACATGAGTTGTGGGAAGATTGGGTCGTTTTCAATACGAGATGGGGGCAGATGTGGTGTGGAATGGGTCTAGGATGGGCATTGGCATTCTGGAATGGGGACCACGGTCATGGAAGGAGACATTTGGCACGCCATGCTAACAATTGGCTTCTTTTCATATTCCCGTACACAGGACTTTCGGTCCGCCGACGGTCTCTACAATCTTGTAAAAGAGAAATATCCCAACGCTATTGTCAAAGGCAAAGATCTGTTTGACGCCACGCTTTTCAAAGACCCAGTGTCCACATCCCTCTTTTACACATTTATGGCGGAACTCAAGCAAGTCATTAACCAAGCCAACACGACTCCTACACACCACTTTGTCAAGGATCTTGACGAACGAGGACAGCTCCTTCGCTGTTATACGCAAAACATTGATTGTTTGGAGCTAAGATTGCAAATGTCGTGCGATTTGAGCAATAAGCAGAGCGCGAGGATTGTGCAACTGCATGGGGATTTAGACCATGTTGTGTGTACAATCTGTCAGGCCATGTTTGACTTTAGCGATACCTTTCGAGATGATTTCAAAGAAGGCGGGCCTCCGTCTTGTCCGACCTGTGTTGAGATGGAGGGAGTGAGGATTGCAGCTGGCAAGCGGCCTTTACCTATTGGGACTTTGAGACCCAACATTGTTTTGTATAATGAGCATCACTCGCGAGGTGAGCTTATATGATCATTTGAATTTATACGCACGGCACTGACTTGCTTCCGTTCCTTTTAAGGCGATCAAATCGCCGACATGACTGCTTACGACGTCAAGAAACGCCCTGATATGCTCATCGTCATGGGAACATCACTTAAAGTAGTAGGCATCAAGCGCCTCGTCAAAGATCTCGCTAAATCTGTGCATGAGCTGCGAAACGGCCAAGTAGTATTCATCAACAACACGGAAATTGGACATAAGGAATGGGACGACGTCTTTGATTACCATATTTTAGGCAAAACGGATGACGTTGTCGCTGAGTTGGAGCAGGAAATGAAAAGGTTGGATGTGATCGCCCAGCTGAGAGCGCAAAAGTTGGCGAGAGCGCGAGAGCAGAAAGAACTGGCGAGTTTTGTAGAGAGGGATCCTACCCGGGACCTTCAGCTACCAATAATGGCCAACAATGAATCAGGTAGGCTCCTTTTCAGTTTTGTCGTTTTCATTCTTTTTCTCACTGCGGGTGGGTGTAGGTGTAGATCGCCTCGTAGAAGTTGGCACCACCGACCTGTCTGCCGGGGCCCTCATGAGTAAACCATCGCAGTCAGCGTCCTCTAAAGCCACACTAGGGAAATCCTCACGCAAACCCAGCAAACCAACAAAGACCAGAGCAACGCCCAAGACCGCAAAAGGCAAAGAATCATCATCCTCCGGCAAAACCAAGGCCGCCTGCCCAGACATTCTGTCATTTATGCAAGTCAAAAAACCCCAAGGGTGTACCGACAACAAATCCGTCACACTCGACCCTCCTCGCGGCCGATGCGACGCGTCCGCCAACCGAGACCGTTCCACCACTCCCACAGGCAGAGAGTCTACCTCCCCACCTCAAAGCCCCAGCAAACGAGGCGCCAAATCTGCACCGGGGAGTCCAAGCAAGAAGCAAAAGATGGTCGTAGAGGTTGAAGAAGAAGATTCGTCCGTTCCACCCCTTATCCGAGAAGAATCGGTTGCAGATGAAGAAACATGTATGCCACCCATCCTCCTAACGGTGCCTCCCAAAACAAAACCACCCCGACAACCACGGAAGAAACCAGCGGCAAAAAAGCCCCCTGCAAAGAAAAAACCGGCTGTCACGCAGCAACTACCCATTACTTGTACGCTCAAGACCGTCAAACCCCGAAACACGTTGACATCGATTGTAGCAGGGAAACCAGATGTCGATTCTCCGCCTCCGTTATGTGTACGCAAGAGTGCTAGGTTGCTAGCAAAGACATAGCGATTGTATATATTTATATAAACGCAATAAATGGGCTTAATGTGATATAGATGTGTATCTGTTTTGAGCTCGCGCTTGCTCTCCGTTCCAGGGAAGGTGAACAGAAAGAAGGATCAGGAAGCGATTGCGTTCAGCGCTTATTTCGGAACTTGAAAGTCTCTATCCCTTGCGATATCCTGAAAAGTCCATGTGCTCTTCCCCAACAACCATAAGGGCGCGCAAAAGAATACAGCAAGTCGAATAATACACTCTTACGAAAATATATTGCAAATTACACCCATAGAATTAAATGGTAAATAAACTGTCCATACACCACTAACAACCCAAAAACCCAAATCTAGTGATATCCTACTTGCGTGCCCACACCCGTTCCCCTTCCTGCCGCTCACCCAATCCCTCAAACTCAGTCACACGCTCCTCCCACGAACTCTTGAGACTTCCGACCGGTCGTGGCCGTAGTCTCAGCTCCTGGTCTTTGAGAAGATGTTTGGAGGCAACGTATACGCCGACTGCATAGAATAACGAGTTAGGCTACTGGAAAAGGAGAAAATGATGTTGAATACGTACATCCGAGCCCTGTTGCGAGCATCCCAAAGAGGGGGTAGCATTCCGATGGAAGTGATTTAAACGACATTGTGTTGTGGTCGAGTTTGCCTTGAGTTGACTTTGGTTTTGCTTTGTGTTTTGTGTTTGCTTTGCCGTGCTCGTGCTTTGGTTATGCTCTGGTACGAATGAACGATTGCTATACTCACCTCTTCTTTATATAACCCATATCGGAATTCCCCGGTTCATAGCAGGTCGATACCCTGCATAGGAATCAGCCATTGCAAAGGCAGAGAGTGAATCATGATCGATGCACCCGGAGGAATGGACGCGTCAACGTGAGTCAGTTTAGGTAAGCGTGAATTGTTTATTTGTTGATCGCTGTTTGTAGAGAAAGAGTTTAGTGTGGTTTGTTTAATTGGGGAAATGACAGATATTATAGGTGGCGTGCTAGAAGCATCCAAGTTGGAAGGCAGCGTTGGCAGGATATGGCATGTTAGAAAGACGTTATATTCGTCTTGAATAAAAGACCAGTGTGCGGATATTGTCGTTGGGCAGAGGGGTTCAGTGCGTGCTAATGTAGGGTGAGGTGAAAGAAAGTCTGCATTAGCTAAGATGGATGAGGGGGAGCCACGTATTTTCGCTTGAACAACACTGTTGCGCTTATACGTTGGATTGTGCTTTTAGTGTTCACGAGTTAATTTCCTCCCAATATTTCAAGACAGCACCATAGCGCAGAGGAAGCGCGCAGGGCTCATAACCCTGAGGCCCCTGGATCGAAACCAGGTGGTGCTACTGCATCGCGGGCAGCTTGGTTTTTTTTTGGCTGTTACGCAATTAGGTGTCCTCCTTTGCGTGCCCTTTTTTTGCGTCCATGGCGCTCTGCGCAAGTTGTCCACTCTGAAAGGAAGGAGACCTGCGTGGGATGCGCAGCCTCCCACACGAACTCCAATTCAACATTTTTGCGCAACTCGAACTAGGTGACCTCCTCAACTGTCGAGTGGCGACGCGGGATTGGTACCAAGTGACGACCACCCTCCTCTTCAAAGACCCCGACCCTTGGCGTCTTGACCGTCTTCTGTCCACCCTCCGTCGATCCCGTCAATGGCGAATCGACGCACGCTCAAGAGATGCAGAATCGAAAAAGGCACGTTCCAAACATGCATGGTCCAAATGTGCAAACATTCCTATCATTAACATTGCAAACCCATGTGCTCCAAACAGGGCGTCGTCGGTGAAGATATCCTCTCCTGTTACCCAGGGCATCACGTCAAGACCCTCCGCCTAGGCCCCCTAAAAGGATTCAAGAGCCGGATCGACAATACCTTTGTCAATGACTTTACACGCTGCTTATCCTTTGATGGCTCAATTACTCACCTCGTCTGGCTGGATCTATCCGATTGCTATCTAGTCAACGACACTGCGTTCATTCATCTCATCTCCTCTAGTCCGTATCTGGTGCATCTGAACGTCTCTGGATGGTCGGGGTTATCCGACACCGCCATCAAGCACATTGGAGAGTGTACACGACTTCGTACGCTGATTCTCGGGGTTATCTTTGAGAATTGTAGAGCGGTTGGAGATGCGGTGCGGGGGAGTCGGAGGACATTGGAGGTGTTTTGTGTGGATAGTGGTGTTGATTGGGTATGCGGGAAGATTGTTTTGGATGAAATGGCGCTTACCACTCTTTCTGTCGCGAGGATACCAATGTGTAATGATGGGTTGGAGAAGGTATTGCGGTGTGGAAGGTTACGTGAACTGTGTTTAACGAAACAGGAGAGTTTGCCTTGTCTGGCGAGATTGGGAGAGTGGTGTACCAAACTGGTGTCGGTTAACCTTGCTCAAACCAAGTTCCCACCGTCAACACTCGCCAGTCTCAAAACATGCCGTTCAACCCTCCAATCACTCAACCTAAGTTTCTGCTCGAACGTTACGGATGCGGATCTGGAACCTCTTGTGCGCGATCTTCCGTACCTTTTGTCTTTCAAAGTGGACGGATGCATGCTGCTTACCGATGCGCCCATCATCACCCTCCTCCACCACAGCCCACTCTTAACTGACCTACATTTTAAAAGCACGAATATCACCTCCACAACATTCAACGCAATAGTCAACGCCCATTGTGCAAACCAGCTAGTACATCTCTCTGTGAAACATTGCGTGGGCATTCATGCCGATACCCTCCTTACTCCCGAGCTCGCCCGTTTATCGCGTCTAGAGAGCTTGGATGTCTCGGGGTTGGACTTGACGCATGTCCATGTGGAGGTGCTCGCGCGTGCGTTGCCGAGGCTGAGGGTGTTACGGATTGTAGGTTGTGATGGCGTATCTATTGAGTTTGCTAGGGAGTTTAAAGAGTGCAATGCACTTGGCGAGAAGATTGCTTTGGTGGATGTGTATGGTGTGTGAAGGACAAGGGGATTTATATAGCGCTCATTATTTGAGCATCATGTTTAGCTTCATTTAGAGAGCAATGTAACATAGGATTGTGCATTCGAATATCCTTATTGCTCAAGTCGGAGGATCTTCCTATTCACCTCTTATTCCTCGTTTTCCTTTTACACCTTTCTCGTTGTTGGCTTCATTACGTTTCTTGCCCTTTCCATCTCCCCGTCCGTACATGTTCGGCTTGTGTCCCCCACTGGGTCCACCTCCTCCTGGTCGGTCTTTTGGCCCGTTACCATTGTGATCCTCGTCGGTGTCGGAAGGGACCGTCCAGACATACGTCGTGAACCCTGATGCGACAGATAATATTAGACGACGGCGAGTCCACACCATGCTTTTGCCAGTTTTCAACATACCTGAACATGTGGCAAGCACGTCTCCCATTCTGTTGAACTTTGCGAGCTGTCACAAATGCAAAACAGTCAATATCATCTACTAAGAGTAGACCTCACATCCTGCCAACCACTCACACATTGGATCCCACCCACTCGAGGATCTGCAATCCGCGCAACACACTCCACACCCGTCAAGCCCGGACAAAATCGAAACACATCCACCGTCCGTCGATCCGTGGTGGTGTCCGGGTATCGCCCAATCACAAACAAGTCAGGGTGCACGGGGGACCATGTTGCGCGGATGGCGGTTAAATGCTGGAACGGTCGGTGCGGATGTGACATGATGTAGGATGGGGTGGAATGTGTGAGTGGAGTATCATACAGACGACATTGCTAATTGCAGACATAGTCAGCGGGGATTGCAAAATAGGGAACGAAATGGAGCGCTTACACTATCCTGAGAGGTTGTTAAGAGAGTATACGGCGCAAATGTTGAAAATGTGGCTGTAAAAACATTGGGTCAGACTCACCTTCCAGTTGAGTGATACGGATTAAAGAACGGTGACTATCTTACCTGCCGTAACGACGCCTTCATGTTCTAATGTGTTTAACGGTACACCAATGTCGCCTTCCTTCCAGTCCTTTTTCATCATACGAAGATCCCAGAGTTTAACTACCTACAAGTTAATGCATCAGTATACCATGCTCACCCATGTAGACAAAAAATAAGCTAACCTACTCTATCATTTCCAGCCGTACAAACAACATTTTCTTCCACAGGATGAAATTCGACATCATGGCACTTGGCTTTATGCAGCCGTCCACTCCAAATTTCACATCCATCCATATCTGCCAGCGTCGCATACCCGGTATTACTGCCCACCATCAACATCTGCAGACGGGGAGAAATGTCGAGAGCTGTATACCATTTTTCTCGGTGGAGGGTGTCAAGGAATACTCGACCGTGTCGACCTTCGAAATCTTGTTTGCGGACAGTGCCGTCGATGGATGTGGTGTAGATCTTTGCGAAATAGTGAAAACAAAAATGTATGGATGATCAGCGGATGACATATCGTTTGAAGATGATGTTTGGGCATATACCATGTTAGCTTCTGTTGGGTGGAATCGCATCTAAATTGTGCAGCCGCTCGTTTTAAGCAAAGTAGCAACACTCAGACAATTAACGTGGTCAATACGTACCGCTGTAATAGAGCCACCCGGCCCCCTCCCATACAAGTACGGAACACTTTCCCCATCATTCGTGCCATCATCTCCATCCTCCTCAACATATCCTGCATGTCTTGCATTCTTCTCGTAATCCCACCAGACCAGATCACCTCCTTTAGACCCCATTGCCAACACCGCGGGAAATCTCGTGTCTGGATGCCACTCGATACATGTCACCCGGCGATCAAAGTAGGCTGCGGTACGCGAGACACGCAGTTGACGTATACGCGCGGCATAGGTTGGAAGCGACCAGGATGCGAGAATGTGAGACGTGTGCAGAGGGGTGATTGTTCCCAATGGGCTGAGGAGGTAGGCTGATGGATGAAGGGTGTGCCGATATGGTCGGAACGGGTTGAAAATGGTGGGGGTCGTTACGTCGTTGATGGATCGAACAGAATGTTCAATCGGTTGAGAAAAGGTAGATTTGGATTGAATAGATGGAGTATGTGCGGATTCAGTTGCTTTTTCCTTTCCTTTTCTTGTGCGCGAAGCCGGAACGGTGGGCGGTGCAGCTCGAGCAGAGGATGCCGCTTCACTTGATCGTGTCCTTCTCGTGCTACGAGTAAATGAAGGAGCTGAACCTAGCATGTAGCAGCTTACTCAAACTACCGGCCCGCTATTCGTATCTCACGAATTGATCGTACCTTGATATGCAAAAGACTCGCGGAGTTTTGCGCCAAAAGTCTTCAAGCGACTTGCCGATGAATCCTCCTCCTCAACTAGCGAGTCTTGCTTGGCGCTCCCAATATCCTTGTCTTCTCCCTCGTCTCCCTCGGCGTCGTTGAATGTAGACTCGTCGTCGTCCTGGAACACCTCGAAATGGTCGCTTGACAGATCACTTTTCGTCCGAGCGATCCGCTTTCTGTTGGGTTCCTGAGCACCGCTTTCTGAATCATGTTGTCGTTTCATTGAAGGCATGGCCCCTTCACACCAAACAAGCAAGATGGGCTGGTTGGAAGAGGCAATTCACAATCGCAAGCGTCATAAACTCTAATTATTCCGCGCTTACGAAATAGAACATTCGAAATTCTGTGCAAAAACCTTAAGTCAAAAATACTAAAGTCAATCTCAAAATATCAGTTTTTGGTGCTGGTAAAGCAGAAGACAAAGAAACGGATAATAACATATTCATATCATCGCTCTAAGTCATCCAGCGACCTGATGTACAGCACGAGAGATCCACAAGTACTATGACAATGACAAACATCCTCCCAAGACTCATCTAATCAATTACATGAAGGGGGAATTCCCGTCCATTCCACTGCACACTCCCATTCTCCACATTAAGTTTATCAAATAGTTTTGCTAGCACTAGAGAAGACCGAAGGAGACCTAGTGGTGGTATCGACGTTCGCCTGTCGTCCAGCATCCACGTTGGCGATAGATTCAGGGCAGAAGGGAGGGGATGATAAAGACGACCAGATGTGGCGGACATGTAGAGGGAGGAGGGCGAGAAGGGGTGGACATGTGAACCTGCGTACGTGAGCTGAGAGCCTACATTGCCACACATTAGGCTCCATATTTTATCGTTGACAAAAAACAGCACAAACTGACCATCTGGCGTTAAATCTTGAAACACAATCGGAGCTACTCCAGCAATGCATAAGACAATCGTCCCACTGTCCGCATGCTCAACAAAAAACCTAGATGCGGAACGTACTCACCATCCTCCGCCTGGACATAATTCATCTCCCGTCCGCACGGGCTCACATATCGATAGCCATCTCGGGCGTGAGCTTGCTGCAAGTCATTCAAACGGAGTCGTGAAAAGAAGAAATCGAGAAACCGTTTATCCTTGAAGCCTGTAGCAAGTTTGATATTTAGAACACCTTTCGAAAAAAAGTAACAGTAAACACCGCAACACATGTTATGTAGCTTGTAAACATACATGTTGTAAAGTTTCGAGGAACAGTATCATGCAAAAACAGCTGCACAAAGGTAAAACGAACGGCGTTATTACCAGAAGCTTCACTATGCCCATGGTGATTACATTACCAAGGTATGCAGACAGACATGCATCAACCAACCTGCCCATGGACATCAATGTAGTAAAAGTACTCGCGAATGGGTGGCCTTGCATTCACTACTGTCTTTAGTGCCCTTGCTTGCAAGTTTCTTCGCCATGGACCAGAAGATGTTATCGTGCGGCGAATGGGCACAGTGGTCGAAATGCTTTGCATGAGTGCCACGCGCGCAGAAGGGACGCCGACAACTTGCTGAGCAACTTTGTTCAGGAAGGATGCTCTTATGAACCTCTTCTGTGCATGCCGTAAATATTAGGTGCCGAGTCTGTGCTGGAGGAGGATTCAGTGGCCTAAACGACAAAAAGCAACACGGTATCTGCGGTATGGGTGCTGTGAGATTCGAACTCACGCCTCCGGAGAGACTACGACCTGAACGTAGCGCCTTAGACCAACTCGGCCAAACACCCATAGAGAGCTCAAAGAGATTTTGTCTATTATAACCCTAATCCAACATTCACGCATTCAGCCGACATGCCGTCGCCGTGCTCAGCCATGTAGTTGACGTTGGTTTTGGCAGCAGGCGGACAGGCACCTGTTCAAAATACTCTCTATTGCTTGATTCAATCATTAATGGATGATATCCGAAATCTGTTCTTCTGCTTCATCTAATTCAATTGGATTCTAGGCATGCAATTAACGGAATGTGAAGCGCCTTCTTTGGTCATTGACGGCATGACATCTGACTGCGTTCATTGTGATTTCGGTTGTTGGGGCCGTTCATGAGACTTGTTTGCCAAGCGGAAAGTGAACAAGTCACGCGTACGCGAATGATGATGCACTTCTAGGGTGTGGCTTGGCCCTCCGATCCCAAATCTCCTCCCAATCCGCTGCAGCGCTCGCCCCTCGTGGAAAAGCTACGTACATTGACTTTATAAAACTTCCCCGCAGCGTTCGTTTTTCTTTTCCCCCAGTGGGTTTGACTTGAAGCTCTTTACTGCGGGCTTCTACGACTTCTTAGCGGCCGCATCTACGTTGTCAACTGCCTAGCCAGACTCAAAGGACGAAGTTGTCTTTACCTACGGCCACTGGAAAGTTCCCCTTATCTATATTCGCTACGTTTGATTACAAAAGAAATACTATGGCTGTTGATACGGCTACGCCCCGGCCAGGCCGTGAGCGGAGGTATGTGAGAGGACTTTGGTGGAAGAGGCGCAAACCTGCAGCTGAGAACTGCGGCAGTAGCTGGTCGCGCGGTAGGGCGTAATAAATCCCTCTAAAAATGGGTCGCCTTTGCCGTAGGTCCACTGTTGGTGGAACGACTCTGGGAGCTCCTGCGGTTTCGACCTTGACAGGTGTGGTGGTCGAAACGCCTCCCCGGTTGCCAGTGGTTCACCTGGAAGCTGCTGCGCCGTGCAACGACTCTTTGCCGGTTGCATTGCACACACCCTCACCCAAAAAGAAGCGATGGGTTGCGTGCAGGGATTCTCTTGCTAAGCGGTTACGCATTGGGAAGGTTGGATCTCGACGGAGGCGTCGTCACGACAACAGTAAGTCTGGATGCTATACATCAGTGGATCAGAGAGATAATATTGCAACCTGACTCCAAACCGTAACTGACGACACCCTTTCCTCTGCAGATCATTTCACAGATCATCCTATTGTTGCCACGTCAAAGCACGATCCTGATTTCCACAGTCCGCAAGACATGAACCCTGGATACCACATACCCCGACCTCCCTGTGCTTTTTCTGAAATTTCCAAAAATGAACTTTATCACGCTATGATAAACGCATCGACGGACCAACCCCATCGGATTCACATCATTCATTACGCTTCGACTCGTGGGAACCGAATGGCCCCAAGAAAGATTGTAGCGGGTGAATCGAATCTCACGAAAAATGATCGTCGGTTGAGGCAGCACATTCGTCGTACCGGATGTGCTCAGGAATCCATCAAAAAGTTTGAACAGGTTGTCCTCAAGCATGCTTTTGTCGCTGAGAAGGATGACCAGGACGAAGATGGATGGGTTCGACTTGATGCCGCAGAAGTAGTGGAAACGGAGTTTGCTGTAAAAAATGCAAGCTCGCCAGATCCCGGGCCCATCTGCCTAGAGATTAGGGATAGTTTTCTCCGCTTACTTGTTCACGCCATGTGCCGTTATTATTTACTTCCTTCTCACAGTAAGTTTAACGTCCCAATAATACTCTGATTTGCATACTGACTGTGAATCTCCAGGTGAGGATACCGTGGATGGCAAGCGCTTTACTTACATTCATCCTCCTGGGTCGTCTGCCTTTGACAAGTTGCGCCCGTGCAAGTCATTTTTTGATTACCTCTTTGCATGAGCAACTTGGACAGGGGAACGTGTCGATAGACACGATTCGGGTCTGGATGACCAGAGATTTATCGCATTGGGTGAATGCGGTTTAGGTGTATATGAATGGCTGACCAGGCTTTTGGAGTAACTTATGTTTAGTATAATAAGGTCGTGCTTATTATCTGTTGATATCTTCATCTTGTGATATGTCATCTATGAACGAGCCGCCAGTGACATTACCGTCGGTGGATGCTTCCTGCATGACACATTCAAAGCGGATCAGTTGTTTGTGCGGAGGGACATGAGCTTCCGAATTTAGAAGGGCAAAGAACCATCGGTCGATAGGAGATGCAAAGTCTGGCGGTAATCATTTGCCATCAAAAGTATTTTAACTATCGACTTTATCACAACTTCTGGCGTTATTGTGGTTTGAAAATACTTTCTAAATGATGCGATAATAAAGACTTTTTACTGGGATGTACAGATAATTCAGTGTATGGAAAAGTGCTTCCGTAGGCAATAAATAAAAACACACTGCTTCTTCTGCTATTTGTCAGGTCTTTTGTCAAGTTGCGTCGGGGGGCACTCGGACCTACACTTAACCAATGGGTTAACCTTTTTTGGAACACTCCAACCGAGATTATTAACGTGATGTGGGCAGTGACTGCGTGCATTTAAATTGAGTTGATGCACTATAACCAACATATTGGGTGTCAACGGTGTAGGAGTGGTAGTTCTATAAATGCAAGTAATCATCTGTATCCACGTACCTTTGAGATAGTAGATATCAACAAATACTCTTTATCTTTTGGAGTCATTTCATTTTTGGTTGTCCTGGTAGACAGATCGCTGACACTTTTGCACGTGACAGTTGAAATGACACAGCCAATACATCACGTGCAATCACGGGTCTCGCTCGCCAACGTCCAACTGCATCTAAAAAACGAGCAGCATATCTTTTGCAGGTTGATACACTTTGAAAATAGCAGGGTGTTATACTCTAGCGACAATCTTCCACGCTATCACTGATCTCCAAAGTTACACAATGCGTCAAGACAAGTCATTCAACGTTCTAGAAACAGCACTGCAGGTTTTGATCCACCTGCATTCCCCCCGCCTGCAAAAGGACAAGGGAATTCGTCCCGGAATCCCGGAATTCTTTTATTTTTTTTGAATGAAATATTACCGATACACTGCCTCAACAGACACGCAATACATCGCGCCGTAACGGCAATTGTAAAACCTAAACATGATGCAGGCGAAAAGTAGGATGTGGCGTGGCAAAAATCCTTTTCGAAAATGAATCACCCTTGTCCAAGATCTTGTATCTCTTTTCATCTGGGCGTCTCGCCTCTCTCCTCCCTTCCCTTCCTGCCACAGGCTGTCATAGGCTGAAACAAAGCTCCCAGCGACTGCCATCCATGAACCAAGTCAATAAAGTAGAAAGCGCAGTCAGTCGGGCAAAAAAGTGTTGCCCGTCGGATCACTTGGATGATTCAGGGACAAGACACTGGCAAAAAAACTTGATATTTATCCAATATTAGCGTTTGTAAAAGTGTCTTTTGCATCTCCCAGAGATTATAGCGTGGAAATTGAAGGGCGAACTTCAAACAAAAGACCCCAATGGCCCAGCAGTAGCGAACCAATGGGAAAATAGGTTTCGCATCAGATGAACAATATCCTGGTAATGGGCTTTCCTTGCATTGTTCCCCTTTGACACATGGCAACGTGCAATCTCGATTGGCGCTCCGAACCTCCCTAAAATGAATCACGCACGTGACTATTCAGATCGTCTTTATGATACGTCGTACAGGATGACTCAATCATGTGATTTGCTAATCTCGAACGCCTCGAAATCCAAGCGTGTGGACGCGTGGGTTACGGGTTGATTGGCAGTCGAGCTCGTTCTTTGGAGGAAAACTCCCTTTTTCGCGTACCACAGAGGAAGCTGGACGGGTGGGCCGCTGAGCCTACCATCGCCCTTCGATCGTTTTGGTTTTGTTTTTCTTTTTTTTGCTCAGCGGTTCTGAAACCGTCGAGCAAAGTGCACAGCCAAAGCACACACAGCTTCTACAAAACCATTGTCAAATATAAAACAAGGCAACAAAGCGAACAAGGGCGTTTCGACAATTTGTAACTTTTTTACGAATGGTTTGCATTGTCCCTGGATCTGGTGAGCAAATCACGTTAGCTTTTGTTTGCAAGGAGTAAGAATGGCCATTATCTGTGTGGCTCGGGTGGAGGCTTTGGCGTAGTTTCCAACATCCCCTACCAGAAACAAAAACCGGGTAAAAATAGACGGTCTCCCAGCAAGGGTTGCAACCGCGGTAGACAAGGTACTCCCGAGAGTGCAGTCGGTCCAGTTCCCTGTCTCAAGGACCACATTTACCAAGTGTTCCAGTTATACGGATCCAGTATCCATGGATCCCAAACGCCCACAAATCCAAAAATCCTCTTGTCCAAAACTCCCGGCTTCTTTAGTTTCCTCCCCGTTCAGAGGCCTCACTTTCCCGCCGTCGTCGTCGGGTTGTGTTTTGACCAGACTTTACATTGTCTTTCTTATCGAGTTTGCAAAGGCTACCAGCTACTGTTCCCGGTAGGTCCTTGCCCCGTTGTCACAGGCCATCCGCTGGAAACCCTTCACATCAAAACGGATGGACTCATTCAAAAGAACAGACATGTCTTTCCAGCTCTAATTTCACTCATCCTTTGCAAGCGCAGATGGAATAGGCTAATCATCAAACCCGTAAAGCAAACAAGTATCTCTCCATTTTTCTTCATTCACTTTTGGATCGCCCTTAAACAAACTCGATTAAACAAAGGGTATTGTTCTGGTTTCGATTGAGTTTTTACTTGTTTACTCTTCTCGGAGCTTCCGAACTGTATCCCGCACTGACAGTCTGCTTCGTCCGTAGTTCCACGCTGTTATTCAAGTTAAACCATCCAATCAACACAAAGTACAAGACCCTTACGATCCATCAACCGCCGTTTGCTATCAATCATTCTACGCGTCTCTCGAAGCCGAGGTAAGCTCTCCAGTATACAGCAGGTTTTATAAACTGACACCTCCGAAGCTTTCCAACTTTTACTGCTCAGGCTACATCAGTGAAGTTCCAATTCCAACTCAGCACTCAACCTTGCTTATTAGAAATTATTCCTGTAGTCACAGGTAAAGTCCGCATCTACGTTAAGTGACATTTGATGTAAATTCAGCTTTTAAGGAACTTAATTTCCAATTCCTTTTGTGAATACTTTCCGTCTTGTTTATAGACGAGATTGCCAGATACCGACTTCTGCTTCCTACACTGCCCGTGTAAACTTTCTCGCCCTTGGTTTGACGCCAAAGAACAGATGCCGTCATGTCAGATCAGGGATCCTCGTCAAAGGAGGTCAATGAATTCTCATCGGCCGTGCCTACATCTTTGGAGCTGCACAGCGTAGAGCGCGGCGAAGAGGTGGATACATCGTCAAGGTTGTACTCGTCTGATTCTTCACCGAGGCTACTTATCTGACATTGATCATTCTTCATTCCCAACTGTGCTTTTGTTTCTAGATATCAACTAATAATCATACAGCAGCCACAGCGGGGGAGATCCTGTGGTTTCGGAGAGAAAATAAATAGGCGACCCATTGACCCGTGCTGCATAGTCCAGCTAGCATATCTTAGGGATGACAATGAATTGGATTCGAGGTGAAGCCAAATGAAATCATCAACCAACCTTCAAACCTAGGCTAAATGTATTTTGTCTGTTGTTCTATCCACTTGCAGATTGGAAGTACTTAAAGATGTCACCATGTTTGTGGCCCACGCAACCTTGTGGGACGAAACCGGAATCCAAGACCGCAACATTGTCATCCATCCCCATTCACAACATCTACCCATCCCGTCTTCACAGTTTGTCTCAATCGGCGGAGAAGACCTACCTGTCCCCTACGGCCAATCACCTGCTGATTCCAAACCTTACGTTGGAACGCTTTTTGGCTCCCTTGTGAGTCAGTGTCATTTTCTAACGGATCTCAGCGGTACGAAGGGAGCGTATTTCGTATTCCCAGAGCTCTGCATCAGAGTTGAAGGGACCTTCAAGTTGAAGATTATATTGAGTAACTTGGCGAGGTGAGTTCTTAGTTAGCAAGCAATAAAGTGGGCTCTACGGCCTCTTGGCGGACTCGGATGCGCGTTGCTTGGCCTAAAGCGTCGGTAATACAGAGGACGCTATTGCTTTATAGAATGGCGGACACAGTGCAATTGGGGAAGCTAGCAGCCGCCATATCCGAATTGTCTCCCATAACAGCCCTGTCCAGGGGAAGCGCGTGCTATTTATTCTTCCCGCGCTTGGTACTATCCACGCAGCCCCCATATTTATTCTTTTATTTCAAATTGCAATCTAGCATCAAGAGTCGAGGTGTAGCCACAGTCATGGCGACGGTCTTCTCGGATGCCTTCATCTCATACAACGCAAGGTTTTTCCCTGGATTACAAGGTTAGACTGTGAGACTTTTGCGTATCATTGTCCACATTGCCCACACTAGGTCAACCACCGTTGCTTTTGCTACTGGATATCCAGAGACATCGGATCTATCAAGGCACTTTTCACATCAAGGGATAAAGATTCCGGTCCGTCGCAAAACAAGAAGGAGACGCTTATCCTCTGCTGCAACAAGTGAAGCTGGTGGAGAAGATGAAGAAGAACTCGAAGAGGAGAAGGGCTAGTGTCAGGTAGTGGCCAGCAAGGAGAAAGTTCAAGGCAAGCAAGAACTGATCCACGCGTCATCGAGATAGATATGGAGATTATGGGGGCGATATTGGGCAGGAGAACGAAACTTTCAAGCGGAGTTTGCACATGCATTAATATGGGGAGCTGATTTAGACTGCGGGATGTATGCTTTTACCTCTGCTGCTTTTTAACCTATCGCGACCTCGCAATCACTTGTTCGTTGTTGTTGTGGGACCCTTTTGTAGAGATTCGTGCACGGCGTATTTATAGAGTAATCAATGTAGAGCAAAATTCGGCGTGGTCTCGAGCAACTGTGCTTTGAGATTGTCATTATATAGAAAACACTTTTATTTTTTTATTCCTCTCCTCTGATATTTTTCTTGTAATGGGCTATGGGCTTATTAAAGTTTGAGTTTGTTACCTGATGCAAGATGTAGATCCCTTGATGACGTTATATAACTGAGAGATCACCGATTTCGCTATTATTGTCTTTGTTTTGGCGCTTGGCCGAGACCCATACCCATTCAAGGATTTGGAATCAACCTTATATCCATTGTTTTGCCATTCAACAAGAAGAGAGAGCAACATCACAACAGAGTATTAGAAAACCTCCGGGGAAATTTCCATGTCCGTGGTGATAAAGACAAAAGAAACAAGCCCATTTTCAGCATTTTGGGGGAGCGCAAGTGCAAGCTACACACATAATTGTTTTGTGCGCGCGGCGACTTGCTCTTCAGCCAGTTTGGAGGTGACACGCTCGCATCTCATGATGATTCGACCTTTTTTGAGGGCACCAATCCCCAACAAACCCGTCAAGGTTCAACCATATCTAATTTTAGACACACAAGCATAGGATTCTGTTACCGACGAATCCAATTATAGCACCCTGGTTAAAAACAAGCTTGTTTGCTTTGATATACTGGCGTGACATTTGGATTTAGAGACGCTGTGTCTATTGAGCTTGCTGTTGGGTCCCAGCTTAATGTGGGGTGCTGGCCCTTGAGAGAAAGGATTTTGAACACTCTTGGTTTTCCGCTCAAGACAGATTTGGGTGCATTATCACATTCGTTCCTTGGTTGGCCTGCGGGAACTGTTTTTGCTGTTGTGGTTTTCGCCTTGTTGTGAACTTTTCCAACCCGGGCTCCCCCTTCTACACCAAAAAAAAAAAGCCGAACATCCCGCAGGACCGCACTGAGTTTGAATGTAAAGGTGGCCGCTTTCGAAACGGTACTTTTGAAGCACGTATTGCTACCCGCATTTGGATACCCTGAGAGAGTATAAACCTGATGACCGCCCCGGACGATTCTTGGTCGTGGGAGGTTGGGATCGGATTTGGAGTCGCTGGAACTGCAGTGGTGGTGTTCCACCTCGTTACGACGATATGGTGGCTGTTCAAATGGCGATCGCCAGCTATTTGGAATCGAAGGTATTGTGTTCTGCGTCGCCTGCTGCAGAGTTGCGCTCTTTCCCGCATGCCATCTTCTAATCATCCCGTTTTTTTCCTCCGACTGTTTCTTTCTTGTTCTTCCAATAGTCCATACGTAACCTTGATACAAGCCGTCCTCAGCTTAATGTATTTCGTTCAAAACTTTGCTCAAAGCGCCATTCCCCATATACCGTGCTTCATAACGGTATGGGGAAACAACTTTATCACGTCCCTCTGGTACATGTGCGTAATATGTCGCTCGTAAGTACACTCTGATCGCCCACTGGAAACCTCTTTTTGGCAATGAATGTTAAAAAGTCGCTACAGATTACGATTGAAACAGGAGAATGAAATGTTCGCTCGAAAATTGGAGATTCTAAGTAGATGCGGACCCGAATTCTCTGAAAAGACTCAAGCTCAGTCGATTTGGCGAAAGATGGCGGGCTTGAGGTCCTCAGAGGCCCTCCGTGACGATCAACTACCAAAATCAAATTCATATGCCGAGAGCAAGTCCGCTACAGGCACACAGGGATACGCTGAGCAGCCGGCTGCATTGGATAATGTCCCGCCACCACCATCCCCTCTGTACAATGATTTTACACTGTTTTCTGTGACGAAAGAGAATGCGCACCGGCAGATTGAGGTCAATTGGTATCTCCGTCAACGGGCGGCAGCGATCGATCAATGGATGGCGAGGAACTTTGGACTGTCAGTGGCCTTTGTTTTTGTTGTGACTATGATCATACAAGTGACGACAAAGACACATCGGATATGGCCGACAATTGCATGGACCCATACCTGCCCCATGGGATGGGAATTTCTCCCAGCATGGACTTTTGGTGTGGTATTCTTTTTTGTGGTGTGTCCCATCCTCCTCTGGAAGCTCCGCGCAACAAAAGATCCACACCTCGTACAGGTGGACGTTTACTTGTGCGTCGTCGTTGGGCTACCCTTTTCCGTACTTGGCCTCGTCTGGTGGGTATTTATAGATCCCAAGTTTCCCAACGCCTTTTCGGCCGGCAATGTTTTCTTGATGATGGTGGCGATTACAGGGCATGTATCGTCGATCGTTATGCCGCTATGGAAGGCAGTTATGGATGAGAAGCGAAAACGACGAAGAAAGTTGTTGATGAACCTGGAGCACTTTATCATGGTTCTGGATGATCCAGTCTTGTCCTATGAGTTCAGGGCGTTTACCATTGCTGGTAGGTGGATAACCAACATTGATGCAACAGTTCTGTGCGGTGCTAAATTCTTGTACGAAAATCCACTTTTCAGACTCGTGCGTAGAGCTCATAATCTTTTATCAAGAATATCAAAATCTACAGCGTCAAGCTCGAGCCATTCTTCTCAGTCACATCCCCCAGAGTGGTGATGGAGCGGCTAATATGACTACCGATAATGTTCTGCACCCACTTTCGGGATTCATCCGACGCCTCAGCAACTTTATGCAACAAACACCGGAAGATGTAGAAGATGCAGAGCAAGCTATAGGAATGGCCAACCCTGCCTCGTTACCGCCAAATTCCACTATATCCCAACCCGACGACGCAGGCAGTCGTTCCATGTCATCCACATCCCCTGCATCCCTTACGGGTTCCATCCGCTTATCCGCATCCATCCGCAAACACGTCCGAAGCATGTCAAATGTAAGCAGACACTCACCAAAAAGAAGAGCTGCATTAGATGGATCGGCCATGCCTGCATCTTTGGATGACTTGGTCGCTGTTTCCCCTGTCCCAAAGGAACTTCGACCATTGTTCGTTGGGTTTTTCCAAATGTTTGTAAAACATGATGCTCCGATGGCTGTCAATGTCTCGCATGAGGTATTACAATCCGTCGTGGGCAAGATTGAACGAAAGGAATTGGTAGTGGGTATGTTTGACAGAGTCAAAGACGAGGTGGTGAAAAATCTGGTAAGTATTAAGCGCCTGATGACGTACCATGCAGGGTCTGACTAGTAGTATTTTACTTTTAGTATTTGAACTGCTTTCCAAAATTCCTTCAAATCGAACGCGCAAAGGGGAATTATCTGCCGCCTGACGAGAAGATGATAAAGTATCCCGCTGCATGAACGAAGCCGACGGTAGAATGAATGGGAATATAAATGGGAGTGGACGGGCATTTGTCAAATTGCATTTTGTATTTATTCAAAAAGTATCAATTTCACTGCGCACTCGTTTGGAACTGCCCACGATATCCTTTTTGCCAGTACCGATTGATATATATTGACACACATTTTTAAGTTTACATGTACGCATTAAATTACATGAGCCTTGTAGCTGCTATACAATTTACAGATAAAACACAGTCCAGTGCACATTTTTCCTACGCCGTTGAAAATCCAATCCCTACTATGCTCAGTACCATCATCCCGAGAACCAGTCGCCAATTGGCGACAGCTCCTTTCCACGCGGCCGCCTCAACAGCCGCATCAAATGCCAGATAAGGTGCCCACAACCTACTCGGGTTCCACGTTTCAGGGTTTCCACCTTGCAATGTTTGCACGGCTCGCTGGTATTTCTGGTCACCGTACACCACCCAGGCTTCTTTACATAGCTGTGTTATCGCTTCACCATTTTGAAAAGCCCGGTTGGAAGGCACTGGCCATCCACTTCCATTTACGAGGGCAAAGGGGTACAAGAAGTCCAGTGCACGCTGTATGTTTCGTCCGTCGCTGGTGCTGACGGTAAAGAGGTCCACCTCTAACCCTCCGTTTTGAGATAGCGTTCCTAATGCAAATAAACCTTGAACAAAGGTAACAGATGATTCCCAACTGGAAGTTTTGGCCAGTTCGACTGGGATATTCCCGTTTGGTGAAATAGCAGTAGCAATCCGGTATGACGACCGGTTCCGTAAAACTTGAGATGCATCGTTTGTGCGATTTAAATAAAGAAGCAGGCTGACTTCTTGGACATCGTACCAGACGCCGCGGTAATCGGTGCGCGAGGACTCGTACTGTCCCCGTGGAGAAGTTTGTAGCCATTGTAGGTATGCGGTCGTCCAGTTTGTGAAGGAGGCAAGGTCTTTAGATGTTAAAGACGGGGAAGTACGCAAGAGACTGACACCGTCGATTAATTCATAGAACGTTGACATGGCTACAAAGATGAAAAGAAGCAGAAATAAATAAATCCAGTCAGCTTGGCTATTAACTTTAGCTAGGAGCGCAAGATTTCCCAGTATACTTTACCCATAAGACTGCCATTATAGGGCGCGAACGTGATCGACGTAGCAGGAACCTGGCGCTTTATTCTGGCTACTCCTGCAGGGCGCCCTGGCCACCCAACAGGAATATGATCCCACACATCATCTGTTGTTGTTCCTGGCCAGCCGGGCGGAATGTTGCTAGGGATGGTCACCGTCTGCGGAGCCGTTCTGCCTTTCACTACCTCAGCAAACTCCAAGGTCGGATTCATTCTCGTGGCGTCGTCCAGAAACCATTGACGAAGCCTCTTCACTCCCACATCAGCATATCTCACATCCCCCGTCCAAAACCAAGCTAATCCTGCATTCCAGACATCCTCTACAACCTTGGACAACCACGCCTCATCTGCCACCTGCGTCGACTCGGGGTTTAGCCGTCCATCTATTCGCACATATGGGAGTCCGTTCACGGTCAGATTATTTGGCCAAAAATATCGTGCAAGAGAGTAATAATCGTGCGGGTTGTTGGAAGGCGCCAACTGACTTTTATTCTTGGCCGTCACAGTGTACACAGTTTGATCGTCTACGGAAGCATTGCCGAGACGTGCCACGCGCTTGACAGCTGGATTCAGATCATCTAGACCCGATTGGTAGAGGTCCCGGTTTCGCCAGAGATTCAAGGCATCTATGTAGTATGTTTGAATAGAGTTTGGGAGGGGCTTTCCGGAAGCATCTGTGGGGTAAACTAGGCCGGATGCATACGGCAGCGTTGCGAAAAGGATGACACCAAGGAGATAGCTGAGAAGCGGTATCGTCGTGGCCATGCCCGTTTTCCCCAAACGGTTGCTAAATCTACTGCACAGAAACTGCAAAAGGCAAACGAGTGACACTCTATGTACACATGAGCTCCGCAGTGTGTTCCGCTAAATTCGCCGGATTCCTTGCACATGTACCGTTTTCAAGAGCGCGAATGAAACTTTAACTATCCAGATCTTTTGTTCTGCGCGTCGTCTTCCACGCGTTATTTTGATTATGTAATGAACGATAGTCACGTGTTATGAGATGAAACTCCGCTCCACGGTGTGACAATGTTTTCTTTTCCTTTGGGTGCTGTCGTTGCCAAGTCACATAATCTACTAGATCCACCCATTGACGATACCCATATCAGCATCCCCCGGTCCAAAACCATGCTAATCCCGCATTCCAGACATGTCGAAGCCAAGGTTCTACCCTGGAAGACTGTATTGGTTTAGTAACATCATTTTGAGTGCATCCACTGGAGCAACCCCCACATCTTCAACTGCTAGCTCTCCGCATACCAGTGCGTTGACATCGCCCCGAGATTCGTTGGAACGTCTCAATGATGCCACTCTGACGGATCATGTCTATTTGTGCCCTTCAAGTCCAAAAGGCACTAGACATTCTCTTTTCATCATCGTTACAAGTCGGTCAGATCGGTTAATTCTTGAAGACGCACGACATCTCTATATGCCCATTCATCCAGCCACAGAACCTGAAGAGATCTATCCCTACCCTGTCACCACAATCAATCCCATGTCGTCGGATCCCAACAAGAAGTTATGGCTTTATCTCGGACGGATAATGACCTTTCATGAAGGGCATCTCGATTTAGATTACACATTGCTGCGGAACGGCGTTACCAGAGATACCCTTGAGCGTATCAATGCTGCCGTATTTACAGTACACGGGCTGGCGAAAGCTCGGTATCATTTCGTCAATGCTCCATCTGATGCGGATAGAGATGATGATCGTATGCAGAGTCAAGAACCCAAGAATGAGGATACACCACGAAAACCAAACAATGAGAATGCGCCTGGAAAACGGAAGAGTAGCCGAAGTCAAAGACGAGGGCAAGGAGATCGTCGAAGTTCCAGTGAACATAGAGAGGTAAACGAATTTGGAGCGTTTCCGGCTGACTGGGACATTGATTTTCCTCTCTCAAATGATGATGAGGGTGTGCCGATGTCTGCTATCCCAGCGGAAGTATATGAAGTGGATGTAGATGTAGATGATAACTTGTGTTTCTGACTCCTATTAGTCTCTATTTGAATCACCTATTTTTCACTTGTTTGCCCAAAGTCTTACCAGCTTCTGTTACAAAACTAACATATTTGGTACGTCCATGGGTTTGCCATCAACTCCGGCACTATCTAACAAGGCCTCAATTACGGTAACGTCCATCAATGCTTCTCGCGGTGATAGATCTCCTTGCCCATACTCATTGTTTCGGACGTTCGGCAGCTCTGGAACCCGAAGAATGGCTTTGGCAAACGTCCTAAATTCTTCTTCGATACCATTGAACCCGAAAGTTTTTTCTACGACCTTTTCGCCACCTTCGGCGACCCACCACACAAAGTATTTTCGAGTCCCGTCAATTGGATCGGGTTTTACCTGAAAGTAGAGCGTACCGCTTTCGCATACCACCGTCAAGGATATTTCGAATGGTTTGCCCGACGCTGCAAAGCACATGTTAACTGTCCCACTTGGCAAAGTTTCACTTTGGGATCCGTCTCCTTGTCGCAATCGCAAAATGCCACTGATAAAATCCATCGGGGCGCAGTAATCTAACCACAGTCCTCCAAAAGCGCAGGCTCTATCAACTCTCCATCCTGCTGATGCAACCACTGCCCTTAAAACAGCAATCCAATGCACGCCCCCATCCATCAAAAAGCCACCAGGAAGCGTTGCGCCGTCGCCCGTCCTCCAGCCTGTTTTTACATACTGATTATCCTTTTTCGTTTCAAGGTAACATGTGAGCGCAAACGTTCGTACTCGTCCATTTCCGAGCGTCGAGAACAACTGGGATGCCCAAATTACAGCTGGTTCGCACCGCCAATTTTCGGCCACTTGCCATATCAGATGGCCGCCGTCACGAGTTTTGAGCACGTTTTCATAATCTTTCACCAACTGTAAGCCTTCTTGCACCCCGGTAGCAACGGGCTTTTCGCTTAGGACATGCTTGCCATGCTTCAACGCCATTTGGATAACTTTAATCTGTGTGGCACTTGGCAAGCAAATCACAACAGCATCCACATCCTCCCGCGATAGGAGAGCATCCAGAGTCCTTTCTCCATCTACATTCTCTCCTTGATCAAAATAAACTTTGGGGGCGCCGTGCAAGTAATCATTTGGAACCAATTCAGCAACTTTGCTGGCGGACGCCTCGGATCGACTGTAGATCGCTTGTAGTTTAAACACGCTTGGATGGGCTACAAGAGTCGGAAGGTGGGCGTTTCGAGCAAAGATCCCGGCGCCGAGAAGGGCAACACGAATCGGTAGTTCTGGTGCTTTCATGTCGAGAAACCCAGTTTTTGGGTCTTTGGTTGGGACATAAAGAAAGGAAGCTGGAAAGGGAATGCGTTGATGACAACATCCAGCAATCGATGGCACGTGATCTGTTTAGCCACAGTCCACCAATCTGTCCACCGTTTCCTGGACAAGTATCCATCTATTCTCTCCTGCATGTAAACATTGGCAAATACTCAAGAGTTTCATGAGCCTTGACTCTACGGTGGTATTGGAAGATGATTGCTTAATGCAAGATGCATTTGCAATTTATTGATTTGCATCCATGATATGGCATTCATCGTTAACCAAGTATTCCATGAAGTCTCTGGTTTGCATTTCAGTTGGAATACCGGGAATGATGGAATTTTGATAACAAGTCCTTCATATCGATATCCGTGCCGCATGGTGTGGCGGCTGTCCGCGCGCTCCGAATTGCGTGTGTCGCGCCTGCTTAGCCACGCGCATCAGAACACGATCGAGATCAGGACGCCATCATTAGGCCGTGCATGCGAACCGTAGAATGGGATATCTCCAGACTGTGCGAAAGTACAGTATCTATCGTCAGAAATCCAATCATCAGTCATACTCTAACTCAGCATCCAAAAGCTGCGGATGTAGCTATGGGTATTGATGTATTTCTGTAGGAGCCTGCATGTCCGTCGGCAGCCCGGCAACCGCTCATCGATTTCGGGGATAATTTGGTTTGCATTTTTGTGTTGTGTTGTGTTTCCTTTCGGGTCGGTCATGTCGCGGATTTGTTGAAAGGTTCTATCAAGATTTGTCGCAATGTAGAGTCGGGTGCTAGGCAATATCCTCAACTTGAGGAAGAGGTTTACAAGGGAGTTGTTTTGTCGCTAGGTTCTTGGGTTGGGTATTTTTCCATTCATGCGCTTTCTCACATCCGACGACACCTATCGTGATTATTACTGTCTTCACAGGCATATGCTTGCGCATGCATTTACCCTCTCATGGATGCAAGTGTTGAGGATTTGGAGTATTCAGGCGAGTTAGAGAACACTGACAGTCTTGGCAGAATATTTCAACTTGGGCGGATCCATTGACCAAGCTGTTACCATATTCGCGCATTCCTAACCAACACGGCAGCGTAAATGGACCTGTAATTCTGTCATTGCTTGGTACAATTCTGTGTCTCCTCGTCTGGCTTACTGAGTTTTGCAATATCTCGCCCTCTGACGAAGGCAATTTGAAACGAAACCGCTCCCACTCTTGCTGATTCCGGCTCATGCTTCCTTTAATCAATGACATGATTCAACACACAAAATATACAAAGAGAGAAAAGATGAGAGCATCCGTATGGAGAGCGATCAACGGAGCTAGTGAAGCCACATCAAGGAACTGCATCAAGAGCTTTAAAACAGTCCGACGCGCAAATACGACCCAGAATTGGAATGTGGTTCGAGTGTCGTAGCGTCATCATCGAACTATGCATGCCTGCCACCCCCAACCTGCACCGATCTCTCATTGGCTTTGGATACAGTGACATCTTCGTGGCTCTGATATGCTCCTACCATCACTTTAGCGTTCTGGTAGGAGCTGAGCGCGCAAGGTTTGGTTTTAGAGTTTGGCCGGTGGGCCACAACACGAAAGCAAGCGACATCCAAAAAAATAAACGAAAATAGACGCAACGAGAACGTATACCCTAACGGACGCTCGACCTTTTAACCTCACATCTATTGCTACGGGGTTGCATAGTGAATTAGTCTGCTCATGACAGCTTACCGAACGCGATCGGTTTCTCCCTCTGCGGCATCAACTGCACCACTCCTTCAACGGTCGAGCATTGATACAGCGGCAGAATCATTGACGGACTTGGAAGGCGATGAGGCTGATATGCAGGCTGCAGCAGCGGCAGCTGGAATACGGCTGAGTGGGCGACCCGACGCTGCGAGATTGTTGAATAATGTGGAGGAAGGTGTGGGGTATGTAGTCGAACTATTCTGGACTGTGCCAAGAATGGTCAATGTGAAATATACACATCATGAACTATGAAGAGGGTTCTAATTAGGGAACATGTTGCCCTAGATCCGATCCAGCGTCATTTTCTTCATTTAAGCGCAAAACAAGTTCTCGACGCACGTCTGGGATGGGGACACCAACTGGGAGTAGCAGCAGCAGCGCACAGCGGTTCTTGGGTGGACTAGCCGCATCATGGAGGTCATCCAGTTCCAGATCTTCTCATACAAGAGATGGGTCAAGTTTTATGCCCACTTCTCCGGGTGTTTATCATGGGCCTTCGAATGCGAATAAAGTAGGTTGAGATACCATGCGTTGCATGGTTTTATTCCGAATTCTAAGTGTACGTTGCAGATTGATGAATATGATCCAAGTTCTCTTGAATGGGCGATGGAAGGGACAGGGCGTAGAGTTGTGTATGATGATTTTACGACTATCGGTAATGTTGTCATCACATACATTATGGGAATCGACATGGGCTGACATATCAATATCTTCACTCTTGGTCGTTGTAGACTGGATTCACGATTTCTCCAAAGGTGAAATCGTCACGTCGTGTACCGGATAAAGCAAATGGCTAATAAGCAGCATCTCATTTTAGAGCGCGTCCGAATACGTAATCTTCAGAACCTCAGAGGCGTACGGGGAACTCTGCGAAAAGCTTACGATGCATGCCAAGCATGGATTCTAGTATTCATAGTTGGTGAGGACTCGGAAATTCATGATGCGGCATGTTGGCGAGCATCTCATCTAGTAAAAAAAATGTTAGGTGCGATTACAGGATGGCTGGCAGCGTACATTGATGTAGCGTCGGAATGGGCAAGCGATCTGAAAGAAGGGTATTGTAAAGAGGGGTTCTACCTGAACAGAAAATTCTGTTGTTGGCATGTGGAAGGTAGGATATCACGGCGTTTCGGTTTGTGTGATAACAGCGTACATGTTCTCATTTCATTCTCCTTTTTCTTCTAGCCAATGAGGAATGTACAGAGTGGGCAACGTGGAGTATGACTTTTAATGCGCAATCCGGCGCAGCAATGTGGGGCGCGGAATATTTCATGTTCACTGTATTCGGAACGGCATTTGCTCTCGCAAGTGCTGTACTAGTCAAAGTTTACGCTCCGTAAGCACATGAATTGGCATCCTTACTACGGCCATAATTCTGAGTTTGTTTGTTAGGTATGCGGCTGGGTCGGGTATCCCAGAAGTCAAGACCATCCTAGGCGGCTTTGTCATTCGAAAGTTTCTTGGAGGCTGGACGTTACTGGTATGTCTCACTAGTTACAACAAACGAACTCAATCTCGTTCCTAAAATTGAGTAATTTCAGATTAAATGCATTGGTCTTTGTCTATCGGTAGCATCAGGGTTATCGTTGGGCAAAGAAGGTCCACTCGTCCACGTGGCATGCTGTGTAGGAAATATTTTCCCGAGGATTTTTGACAAGTATGCAAAGAATGAAGCCAAGAAGAGGGAGATATTGGTGAGTGGCTTTTTCTAGTCGAATGTGCAAACAAATGTTGACAGTTTCTGGTTGTGTAGAGTGCTTCCAGTGCAGCTGGCGTGTCAGTTGCTTTCGGCGCCCCGATTGGTGGTGTGCTGTTTTCCTTGGAGGTGGGTATGCTATGTACCCTATATGACCAAAGACGCGAGGCTAATGCTGTTACGTCCATACAGGAAGTTTCCTACTACTTCCCATATAAAACCATGTGGAGATCATTTTTCTGTGCCATGGTTGCGGCGATCTCATTGCAATTAGTGAACCCGTTTCGGACGGGCAAGTTGGTACGTACCGTTATAGTCGTACAGATGATATTTCTCGTTGTCATTGATTTTCGGGTCAATGGTATGTTCGCGGCTTAGGTGTTGTTTGCGGTGGAATATAAAAGAGCGTGGCACGGGTTCGAGCTTCCGTTTTTTGTCTTGCTGGGTATTCTTGGGGTAAGTGTCCCCGCCAAAAACTTTTGCGCTATCTGTCCTCGCTCATTTTATGGACAATTAGGGATTGTATGGGTCATTTTTTATTCGAATGGTGCGTAGGGTTGTGTTCTTTGTGCGTGTTGTTTACGATATTTATCTAAATGTTTGAATACCAGAACATTCGGGTAGCTGCCTACCGTAAATCATCGTGGTTACGACATTGGGTGATTGCCGAGGTCGGAGTGGTGGCCATCCTTACCGCGCTCTTGAGTTTTGCGCATCCTTTTTTGAGGTATTTGCAAACTGGTTTAATAACAGATTCAAATTCGTAAATATTGATCATTTGGATGGTTAGGGTTAGCACTGTGGAGCTCGTTGCAAACTTGTTTAAAGAGTGTATTGACAATGAAACAGATTTTTACGGGCTGTGCAGGTGGGAGATTTACAAACGAGGTGCTCTTTGTTTATCTGGTGTGGTTTTGACGCTTTTGTACAGTGACCACGAGAATGCTTTGGCATCCGTGGTGAAATACCTGTTCCTAGCGGCGGGAATCAAAATCTTTTTCACAATCTTTACGTTTGGGATACGTGTTCCAGCCGGGATTTTGTGCGTATTTGGACTTGTTTTGGTGTAGTTGTTACGTGGACTTATTGTATTCTTTTTAGCATTCCGTCCATGGCTGTGGGAGCCTGTGTGGGGCGGGCCCTGGGTATCGGGATGCAGCTTTGGCAGATGGCGTATCCCAACATGTGGATGTTCAGTTCGTGTAAACCGCATGAGCAGTGCGTGACACCTGGGACCTACGCAAGTGAGTGGGCCTTTCAAAGTATGCAACAACATTTCAGCTTTTATTCATATGGATTTTTTTTTTATTTTTTTTTTAGTGGTGGGAGCAGCCGCGGCGTTGGGAGGCGTGACGCGCATGACAGTGTCCTTGACTGTCATCATGTTTGAGCTGACTGGGGCCTTGACATACAGTTACGTTTCAAAAACTGATTACCCATTCCCCAATGTTCAACAAAACTAAATACCCACCTTTTTGACAGTCCTCCCAATCATGTTAACCGTCATGGTCTCCAAATGGGTCGGAGACGCCCTAGGCAAAGCATCCATCTACGACGCACTCATCGAATTAAACGGCTACCCCTTCCTAGACGCCAAAGAAGAGTACACATACAGCACCACAGTGGGATCCGTCATGACCCGCGTCGAGGATCTTGAAGTCATTTGTGGGAGTGGGTGTACGTTGGAGGCTTTGAGTGAGTTGGTACAGACGACGGGGTTTAAGGGGTACCCGGTTGTAGCGGGGTTGGATGGGATGGTTTTGGTTGGGTATGCTGGGAGTGCCGAGTTGAGGTATGCCATTGGTGAGTTATTTTTATATTTATGTTTTTTTTTTTTGTTTCTTTGTGTGTTTAATGTAACTCTTTGGTTTTAGATCAAGCCCATCAAAACAGGTGTCCACCGACAACACTCTGCATCTTTACAGACCTCCAACAAGACACCGAAGACCCCTTTCTAGATTTCCGCCCCTGGACAGACCAAACCCCCATGACCATCTCCCCCAAATTCCCCATGGAACTCGTCATGGAATTATTCAAGAAAATGGGGTTACGCTATGTGCTTGTTGTGCAGGATGGCCGACTCGTTGGGATTGTGACTAAAAAGGATTTGTTGAGGCATGTGAGTTGGAAACGGGGTGATGAGAATGAGGATGTTGGGGGTGTGGGGTGGAATCGGGTCGTTGGGTAAAAGCCATTACTTTTTTTTGTATCTAGTCTTTCTTTTTTTTTTTTTTTAATGGATTTGATAGTAACGAAATAAAAGAAACACAGAATATCAATATGAAAATCACTTGGATATCATTTTGCCTACAAATCTCAAAGAAACAAGTTGCTTTGAACGACCTTCTGAATGTCCCCTTGTCTTTCATCTCTACCATCCACCATCCGATATACCCTCCCACGCTCTACAATCCCACCCAACACCCAACACACACACCCCAGAAAAAATAACGAATCAACGTTAACGCAAAACGCAAGAGAAAAAAAATGTATATATCAGAAAAAGACTGAAAAATACTAGCCAGGTTCCATATAAAATACAAAAGAAAACAGCAATAAAAGAATGTTTGGAAGCAGGAAATAACCCAACAAACTCTACGAGTTTGTTCTATGAGGTACTATAAAGGTTGGGAACGCGGTGGGGTATCGCATAAAAAGAACAACAAAAAGAACACAGAATCGTAATCCCATCTTTCATATCTCAAGGTCATAAAAAAAACTTTAAGAAACAGCTTGAGGTTGGGACTGAGCTCTAAACCTCCTCAATTCCGGAAACTCTTCCATAACATCCCTCGAAGGCCCGCTGGTACTATTCCGCGATTCATTCGATGTGCGCATGGGGGGTTGTGACGGACTATTGGATTCAACAATAACCGTAAACCGTCCGACTTTGGTAATAGCAGTGCGGTGTTCCGTGTGAAGCGTAGGTGGATGAAAAAAGGTTGGATCCAGAATCGTGGTGGTGGGAGTCGAAAGTGACAGAGCTGAACTCGAAAACGTGGTTAAATCTTCTTCTTCCGTGTCGGACATGACGAGGACTTTGATGTGCGCCAAGGAAGCGAATTCACGGGCAGTGAGTTGATCAGAGGAGATGGTGGACAGTGGATCGTGTTTTGGGTCGGGATCCGTTGGGATGGTATCGCACAGGACAGCATCATCATCTTGTCGGGACCGCATGAATTTCCCAACGACATGTCGTAAACGCTCACCCACCCCTCGTCGCCGTTTTCGCCTCCCAATACTATTCTCGTCGTCTTCATGGCGCTCTAACCCGCATGGTGGAAACGTTGACACGGAATCCGCGTGCGAAAACCCCAGGAAGGATAGGAGGGATGCCACCGTTGTTTGATGCGAGTAGGAGCGCTTCATTGGGAGGTCTGGGTGGATGGACATTGTTCAAAAGGACGACATTTTAAAGGTTTGATTTTGCAAGTACGGAGGAGCGAGAGGTTGGATATAAAAGCACACGGTAAAGTGTGGATGAGGTGAATAAAGAGAAAGGATTGCGGGGTGCCGACGGAACAAGGTGAGAAAAAACAATGACACTGTCTAAATGTGTTTATGTATCCTGACAAATGCAGAAACACGACAAGACGAGTGTCAAGTTTAGAATGGGTAAAGAAAACCCGGACCGTTTGTTCCAATGAGCCCAAAATCAAAAGAAATTGGGGACAAGATGAACAAACCCTTGTAGCAGAGCCCCCCAACACAAGAAATTCAAAAGTGGCGAAAGAGACTCCAATGAACAATCCACGTGGCTGAGGACGATGAGGTAATCATTTGGTTTTCGTTCGGACTTTCACGAGCTGATCTGCAAAACGGAACTATATGGAGCTATACCCACTTGGGCCATGAACAGGTTTCCTTTGTTTATGCATGAATGTGCTTTTTTTTGTTTGTGAAGGGGGAGAATGGGGCATATGGATTCCACATTGCATATGGAGCTGTTCCAGCAATGGATCTCCACAACAAGTTGGACGGGCATCCACCATTCCATGGGAGCTATACAAACGAATAAAAACAATAAAAGTACATGTTGATCATACATTTCAAAGACAATTAAGGTTGACAAAAAAATCCCTACAAACTACAAAAAGTAACAATTATGATTTAGCAATCCCAATAACGCCACAGGCAACCCTCGCTCCCGAATTCCCATTCGTTTTCGACGTCGGCGCATTCCCACGACCCAAATCATCTCGATTGGCATGAACGACAAACGACCTCCTATAACACCCCAAAAAAAACCATCAACAAAAAAAAAACCGATAAAAATCACCACTTGTTACGTTACCCAATGATATTATACCGTCCATCCAAAGCAATAACCGAATCCACAATCTCAGTATCAACAACTCCAAACTCATTTGCAACGATATTACCCAAATCACCGGCATGCCGTACAGAATCGGTCGGAGCACCATGGGTAGTGTTGTCAGGATTGAAGTGATCACCCGCTGCAGTGCAATTGGGAAAAATGGATCCAAAGGCGTGAACATGGAACCCGTGTTCACCCGGTGAAAGACCTTGAATGTAGAGTTTGAGGTGCAGACCGGTTTTGGTTTGGGTGATGTCCACGGTGCCGTTTATCTTTGTTGAGGCTGATGGGTCAGGTTGGAGGTAGGATGTAGCTTTTTGGGGGGTTGGGGTGTTGGTGCGGCGACATGGTGTGCTGCTTGCGAGGGTGAGGAGAAGACTGAAGAGGAGAGCTTTGAGCATTGTAAAAGAGCAAGAAAAACAAAATGTGTGTGTGTTTAAAATGTTCAAGTATTTTGTTTGATGTGGGGAAACGGCTGTAATGGTTGCCTTTATATAATACACTTTTGGCCCGTAACGTGCGCAACGCTATGCAAAAATCCATTTTTTTTGCCTTGTTCCTTTTTTGCTCGCACTAGCATGGAGTTTTCATTTGCATAACCATGTATCTCACATGGCGTCAAAATAGTTAAAAAGAGGGCATGGCCACATCCAGCAATAACACCTCAACGTCAAAAAGGAAAAAAAAAAAAAAACTATGCCAAAAGAAATAGATTTCCGCTCACCCACGCACGCACGCAAAGAAAACACGCAAAGAACACTTCAGAGCGAATCTGATGTCATGAATAAAAAACCCTTTTGCATAAAGAGTCAAAAAGAGACAATGCATTTGTGTTCACGGAGTTTTCACCAAAAATACGACAAACCATGCAACATGACATACAAACGCAGTAAATTGTTGGCATGTGGGGAAAAGAAGACTGTGGTAGATTGGCTATGCACACTCCCCCCTTGCCATGTGACTCTTCCAACTCTCAACGATAAAATACTCGACAACGTACATAGCCTCATACGGCGAGGACGGTGGATAGAGTCATCCGCATTGCTCGCCGCGTACACACTTTTGACATCAACACCCGAAGAAATGAATGAAAAAAAACTTATCCTGATATGCATCACGTAATCATTGTGGGGGATGGGGAGACATTTTAGGATAAAAGTTGTCCTAGTTTATCCCCACATTTGTAGACGATCTTATCTGAAGTACCAACTGGGTACATTACATAAAGAGTAGATTGGACGTTTAATGACCGAATACTTTTGCATCACTATGGGAATTTCCCACTTGTCCAAACCCTAGTTTATTCTTAGTGCGGAGCCGGTGGGTATTGGCACTAGCACCCGCACCAGGGATTGAACCGGCGACAACCGGCTCGGAAAACCTAATCTAACCAATCTAAGCTACGGCTGGAACACTCCTGCTGAACACTTCTGGTCTACTGTGTCCATCCAACATTGATTGCACGATTATCAGCATATTGCAGGTGCTCAGCGTATCTCGATTCCAGTAGCGCATCGTCCAGGCTTGCTGACAGTTAGGGTTGGTACAACCCAGCAATCCATGGACTTTTTCAATCTTGCCTTCTCGTCGTCGCCAAGGTCTTGAATGAGGTCGTGTTTTGAAACCTTTTTCAAGGAAGTCATCGGATGAACAGTGAGGGCAGACAGATGAGGTTTTATACTCGTTGAGAAGGAAGCAGTTGATCCTGTTGCACTTAAAGAGGGTGCGCCAACCTTTCGTCTTTGATGAGGTCTGAAATCTTGCAGTTCGACCGGCATCGCTCCAATCTCCCATCACAATGGTAAAGTTTTCACCGTACTTGTTGCATAAGTTGGATATGAGGTTCGATTCACTCTTCTGACGGTTTATAAATGCATGCCACTTCCACCGCGTGTGGGCAGGATGCGAATAGAAGTCCTTTCGACGATCCCAATCAGCGCAGCGAACGAGAAGGTAACGCATGAAGTCTATGAGGTTCATCGTCTTGTGGCTTGGGATACGTGATTCTATGAGGTCAATACTGCCAGCTTTCATCCGCTGCCGTTCTTTTGCAAATCGACGGCTTCCAGTCTCCTTGCAGCATTGATTGGCGGTGTAACGGAAGATGGTGCCCTTGTTGTCTTGGCAGTAGAGAATGTCGCGCTTGTTTGGATCGATAACGACAATGTTCTCTTGACAAGCAGATAAGTTGTTTTCCACATACAGCACCTTCACCTCAGCTGCTAGAGCCTTTGCTGACTTTCTCGCTCCGCGCTTTCCGTACTTGTCAGCTTCTGGGTGCTTTAGGTATACAGACACTGAGGTACCGTCCGTTGTGATTGAGCCTTCAAACTGCATATCGTGGCGAGACCGAAAAGCCTTGGTACGCAGATTGCAGATGCGCATCCATAAATCGACCTTCGCTACGGCTTCTGCATCTCGCCGCGTGATGCAAAGGATATGAGAGTAGAGGATGACGGTGTCGATCCGCACATGGCTTTGGATGAGGGAGCGGCGAAGTGGGATTGCACTGAACCGTCGAAATCCATGCTTTTCATATAGGCTTGACAACCGACAGTAGGCAGGGAAGAAGGCGAGAGGGTCTACAGCAACTGAATATGTGAGCGGCTGGTCGGAAAGGGGAATGAAGGACCACATCTCTTCTAGAAGCTCACTCTCTTCAGCGGTCAAGTCATCGAGTGACTCGGGCACAATATCAAAAAGGAAAATTGACTTCAAGTAGCATAGCCGAGTAAAGAAAGCTTGCCGCGCATCGCTTTTCAGTGGCAGTCGCTGCTTGTGTCCCTTCACGTCGAGCCGCAGATTGATATACCGAAGGAGCATCTGCATGAAATGTTCTTGAACGTTGACTTTCAGGTTCGCCATCATACTCGCTGTCAGGTAATTGACTGATTGCTGCTCGCCTCGTAGATTTGGGTGAACGAAGCCGACGATTTGGCAGTACCGTTGAACATATGGCAGCAAACAATCCCGCCATGCCTTCTTTGCTTCCTTTCTTGGATGCCAAGCCTCCCCCTTGTTGAGAAGATAGAGAATTGCTTCGATGGTCTCCTCGTTCACGGTGAAGGTTGGTGCAGATAGGATGTAGAATTTGAGAGCGTGGGAAGCGTGGTCGGCGAGTTGATGGATGATGGCGATGTAATCTAGAAGACGCTGCCGGTAGGTCCCATTAGGTAAGAAAGCCTTTGCAAAGGAAGTCTTGTTGCATGAATGCAGACAGGTAGGTCGATTGTCGAGTTTTTGCTTCTTCTTTGGTGGCATGATGATTGGAATAGAAAAATGGATGAAAGCCTGGGAAATGGGAAGAGAATGATGAAAACCTGGGAAATGGGCAGAGAAGGCGGGTTTATATAGAGATATGACAACTGCGCATTGGACCCGTTTTTCAATGGTGGAGCAACTGCAGAATATTCAATCCGTTCATTGCCGCACATATTGGACCCGTTTTTAATGGTGGAGCATCGTTTGTGCATCGAACCATTATCAAATCATAGTTCATGAGTCTAAATCGAGTAAAATTATGATTCAATTGGTTGGAATCACTGTACTAGTGCCAATACCCACCGGCTCCGCACTATGGTTCATTCTTGAAAAAACATTGTCCCATTCAGTATTCTTTTCAAGGGCATGTATTAAAATCTAAAAAGAACAAAAAAAATACAACACACCAAAAAAACCCCATTCCCAAACTGTCTACCCACTCAAATCCTGCTGAACAACCAACTGATAATACAGTCCCCGTTCGGCAATCAAACTCTGATGAGTCCCCGACTCTGCAACAACACCATCCTTGAATACATAAATCACATCAGCATCCTTGATACTACTCAACCGATGTGCAATAGCAATGGTCGTACGGCCCCGGGAAGCTTTATCAAGGGCGGCTTGGACGACTTTTTCAGAGGTGGCGTCTAGGGCGGATGTCGCTTCGTCGAGCAAGAGGATTTTGGGGTTACGGATTAAAGCACGGGCAATGGCCACGCGTTGTTTTTGGCCGCCAGAGAGTTGGGTGCCCTTTCCGCCTAGAGAGGTATCGTACCCATCAGGTAAGGATGTGATGAAATCGTGAATGTTGGCGTCTTTGGCGGCTTGGATAATGGTTTCGTCAGAGGGCATGGAAGGGAGGCCGTAGCAAATGTTTTCCTTGATGGTTAGGTTGTAGAGGTTGGGCTCTTGGCCTACCAGAGATACAATCTCGCGGAGGTTGGAAATGGACAGGGAATTGATGGGTTGGTTGTCAATGGTAATGGTGCCAGAAACAGTGTCGTAAAATCGTTCCATGAGGCCAATGGTGGTGGATTTGCCGCAACCCGAAGGGCCAACCAAGGCAACGAATTGGCCTGGTTTGACAACAAGGTCGAGGCCACGGAGGACCTTGATGGATGGCCGGTTGGGGTAGACAAAGTGGACGTTTTTGAATTCAACTTTGCCTTGGGTGGTAGCCTTGTCCAAGCTCGTGCCAGAGGGGTCCCAGTTGTCAATCGGGGGTTTGCGCTCAAAGAGGTCCAACATGTATTTAGCGGAATCGTGCGCTTTACCAACATCGGGCATGAGCGAAAAGACACGGCCCGCGGCTTGGGAGGCAAAGACAATGGCCATAAACGTTGTGAAAAAGGTGCGCACACCGTCCGAGCCCCCATATTCTCCCGTGACAATGAGTTTACCACCGTACCAGAACCCAAGGGCGTTGATCAAGAACGTGACGGTTTGAGAGAAGGCGTAAATGGCGGTATTCCCAATGGCATTTCGGCGACCGATTCGTAGAGGCTCTTCCAAGTCGTGGTGGTAGACCTGAGCCACATCCTCTTCACGACTGAGGGCCGCAACGGTGCGCATGGCTGCCACGGCTTCACAAGCAACTTGAGCTGACCGCTCATAGTAAATCTTTGTGGCTTGGTTCCCCTTTCGAATCAAATCCATCCGGAGTTTGTTGGCGGCGACCATGAGTGGGAGGGTCGACAAGACAACCAGACCGAGCTTCCATCCCGTCGCGACGGCTACAATAGCACCGCCGAGAATTGACGTGGTGAGTTCGAGGAGGTTACCAGCAATTTGGCCAGACATGTTTTGCACATTTTGGGCGTCGTTGGAAAGGTTGGACGTGAGAGCTCCGACAGAGTGTTCTTCCACGTCAAACCACGCAATATCTTGACGCATCATGGTCCGGAACGACTTGTCACGCAGGCTATAAATTAAAAAAGCGTCAGCTCAATGTCCCATATAATTAAAAAAAAAAACCAAAAAAAACGTACCGAGTGGTCAACTTTTCTCCCGAAATTCCAAACATGGTAAACTTTATAAAACTCGCAAACAAATTGGCAATCCCAATCACCAAAAACATGAGCGCCCAAAAATCTGCATCGTGCCGTAATTTGGCATCGTCATTCACGATGAAAAAGACGTTGATAAAGTGTCCAAAGAGGATAGCAAACACGGGTTGGGTGATGCCATTGACAATGGAACCGAGGAGACCGAGCGCAATGTAGTGGGCTTCCGCACGGTTCAGCTTCATAATCTTGTTAAAAATCCGGAGGGTGTCGAGAGTCGAAGGTTGAGGTGTCTTGCCAGGTGTTGACACGTCTGGTATGCTTTTACCCGAACGGGTGCTATGGGTCGAGTGCACAGAGTTGGCTCTGACAAGACCCTTTGCTGGTTCTTGCTCATCCTCAAGGGCAACGGCGTCAGGGTCCACCTTGGGTTTCGCCTTTTCTGCTTCTGCTTCCTTTTTGGCGCTAATCTGCTGTGCTTCCACCAACTTACGGTAAAACCCGCCTTCTTTTGCCACCAAGGAATGGTGAGTACCCGTCTCAATGATTCTGCCTTGGTCCATGACAATGATATTATCTGCGTTCCGAATGGTGGAGAGTCGGTGGGCAATGACAATGGTCGTACGGCCTTGCGCGGCGCGGTCAAGCGCTTCTTGGACCAGTTTTTCAGACTCGGTGTCGAGGGCGGACGTGGCCTCGTCGAGCAAGAGAATCGGTGGGTTCTTAACAATGGCTCGCGCAATGGCGATACGCTGCTTTTGACCACCCGAGAGGAGCAGACCGCGCTCACCAATGCGGGTTTCGTACTTTTGGGGTAGGGCCATGATAAAGTTGTGGGCATTGGCAAACTTGCATGCCTCGATAATCTTGTCCATTTTCTTCTCTTTTGGCAGTTGTTCGTCGGCTGTGCCAACGAGACCGTGCGCGACATTCTCCCACAAGGTCCCTTTGAACAGGACGGGTTCCTGGGTCACATAACCAATTTGCTGACGGAGCCATTTGACATTGAGGGTGGTAATGTCAACACCGTCGAGATGAATAGTGCCCGATTCTGGGTCATAGAAACGTTCGAGGAGCTGAATAATGGTCGACTTTCCTGAACCTGAACTTCCCACCAACGCACAAGTCGTTCCCGGTTCAATGGTCAAGGTCATGCCGTGGAGGACAACGACTTCGGGACGCGAGGGGTATCGGAATTTCACGTCCTTGACGACAATGCGGCCATGGACCTCGTTAGGGCGGTAACCGCCTGGGGCTGCCGAGTCAATCTCGGGCAGGCGGTCAATGGCTTCAAACAAGGTTGTCCCCGCACCAATAGCAAAAGAAAAGGCAGTGACTTCACTCGAAGTACCAGCGAGGGCAAAGGCACCAATGAGAACGGAAAAGAAGCATGTCATAATGTCTCCGGGCAGGACTTCCTTGTCCACGAGCATTTTGGAGCCGTACCAAAAGGCCAAGGCATATGTCGAAAAAATGACAAACTGGATGCAGCCCCATCCCATTCCCGTCACGATTTGCTTTTTGATGCCAAAGACCTCGGCCTTGCCGAGCAAGGAATAGTAGACTTTGGCCATTTTTTCTTGGGACATGAACGAGGTGACGGTGCGAATCGAGGAAAAGGTTTCTTCAGCGACATCACCGGCGGACGCGTACGAGTTGAGTCCTTCACGGGTATACTTGCCGACAAAGCGTCCCAAAAAGGCAGCGGTGATGCCAATGGCGGGAACGCAGCACAAGAGGACGAGGGTGAGTTTCCAGCTGTGGGAAAAGGCGACGGCGAAACCAGCGACAAAGGTGGCAAAGTTCATGAAAAACATGGGTACTTTTTCACTAATGCCATCCTGAACCATTTGGGTATCGGTGATGATGCGGGTGGAGACTTGGCCTCCACCAGTCGAGTCAAAATAGGCAATGTTTTGACGGAGGATGGCTTGGAGGTAGCCTTCACGGATGCGATGGGAAATGTTTTCCCCGGTAAAGAGCCAAGTGGCCATGTAAATGTAGGTAGCAAAGAACATGGCAATGCCGAGGTAGACAAAAATGAGGGATTTCTCATTGATGGTGTCTTGCATGGCGTCCTGGATGGCGGATCGTTGGATGGGAGTCAACGCTGACATGTCTGTGTTTTGCACGGCGCCAAAAGTGTTTGTCAAGTCACCAAAGATGATGGTCATGAGCGGCAGTACGGCCCCAGCACCGCAAGCAGCAATGAGACCAATGACCATCAAGAGACGCTCCAGATTGGTCGAGTAACGCATCAAGAGGGCCATGTAAGAGATGCGCTTGACAGGAGCGGGTTTGGAGGCGGGAGGGGCGGGCGGTTTCTCTGATTTGACAAGTGCATATGTTTCTGCGGTCTCTACGAGGTCTTTGGGGCCGGATGCAGCGGGAGCAGGCGTAGCAGAGATGGAAGGAATGACGGGAAGGGATTCATGCAATGATGATTTGCGAGAGCGAGTAGACTTGCGATCGTCTTCCACCACCTTGTAACTGTCATTTGTGTTGTTGCCAGCAACCTCTACAGGTGGATCCTCCACCTTGTTGACTTGTACCATTTCTGGCAGTTGTGATGATGATGGATGATCTGCCATCGTTGCGCGAGAGCAATGCGTGTGAATGTGAAAAAGAAGCAATCGTTTATATATGAGAAAATCAATAAAAACAAGTGGGAATATCGGGACTCCGACCCTTTTTAGATTGTGTGACTGTGAAAGACTGGGGAAATGTCCGAGTGTTCCAAATTTATCCGGATTCCATTCAAAAACAGAGCGCGTTCTATTTCCGTGGAGAGAGTGGGAGAGAGTAACTAGTAGTGTTGTGTGAATGGGGGGAATGAGGGTAAATAGAGGGGATATGTGAGAGATATTTTTATTATTATTGGACTTATTACTAATCTACTCTCTTCTCTCTCTCTCTTGTCTGTATCGTCTCTCTACTCTTCCTGATCAAGTTGCTTATCCTCCTACTCTATAATGTCCACTACAAACGGCTCTCTCAATATGGCAAGTTTTTAAGCCGCAAAATCATTTACTACTTTTATTCTTTATTCTTGCTGACATATTCATTTCTACAACTGATTTGTTCTTTATAGAAACACTTGGATTTTGCCATCACGCACGTGTCCCTTGCTAGTGATAGAGTAACTAATGCACATTGGATTGTTAGCACAGCACCATAGCGCAGAGGAAGCGCGCAGGGCTCATAACCCTGAGGCCCCTGGATCGAAACCAGGTGGTGCTATCTACAATCACCCCGCTATGCTTTTTGTCTAGTTCATTTTTCTACATGGCCTTGCAACCCTAAACGGAGGTTTAGATCCTTTTGTGGGATATCTATCCCTGATCAATGACCTTTTTTTGGAGGTTCCGCCAGTGACAGCCGAAGCGGCGCTGCTGGTGCTATGACACCTTCCATATGACCATGATTTAATCGACACACTCTGACGACTTTGGATGGCCCTTTTGTGGCTTTTATATTTATCAATGAGGAACGGTCAAATCTTTTCAACTACCAGTACGTCAAATTCCTACGGGAATGCTCAACTTAATACATCCCAAAGCCATTCCCTCCCCACAACAATCCTGTTTCTAAAATGTACATTTATATACACGCCAGTAACCCTATGCTACCGAGAATATGCGTCTTGACGCCTGAATACACTGGGTACGGACCGCCGATTACTTTTTAGCATCTTTTTCCGCCGTTACTGGCGATTTCAAATCCTTTTCTGCCGCTTTCGCCAAAATCTCATAAGTCTTGCTCCCCTGAGACTCGAATCCGGCCACGTGCTGGAACTCTCTCAAGCTCCAGGTGGGTGTAGGCTTCCACTTCTTATCGGTTCCAGTCAGTTTCTCTTTCTAACTCTCGTAGGTTTCCGTCAGTCTTTGAAGGCTTGTTACCCATATTGAGAGAGTTCAATGGGATTGCTTCAGGTAAAGAGTATGATACAGAGGTCGAGAAGTAATGGGCAGGCTAAAGGATGTCAGACGCCTTTTATAATATACCCAAGGTCATGATTTCCAACGTCAAATCTGCATGTTTGGTCCGGAAGGTGAATTTGGTTTCGCTGGCTGTCAACGTCGGTGTTCATCCCCGTCTCCCTTGTATATCATAAAAGGGCTAAAATGCCGACTTGTGCAAAGCTCGCGGCTGAGAAGCGCGGTGGTTGCCCTCGCGTGACTTTGCCAAGGTGGTCGTACAAAGATATGCAATTAGAGTTGTTAAACTTTTGCTCCTGGTTCCGATTGGAACTTTTTTTATCTTCATTCAACATACACTCCGCAACCGCGTTGTCCGCTTTCGATCGTGCTATTTTAGCAAGAATGCAACTTGTTCAGCTCTGGATCGGACCGCTAACAGATGTATACCATGGGCGGGGTTCTCTGGCTCCGTCGTTTTACCGTTCAATGCAACTTTCCACGATCTCAGCAGTTATCGGAAGCAGCTGCCGGCCACATTCAACATGCCCATTTGAGCATGAAGGAGTTCACCGACAAGTGTGGAGCTTCCGTTATTCAACAGTCTTGGTTTTCCTTTCTCTGACAGCAGGCATCGTGCCTCCGTCGGTTTGCCATTCAATGAAAGCCTCCTGATCACAACAGTTATCGGAAGCAGTTGCCGGCCTTGCTCAACATCCCCAGTTTAGCATAACGAACCCCAGTCGGAACTATCGTATGCCTTTTATTTCATCATCAAATGAGGTGTTTTTTATCTGACGCTTTTCCATCGTACTATTGCACCCTGAGCTGCTCCCAATTCCTTCATTTGCTGCCTGACGCCCGTTGTGAGGCATTCCTGAGCATATATAAAGCCGTGGACTCTCTGGGTTCTTTTCCCTGTGTCGTTGACCTCTGGCTCTTTCTTTTGATTTGTCCAGGATATACACGAAGCAGGTTAGCCGAATTCCACTTGTGCTTTTCGAAAATTCTTGTTGTCTTACACTGTTGTTTTTTTTGTTGTAGTAATCACTCAACCCGGACGTAAATCAGAAAGTACCAGCATCATGAAGTTTTTCTCTCTCGCTTACATTATAGTCGCTTTTGAGCTGCGCTTCTTTTGTCCATAGTGACATTGGCGAGAAGATAACTAACGCTGCTAACGCCATTGCCGCCGGCATTTCAAACCAGTTAATAGCCAACGTGAACAATTCACCAAATCCTTGGCCTTGCGTCTCTCTGACGAAACTGGGATGACCGTAGCAGTCATTAATATGGGGTTGAAGCAACTTGCAACCGGGCAGTACACTGTAAAGCGTGTCGGCTACGACTGCGGATCGTTATTCAACAACTATCACGATTACAACGTGTATGTATTCCCTTGCCAGGGATATCATGTCGGAAGTCTTCGCAAATGGGGGGAGGGCGGATATGCCAACTGGGCTGTTGTAGGTTATACGGAATGGGTTGATGATAGCGGTTTCTGGATTAACTGTGGCGGGATTGCTCCCCGGAAGAAGACCCTTGCTGGAAATGGTACCATTATTCCTCTTGAATAGTCTTGCAGTAGATCAGAATCAACAAAGTCAGCGCCTCATAGAATTATGACTGGAATAATTGTAGTTTCTAAATTGATGAATCAGGAATTCACATCCGCATGCTGTTATTCTTACACTTTTATTGCTACCAACTAAAATATGCCTCGTCTAATGCAGGCAATCATGTGCAGCTAGTAGTTTGCTCGCAACACGTTGAATTAGGGGTTACGTAACCACATGTGGCTTAGCTGCCGATCGTGGATTTGACAGCTTTGGTGTCGTTTGGTCATGTCAACCCATTCCAAAGAGATGGCAAAAGTGGGTTTGTTCTTGTGAGCACAATGGTCAAGTAAGAGGGCATTCCATCGTAAATGGGTGGTCGAAGAGTACTGCTGAGATGGCGGTCAGCGTACTGCTGTAGGGCAACAGCAACATTTAGAACACTTTTTCTTGTGTGCACGACCGCGTTTTTGACAGCTTGTCTGTTGAGCGCGTGCCGAGTAGGGCATTGCTTCCAAGATACTCATAATTGATCATAAGAAAAGTATGGTTTCAGACCGATCGTAAAAAGCCCTGAAAAAGCCCACCAAAAAGGCATATTGAAGAACAAAAAAGCCAATGGTCTCAGGTCCATCGAAAAGAAACGCAAAAAGGAGGTCTCAGACTGATCGTTTAAGCCACCCCATGAGTCATTTGAAGTTATGCTCCGAATTGTCAAAAGCTTATTTTGACGGATTATAAAAGGAGGGGACCTTTTCGATCCCCCCCGCTTTTTTCCTTGTGCTCGTATATGGATTTTTTTGTTCTTTTTGGTCTTTCACACTCTTTGTTCAACCAACTCTCCACTTTTACTCAACACACATTCCTTTTTTTTGTTGTGAACCCCATTTACCACATCGCTTGTCATGACAGCCCGTCCGCCCTCCACTGCACGTCCACCTACCGGTGCGCCCATCACCACCGTCGCCTTCCCCAAGCGTCCCGGGTTTGGTTCCGTCGGCAAGCCCATCTCCATCATTGCCAACCACTGGCCTACCCTCTCGACGCCTACGAAGCCTGTCTACCAGTATGACGTCGAGATCAAGCCTGCGGCCAGCATTCTCATTAACCGCAAAGTGTTCAACTTGGTGGTTGCGGCTGAGGAGAACCGAGAGTACTTTACTCCCAGGTCTCGTATGATTGTAAGTTCTTGTAGTTATTCATTTCATTTATGGATTAGGATACTGACCGCTTCTTCCTTTCCTTCTTTTTTTGTTCAAGGTTTTTGACGGTAGAAAGATTGCCTACGCACCGGAGAAGCTCAACCTCGGGACCGCTGAAGCCGTCATGCTCTCGACAATTCTCCCAGAAGAAGACAATGGTCCTGAACGTCGTACCAGTCCCCCTCCGCGAGCGCCTAGGGAAGAAGGCCCCCCTCCGCGTGAAAGGTGAGTTCCACGTCAGTTCTGCTTTACTTTTTACTTTGCTTGTATTGACTTTTCTTTACAGCAAGTTTACAGTGGCCATCAAGTTTGCGGTGACGGTCGACATGACACGACTCGTTAATTTCCTTGAAGGCAGAGTTCCGTCCATTCAAACGCCGCAGGATGCTCTCAAGTAAAGTGACACTCGTACCTTTTCATTTTTTTTACGACGGTATCTCACCTTTCTATTTTGATTGCAGCGTGTTTGATGTGATTCTTCGTCACCATGCCTCAAAGATTCCGGGATGTGTACCTTCTGGACGCGGGTATGTAGTCGATTGGCTTTCTTTAATATTGCAACGAGATCACTCATAGGCATTTGTTTACTGTAGGTGGTACCTCCAGAACCTCTTTTCTCGGAGCCCTCAAGATCGCTACCTCGGCGGCGGCGCGGAAGCATGGAACGGATGCAAGCTCTCGATGCGGCCCGGACAGCAAAAAATGTTCTTGAATGCGGACCTCAGTACGACGGCCTTTTTGGCACCTGGTAAGCCCATCTCGTATGTTGTATTATCATCTCATCGTTTTGTTACTCACTCTTCTATTCGCAGGTCCGCTCATTGAAGTCTCCAAGCGTATCCTCGAAACGACCGATCAAACCTTCCAACGCGAACTCCATGAAGGAGATATCCGTCGCCTCCAACGCTCTCTCAGGAACTTCCAAGTCAAAACCACACACCGCGCGACTGGTCGCAAAAAGTACCGTATCTCCGAGATCTCCATCACGCCGGCCTCACGCACCATGTTCGACTATGAAGGCGAAGGCACCCGTCGCAAGATTAGCGTTCAAGGATATTTTGAACAGGTGTATGGGATTCGTCTTCGATACCCGCATCTTCCGTGCGTCGTAACGGGGCAGCGGGACAGGAGAATCTACTTGCCGATGGAGGTTTGTGAGATTCCGCCGGGTCAGAGGATCATCAGGAAGTTGGATGAGAAACAGACGGTACGTTCTTTTCACTTGGTGTTTTTCATTGATATCATGGACTCACACTTCTCTTTATATCTAGTCTCGAATGATCAGCATCGCGCAGCAGCGCCCTACGGATCGTCTGAACAGGACCTCCGACGCGATCAATCAGCTCGTCGGAACCGTGCGCGAAGGAACTGACTACCGGGACAATGAATACCTCCGTGCTTTTGATCTTCGCGTAGGCCGCCAACCTAGCATCCTTCAAGCCCGCCTCCTCGACACACCCACCATCTCCTACCACCCCAAGTCCCGCGAGAAGGAAGTCACACCCCGCGACGGCACCTGGAACCTTCGTGACAAGATGGTTGCGTTCGGCAAGACTCTTTCTTCCTGGGCGGTCCTCGTTTTCGCTCCCTCCGAACGAGTTCGCAACGACGCTGTCGATAAATTTGTTCGTCAACTCGTCTCAACATGCAAGAACACGGGGCTTCAGATCACCGAAGAAAAACCGCCCCTCCGATACGGATCTGACAACAATATTGAAAATAACCTCAAAGCGGCGTTCATGGATGCGGGTCAAGGATGCAGGAAGAAGCCACAGATGATTTTGGTCGTGTTGCCGGATACCAATCCTCGTCGGTACGCAGAGATCAAGAGAGTGTCGGATACGGTCATTGGTATTATTACCCAGTGTGTTCAGTCTCGACGTATGTGCTTTGTTGTTGCTGTTTTATCCTTGTCTTTTGTGTTTCTAACCGTTGCTTTGTTTATTATTAGATGTGTTCAAGGCAAACGTTCAATATTGCGCCAACCTCTGCCTCAAAATGAACGTGAAACTCGGCGGCTTCAATTCCTTCCTTTCTGCAAAGCAGCTCAACTTTATTTCCGAGACGGAGACGATTGTCATTGGTGCTGATGTGAGTATATGCTTTTCCGTTGTTTGTACACTTCCTTTTGGACCTTTAGTAACTGGTTGTTTTTTTTCAGATAACTCATCCCGGACCTGGTGAAGGTGAATCAAGGCCCTCGATTGCCGCCATGGTAGGCTCCCTCGACGCCCAATGCTCCCGTTTCGCTGCGACGCTCCGCATCCAACGTTCTCCAGCGGGTACCCGCCGTAACGACATTATCCAAGACGTCTACGGTATGACCACAGAACTCTTGCGCGCCTTTTACCGCACCACGAACCGCAAACCCGCTCGCATCGTCTTTTACCGCGACGGCGCCTCAGAAGGTCAATTCAACGAGATTCGTCAAACGGAGATTGCGGCTGTCAAGCGTGCCTGTACCGATATCGAAAAACTCTCTGGAAGTGGGAAAGAGTATAACCCGCCCATTAGCTTTATTGTTGTCACCAAGCGGCATCATACGAGGTTCTTTCCTAAACGCGGTGAAGATGCGGATCGGTCTGGGAATTGTAGACCCGGCACGGTGGTGGATAAGACCATTACCCATCCGAGTGACTATGGTATGTTTTCGTATTCATTGTTTTTTTGTTTATGATACTTTACTAACTGATTATTCATTGTAGACTTTTTGCTCAACTCCCACCCGGGGCTCCAAGGCACCTCCCGCTCAGCTCACTACCACGTCCTCCACGACGAAAACAAACTCTCACCAGACACACTCCACCAAATGACCTACAAACTCTGTTACCTCTACGCACGCAGCACACGCGCCGTCTCGGTCTGTCCACCCATTTATTACGCGGATCTCGTTGCTGCGAGGGCCAGGTTCCATTTCAAGGGGATGGAGTGGAGTGAGGAGAGTAGTGGGACGGCCGGGAGTGAGGCGGCTAGGGCTTGGGATGAACGGTTTGCTAGGGTGAGGGATGACTTGAAGCAGGTCATGTACTATATGTGAGATCTGGGGTTGGCATTTTTTGCAGTTGTTTTTGCATCGGGGTTTTTTTGTGGCATGTTTGCTTGTTTGTTTTTATCTTGCGGGAGGAATGAACCTTTGCTGATCTGATAGGTGTTTTTGGCATATTTTGCATTTTTTTGTCTTGTTTTACCTTGCGGGAGGAATGAACCTTTGCTGATTTTGTATTGTTGTCATTGGCTTGAGTGGGCAGTATCGCCCCTCTGCGGTTGTAGATAGATTTACATAGGTATCTGTCTTTTGCAAATATATCATGTGTATCGTGTATCTCTACTGTCTCTTTCCAATGTTTGCACTTCATAATGTTTTTGACCTTGATTATAATGTCTACGTGTACAATTCATTCTTGTGAAATTCCAAGTCAAACCCTAGGCACTATTTTGTGCGGTAAGTAATACACCAACATTGAGTATGTTAATTCCGAGCACCCGTTTCTACACACATTTAATTCCACCTCCACACAATGCCATCGCTATAAAAACCATACTAGAAAAAACTCACAAAAATACATACAAAAAAAGAATCCCCCTCACTAGCGTCTCTTGAATTTCGATTTCGATTTAAACGCCTTGACAGATCTCACTTTTCCCAATTTCTTTGGTTCCTTCTTCTTTTGAACAGGTTCCTGTTTCGTCACAGTCTTTTTGGGAGTTTTCTTTTTACTTACTCCCATCTCACTGTCAAACCCTCCTTCCCGTCGTTTAGTAGAGGGTTTAGGCACAAAAGTGCGAGGTTCAGGAACAGCAGCCAATTTCTGGGGGCGGGCTTGTTTTTTGACGGAGCGGGCGACACGGGCTTGCGTTGCGAGTTGTTTTGCGTCTTCTTCGCGGGCGAGTTTGGTGCGTTTCTTTTTGCGGGAGAGACCGGAGAGGGAGGTTCGTTTTGGCTGTGAGGAGTTGTATGTTAGTATATTGGGGTTGTGTTGAAAGAGTTCTCAGATCTCCAAGGTGTAAATTGTCTTTTTTTTCCGACATGATGTTGGTCGGAGGTCTTTGGTGATCATCATTGAACACACACACAAGGGACAGGCAAACTCACCGCATCATCATCAAATTGTGAAGCGGCTTTTCGTTTTTTACTGACAGGTTCCTCGCTGTCGATTCCAAAATCTGCATGATGTTTCGCAAGGCCAAGCTCCTTTGCTTGCGCCTTTTCTTTTTCAGTCTGGAACCACGTTCGAGCAGGTCGACTCTTGATCTCCGCTTCATGCTCCATAATATTCTGCGCTTTGGAAATTTCCATCTCGGCTTTACGCATCTCTTTTTCTTCTTTCTCTTCCGCGTAGATTTCTTTTACGGTGTCTTTGAATTTCTCAATGCGTCGCTCGTATTTTTGGACAACTTGAGATGGGACGATGCGGTGCTTGACTTCATCTCGAGAGTTTTTAACGGCCATTTTAAGGACGTTTCTGTCGGCTTCTCCGACAAGACTGACGGCTCGACCGCCTGCGCCGCCACGGGCTGTTCGTCCAATACGGTGAACGTACTGGGCATAGTTTCTTGGCATGTCGTAGTTGATGACAGTTTTGATACCGGCAATATCGAGACCACGAGACGCCAGATCTGTCGCAAGTAAAAAGTCGACCTGCTTGTCACGGAATTGCTCCAAAGCTTCCAGACGCTGCAGTTGCGTCAAGTTACCGTGGAGTTCGGCGGCCTTCAGTCCTAGCAGCCCAAACACGATTTTCATGTGATGGGCTGCCGCTTTGCTACGGAAAAAGACAATGGTTTCTGATGTATATGTTCGTATACAGAGGGCGGCAAGAATGGCAGGTCGACTCTCTTCACGGTGTGCACGCACACGAATAAATTCTTGCACGAGACGATTTGCAATGGACGTGGTGCTATCTACAAAGAGTCTTACAGGTCGGTTGAGAGACAACTTGATCAAATCATCAACATTGTCCGTCATGGTCGCAGAGAACAACATAGTTTGTCGGCTCTTGGGGGTATTCTTGATAATCTCGTTCAACTCATCTGCAAAACCATCTTCAAGCATCCGGTCGGCTTCATCCATGATCAAAATCTCGACACTGTCCAGATTAAATGACCGCGAGTTGCGGATGTGGTCAATGAGTCGACCGGGCGTCGCAATCACCACGTCAGGTCGCGCCCTCAGTTCCACCTCCTGGGTCTTGGTTGACAAACCACCCACACAAAGACAAAACTGAATATCAGAAAATTTCGCTAGGTTGACCGCGACAGAGTGACATTGTACACCCAATTCACGCGTTGGAACTAGAATGAGGACGCGGGTCGTGGCAACGTTTTTCGGACGGAACAAAAGACGTTCCAAGACGGGAATAATGAACGCTGCAGTCTTTCCAGATCCTGTTACGGCTGAACCGCAGATATCTTTGCCTTGCAGAGCAATAGGAATGGTACGGGCTTGAATGGCTGTGGGCTTGACAAATCCCATGGCGGCGATGCCTTTGAGAATGGGCCGGGAGAGTCGCATGCTCGTAAAGGCCTCAGTAGTCGATTCCTCAGCTTCAGGAGCGGGTGCAAAGTATTCTGCCTTTTTCTTTTCCTGTACAATGTCGTCGGGCTCGTCATCATCATCCTCTTCATCGTCACTGTCGCGATGCCGATGTTGGGTGGTGACAACTTCGTCGTCCTGCTCTCCCTCACTCTCATCGTCATCAGTACCATCATCAAACATCTCCTCTCCTTCTGCGTTCTCGTCTACTGAGTCGTCATCTAGCGAGTCGCTGGCAATCACTCCTTCCTCATCGTCAGCAACCTCTTCGTCGTCTGACCCGTCATCCATGAAGTCATTATCCGCCTCTTCTAAACATGGATAAGCTTAGTCTTCGCAGCCCACTTGTGTGTTATCAATAATAAGTGTGGTCCAACCTTGGCTCTCACCGTCCGCCAAAAGCTTCTTCTTAGTATCAGCGGCACGGTTCACTTTCGCCCGTCTTCGTTCAATCTTTTCATCAACAGTGGTTGAAATTGTATCCTATTCAAACACAAATGCGTCAATCAGCTATCATCTCACTGACATGCAAAGCAGCAAAGTCCAACCTTCATTTGCTGCTTGATGGCAGCTTTGACAGAGGTGAAATCCCAAGGATGTGATGGTCCTACAAGATTCAGTCCACCATCGGCGTCAAAAGAGAAATCAGGATTCAATTCCAAGTCATCCGGCTTCTTGTCGGTGGATTGCTGAGACTTTGGTGGAGGTTGGGTGGTCGTTGGTGCGTCATTCTCTTTTGACTTTGTCTTTTTCGCCTTTTTCTCCTTTTTACCTGGTTTCGCCGTCTGCCATCACCATCATCGTGAGTTTAACCGTTACTATCGATATAGTGGGATAGTCCACACTACAGATACTTGCCTACCTGAGCGGTTTGCTTTTGTCCAGGGTTATCTGCCTTATATTTGGTGATCTCTGCTCCATGCGGGGCGAAATCCTCTTCATCTTCTTCTTCGTCTACCACAGGGACCTCGTCGTCGTCCTCAATTGTGGAGATGCGGAGAGGGTCAAAGGGCCCGTCAAACTGAAGTTTGACACCCATGTTGTGTGTAGATGGGTTGGCTTTCAGCGGAGTTTATCCTTATGGTGGTGGAAACCAAAAAAAATTCAAGGGGAGCGAGACCTGATCACGTGCATAAACTCGTCGATCAGAGGTCAGATCAAAATGGCGGGAAGATATTTGTTCAGCACGGACTTTAAGCATCAAATGTTGAGCAGATTAATCTATTCGTTGTAGGATATGGCTCTCGTAAAGAGAATAAAAAGTGAATACTAAAGTAACGAATTAAAAAACGCTAATCTAAGATTACTTTTTAAGCATAAAAATAGTCAAAGGAGACAATCTAGTGGTTGGTCAACTGAAGGGGAGGGCAGGCGTTGGCCGCTTGTTGCGACTGACAGTATTGGACACGTTGACCATTCGTGCCAAGGTTAACAGCAAACAAATTGGCAATGGCGGCTGCCGCAGTGTCAACAACAATCTTCTGGAGAGGATTGAATTGCATCACTTCAAGAAGAATTGGGGGTGTTAATCAATATAGATTGTGACCATTGTAGGGTTGCATGCTACTTACGCTTGCCATTCTGCCAAGCATTTTCGCGCCAGCCGGTGATCAATTCCAGGAGGGCGGCTCCGAGGATGGGGTTGGTCTGGAGCGGGTTGCCAGAGTAACGACACACAATCTGCGTGTTTACGGGCTCTGCAGTTTCCTGCAGAATGTCGTTAATTCGGTTGTAGTCGGGTTTGTGGTCGTTCTTCATTTTCAAGTCGTTCACGACATACGCAAGATCGCGATTGATGTGGGCATTCATGCCAAGAAACAGATCTTGCTCCGCAAGGGTCTTCTGAGCTTCGGCATTGCTGAAGGCAGTCTTCCACGCCTGAGGAACTTGACTGCGGTTCCCATTGTGCCAGTTATCAATGGCGGTGAGGTAGTAATTCGCAAAAGTACGAGTAAATGTGACCATGTCCTCATTGAAATCAAAGTAATTGTTGGCAACGTGAGATGCAACAGAGTCGGTCATAAACAAATAAGTAAGCTATAACCCATGATGCATTTTTATTAAGTAATTCCAAGCATGTGCATATGCCAATATGGGGTCTTACCGCAAACACGGCATCTGGATCGCAGGCCGCGTCCAGAGCCTGCCAGCGTTGATGCATGTTATCGCGCAACGCCCAAAGGGATTGGATGCCGGCCGCGGTAGCGGGACTCGGCGACGCGGACGCGCCGATGGCGCCACTATAGACACTGGGGCATGAGAAGGATGTACCTTGGGGTACGCAAGGGTTCGCAGGCAAGATGGACACGGCCAATGATGGCGCGGCGAGGAAGCCAAGCGACAGTGCAATAGGAAGACCCAATTTCATTTTTTTCGCTGAATTTCGTGCTAAAAAAGTAGGGGGAAAAATGAGGAAGCCCTACCTTTTTATAAAGCCCAGGAGTAGAAGAAAATGTCAGAACGCGTGGAAGATGCGGAGGTTCCGCTGTTTGGCCAAAATGTGTGATAAACAACGCGCGTAAGCATCGTTCTACGATCACGTGCAGCCTGTGCCACATTATCATGGCTTTCTTGTCGTCAAGGCTGGGCAGCAGCCGTCATCGGCTCACGGACTATTCACGATCGCATCAAAGCATCTGTGCCGAGTGTATCGCTCCACCGAATTTACGCCACGGTGCGTACACAGCTCCCCCTTACGACCCCGAGTTGGATAGCATTTGCCTAGTAGAAAGTAGATACGATGACCTGGCAACCGCGCGCGGAGGACCTGCATATACTTGTGCAGCTGTTAAAGGACTCGACTGCTAGCGATAATGTAGTGCAGCGCGACGTCCGGCAGGTGAGGAACTGGCAGAAATTTGAAACTCCAAAACAGAATTATATAACTCGTTGCCAAAATCACTTACAATGATCCGTACTCCACAACTGATTATTTTCTAAAGAAACTAGAATCGTTTACGAGAGTTCCCGAATATCCTAATTACCTTGCCTGCATCATGGCCATGTCCGAGCTGGAACCTTCGACGAGAGCCATTGCTGGCCTTACGTTGAAAAACTATGTTCGATTACACATTGAAATAATGCAACCGCAAAGTGTGGCGTACATGAAGGAATGTGTGATCCGAGTGGTTTCTGACCCGCAGGAACCTGTTCGGGCTGCGGCTGGATCTATCATTACAACAGTCTTATCCCAAGATTTGCGTAGATGGCCTGAAGTGCTCCAGGTCCTTATGGAGTTAATCGATCGGCCGGAGCCTCATGTAGTGGAGGTATGGGATGCCGGAATGGGTAAATGGATAAATGTGATCACAATACTGAATTCGGTCACGTTCTGCTTTGTAGGGAGCATTTGGTGCGCTCCAAAAAATATGCGAGGACTCTGCACAGCAGTTGGAAGAATTCCAATCGCAAGCGTTGAGCTTTATGATACAAAAATTTATTCAGCATTTTGCTAATCCGAATCCCAAAGTGCGCGCTTCCGCCATCCAGTGTGTGAATCAGTTTGTACTGATGCACTCGCAAGGGTTGATTGTCAACATGGAACCCTACGTCCAAGGACTTTATGCCCGTGCAAGCGACCCCCACCCCACCGTCCGTAAACATGTATGTCAGGCACTCGTGATGATACTTGAAGTATACCCCGAAGCGCTCGTCCCCCAGCTAGAGGACGTGGTGAACTTTATGTTATATTGTACACAAGGGGAAGACGACGAAGTGGCATTAGAAGCGTGCGAGTTCTGGCTTTCCTTTGCAGAGCAGGATCGGATGAAGGATCATCTAGAACCCTTCTTGCCAAGGTACATAATGTCATCATGATACTAATTTCGTGGACGATCGGTTGACCCGCGTTGCGTTTACCCCCAGAATTGTTCCTGTGCTGTTGAAGGGCATGGTATATTCAGAGGAAGATATCGCTATACTTGCAGATGAGGGCGAAGATGCTGCTGTCCCTGATAGTGCGCAGGACATAAAACCGCGCCATCACAAAGCTCGGACCCACGCGTTGGATCATGAGGGAACTCCTGGTGCAGGGCAAGCTCAATCGGCTGGGAATGAGGACTCGGACGATGAGGATGAAAGCGACTTTGATGATGAGGACGACGTGTATACCGAATGGAATCTCCGAAAATGCTCCGCTGCAGCTATGGATGTTATGGCCACAGTGTTTGAGAACGATCTTCTTGTCCACTTACTGCCCCGATTGAAAGAAGAATTGTTTCACCCCGATTGGGAGCATCGGGAGTGTGGCATTTTGGCGCTGGGCGCGATTGCTGAAGGTGCGTCTGCTATGCAAACAATTTGTGAACGCGAGCTTTCGTATGACGGTTACGGTATAGGATGTCTTCCGGGTATGATGCAACACTTGCCACAGTTGGTTCCGCATATGATCATTTGCTTGTCGGACGCACAGGTTAGTATGCATCCAGAATGACTTGATGCTTGAATTACATGGTCTTAATCAGGGACGTGCTTTCCATCCAGCCACTCGTGCGTGCAATCACATGCTGGACTTTGGGTCGTTACGCAGGTTGGACAGTACATCCTCCAGCAGTGTGGGCTCGTCAGTATTGCGGCACGGAAGCGCAGTTGCAGCTGCACAGGGAAAACTACTTTCGGCCATTGGTTCTAACGGTATGACTGGCATGTATATGTATTCCGCAAGTAATGAATTTGCTAATGAATTGCACAGCTTCTTCAAACGGTGCTGGATAATAACAAGCGTGTACAGGAAGCCGCGTGCAGGTGTGCACGGGGGTGAGCTCATCTTTGTTAGACTTGGTAATTAATTAATCTTATGAATAGTGCGCTAGCCACCGTGGAGGAAGAGGCCATGATGGAGTTGATTCCATATCTAGAGCCGGTCCTTTCGACACTAGCTTTGGCATTCCAAAAATACCAGGTAGGTGTAGGTCACCATCAAAACCAAGTGCGCCAATGGACTGAAACAATTTACTGTACTCGACGATCAACCAGCACAAGAATCTGCTCATCTTGTACGATGCAGTGGGAACCCTAGCAGACTCAGTCGGATCAGCGTTGAGCGAGGATCGATACATCAACGTTCTCATGCAACCTCTTGTTCGCAAGTGGCAATTGATTGATGACATGGATCGAGGAATATTCCCCCTCTTTGAATGTATGTCTTCCGTTGCCACCGCGCTCGGGGGCAAGTTCGCGCCATTTGCAACCGAGGTGTGGCAGCGATGCTTGCGAATCATTCAAGCCACTCTTCAGCTACTTCAGGTGCTGATCACTCTTAAGTTATTGCCGTCCATTGGCTGGGTTTTGACGAAACCGTTTTCTGTGGACAGAGTCACGCTCAACACCCTGATGCAATTGAAGCACCAGATAAGGACTTCATTGTAGTCTCATTGGATCTGCTGAGCGGAGTGGCTCAGGGAATGAACACGCTAGTTGAGCCGCTTGTACCGCAATTGCAACCACCTGTGCTGTCTTTACTGCCCATCTGCATGAAGGTATGTAATATGGCTCAACAGGTGAGGACGCGTCGACACACTCATCTTTGGCTATTTCAGGATCCCAGTCCCGAAGTGCGTCAGAGCGCATACGCTTTACTGGGAGATTTGGCAATATCCGCCTTTGCCCATCTGAAGCCATATCTCAACCAGTACCTACCAGAGCTGATAGGCCAGTTGAGCCCACCCATTGATCAAACTCGCGTGTCGGTAGTGAATAACGCGGTTTGGGCGGTTGGGGAGATTTCTCTGAAATACGGTACGCAATGATACGTCTTGGAGCACGTGGTTGGACTAAATAATGCTTACGGAGCTAAACAATTCAACTTACAGACAGAGAAATGCAACCTTGGGTGCACCCGCTATTGGAGCGCTTGATTCCTCTTCTAACTAATCCACAAACACCAAAAGCTATTCTGGAGAATGCTGCCATTACGATAGGCCGCTTGGGCTATGTCTGCCCAGATCTGGTGGCGCCACATCTTCAGACCTTTATTCAACCCTGGTGGGTTCAAGAGGGAAGAGAGCGTGCCACTCTTTTCCTGACATATCATACCTTGTTCATAGGTGCGAAAACCTCCGTCTTATTCGAGATAATTTGGAGAAGGAGAGCGCGTTCCAAGGCATGTGTCGGATGATTGAACTGAATCCGAACGGTGTCATGGACAAGTTCGCCTACTTCTGTGAGTACTATCTCGAAATTGCAGACGTTAAGATAAGGGGCTAATGTTTTGTACCGTCATACAGGCGATGCTGTTGCTCAATGGAACAGAGTGTCACCTGAGCTGAATAAGACATTTGAGAAGGTATGGATACTTACACCAGTTCTTTTGTAGTTCGACCTTTGTGATGACCTCCTTTCCATTAGATTCTGCATGGGTTCAAGAACGGATGGGGGGAATCGTGGAATCAAATTGTCAAAGACTTCCCCGTCTTTGTGAAGCAAAGGTTAGCGGAGCGATACGCATTGTGAGATCAAGAAATGATTCCATGTACTTTCAATGGTGTTGAGGGGCTTTCAATAGGAAGTTTGTACATTATCATAGGAACTGGTTACTTGATGGCCGTCAATTTTGGTGCGCTTGACACTACGATCTATGTAGTTCGGCAAATGTCTCGGTACTGATGATGCAGTGTCAGCAAATAGTTCTACCAGTTGCTATTTCACTTGGACGCAACTGGTTGGACATGAACGCTATCATAGCGTTAAACTACACGCCGAGCTAGTGTGGATCTCCAGAATCGCTGTTGCTATGGGTACAACCTGCCCTAGACGCGAACCCCAAACACTGGGCATTGGTTTTCCAACACTGACATGGACAAGATCATAGTGCGCAAGCTCAACGTTCGGAATATCATAGGCGTAGACTCATGGGAACGTTCGAAGCGCCAGCCATTGAATATAGACCTTACGGTGCACCAGGACATTAATTCATCCGGTGAAAGTGATCTTCTCTCGCATACTATTAGCTATGGGACAGTTGCAAAGGCTGTCCAAGCGTTCTCAGAAAAAACATCCTACCGGTCTGTCGAAGCTCTCGCCAGTGGCATTGCCCGGATTTGTGTGCAAGAATGCGGTGCAGAGTGCGTAACAGTTCGAGTGGAGAAACCGCGTGCCCTCCTTCACGCCGCGTGTGCAGGAGTGGAAATAACTCGGTCGAGGCGGGATATCGAACTGATGGAGTCATTGAAAGCATCTGGTGCGAGGAGGCAATCGCTCTCGGCAGAGGACATTGCTGGCGAGGATCAGATTTTTATCCAAGATCTGACGCTAAATACCATCATCGGGGTCAATCCTTGGGAGCGCGAAGAACGCCAGCGAGTTATCCTGACCCTTGTCATACATCTCCAATTCAATCCTCTTCTCCTCATTGAAGATCATGTACCCAAGGTACACAATTACAGGACAATAACACGGACTGTTAGTCAGTATGTAGAACAAACGGATTATAAAACAGTTGAAGCACTGGCGACATCCGTCGCAAAACTGATGATCGAACAGTGTCATGTACCCAAAGTCACCATTCGAGTCGAGAAGCCGAGCGCGATTGTGTTTGCCGCGGCGGCTGGAGTTGAAATAACCAGAGATCGGGCGTTTTTTGGTTTGAAAGAGCCCTCCAGCGGCTCGCAAGAAGTATCACCCACCTCTGGTGGCCCAACCAGCAGAGGCACAAGAGGGCTTGATGTTCATCAGGACAGCCGTCTATCTCACACAGTACTGCTGGCTATTGGATCAAATCTCGGCAACCGTGCCCAAAACATTGAAGGGGCGCTGTGCAGACTGGAGGGTTCACCAGCAATCCAAATCGTGGATACTTCCTTTTTGTATGAAACCACTCCCATGTATGTAGCAGACCAGCCAAACTTCTTGAATGCGGCAGTCAAGGTAAGGTTATATGACATCGCAAGAAGTCGGTCTAGGGTTGACACATGGGGAACATCATAGGTACGAACAAGCTTGGAACCAGAGGCACTACTAGGATTCCTCAAGGGCATCGAAAGTGAAATGGGTCGCGATTTTGATGGGCAACGTTTTGGTCCTCGTCCCATAGATCTCGATATTCTCTGCTACGATTACCTGGAAATGAGCAATGAAACACTCACGATTCCCCATCCTCGGATTAAGGAACGCGAGTTTGTGTTGCGACCGCTGTGCGAGTAAGTACCCGTATATCCTTCTTCAATGACTCGTAAGGTTATTGATGCAAACACTTTGCCTTCATCCTAGCATTGCGCCGGACATGGAGATCCCTGGCCTTTTCCGTACAGCGTCTCAGCTACTTGCGCTCCTTGGCCACTCAGAGCAAGCTGCCGATCATCACATCCACAAAGTTATCCCTCTCGGTTCCGGACAAATTTGGAACTGGTCAAAACGAACTTACATAATGGGCATCCTCAATGTCACACCAGACAGTTTCAGTGATGGGGGAGAACATTTCTCGATTGATGCTGCAACAGAGTACGCTCTCACCATGGTTAACGACGGCGCGGATATAATTGATATAGGAGGCATGTCGACCCGCCCGAACGCCGACGAAATTACGGAAGAGGAGGAACTGAAGAGGGTAATTCCCGTTATAGAGGCAATTAGAAAACGTAACCAGACTATTCCCATATCTGTGGACACGTACCGAGCCTCTGTCGCCAAAGCTGCGGTTGAAGCCGGGGCAGATCTGATTAACGATGTGACTGGCGCCTCATCTGACCCAGCCATGCTCACTACCATGGCGAACTCCAAAGCACCTGTTTGCCTAATGCATATGCGGGGAACACCCAAAACAATGACAAAGCTCACAAACTACGAAAATGACGACGTAATACAAGAGATTCGTCGCGTCTTGGGTACCACCGTGTCCAAAGCAGTTGCGAAAGGAGTTCGGCGATGGAACATCATTGTGGATCCTGGAATAGGATTTGCAAAGAATGCTGACCAAAACTTCGATATTTTACGGGGGCTTAGGGATATGGTGAAACCAAAATCAGAACTTGCAGGTTTCCCAACCCTTGTCGGGCCCTCTCGAAAAGGTTTCCTTGGACACGCCTTAAAGGCGGACGACCCGAAGAACCGTGTGTGGGGCACGGCCGCTGCTTGTTCGGCTGCTGTTGCTGGCGGCGCAAACGTTTTAAGGGTACATGATGTGAAGGAGATGAAGGATGTAATAGTCATTGCAGATAGATGCTTCCGCAAATAAAATATACAGTGGCTGATGGCTGCTGACATTGCACGCTACGTCAGACGTAGGAATTATGTAATATTCGGGTTTTCAACGTCAAGGTCCGCAGGAATCAACACTCTACATCAAATCTTGCAATGATTAATGATACTCTCTCGCCAATATGTCCGCGAACGACCATTCGATCAATCGATCGATCAAATCTCCTCAGCAATTTGGAATGTTAACAGATAATGTTTTTGATCTCAAACATGCTTAAGCATTACGTAACTGTCGATTGGATGCAAATTTTACATGTTAAATCTGATGAGGAAATCCTTAACTTTGCATGATGCAGTGATTATCCTGACTAGTCCGCAGCATCGAGTATGCCCAACCCGGGTTGACAGGAAGATCATCTGTGATGACAGGAGCGTTCATGAAGGGCTGAAGTTGAGGCCATATTATACTACTGCAACTAATCCCAGTCTATTATTGATATTTCCCGAGACAGCGAGAGATCAATCGCAGATGCAACTGTAGCAAAAGCTACAGTACCAGAGATTGATTTCAATTTATTTTGCCCAGAGTTACTGGTTTGAAAATCACATATATATGTATTTAAGTCAATGGTCACAATGGCAGCGTTGAATAAAATCAAACTTATCCAGTCCGTTTACCTGATACACTGTATCTGGGGCTGCTTCCCTTCTCCAGCATCTTATCCTTTGCGTCACGTATGTTCTTTAGAAGCTCCAAAACCAATAAATTCTGTGAGAAGATGGCAAGAACACTTTCTTGATAATTCAAGTGGTTTAATATACAATACGCTGGCTCACATGCTCATATCCGTATTACAGCTGCTTCGCTTAAGCGAGGCTGGTAAGCATGGAGCCCCGAGAGACCACAGGCCGCAGTACCCGGAAAGCAACCAGACAGAAAATAGTCCTTTCGAGGCCAACTCTTCAAAGCAAAAGATCCTCATTTTAAAACTTTATAACATATCTCGTAGCCCATGGGTTACTCACATTAGCACCCTAACGGCGAACTCTACAGAATAACCAGATGTCCCAAGTTTATGTTTGCATACGCGAACCGTGGTAGAATGGGCAAATCCTTGAGAGCAGACCCTTAGCTGGGAGACATCTTTACTGGGTGCCTATCTCCACACATGTTGATTGCTCTACGGTCATGACGAACATAATTATTCTTTACAGACATGTTTGGCAGTGGTCGCACGTCTTCTTCATCAACCATCATTAGAGGGAAGGTTTGGGGGGGGGGGGGGGGGGGGGGTGGTCGCAGCATGCAGTCGGGCTTTGTACCGCGGAAGGGAGGAAGAGGGGCGTGGAATGCACGATTTTGCCTCCGATACCGAGGACGACTCCAACGATGAAGAACCGGATAATCAGCGCGCGATACTCAGCATCATAGAGCCAGTGGACGATGAAATAGAGGAACTGCCATGTCCCTATGGGACATCCCCTTCTATGCTAAACGCAATGGTAGTACGATCATCGTAAAAACTGTTACGAAACTAAAAAGAGCAGAGAACAAGCTCACGATGTTGTTCGTTGCACCATGTGTCCATCTGATGACCTATGAGACAATTTGATTCCCCACCCCCATCACTCTTCTCTGCCTGAATGGAGTCCTTTGGACCGTTCATACTGGCAATCGCACATATACTCGCAAACTTCCAAGAAAAATGTGAGATCGGCGTTTAAGGTTGTACAACCATATGTGAGTCCGGCAACAAGATCATCGCGCATGTTGCTATCTCACAACATAGTGCAATGGAGCCGGACAACACTGTAAGTTCCTAATAAGCGTCAACGACCGTATATTTGGACGTGAAGCGGCCTCCGCGACTCGTGAAAGTTACAAGGAACTTCTTAAATGATATCTATGGCATCAGATCTGGCCGTTCTCACCAATTTGTTATCATCTTCTAGCGTAACACCAAAGCATCATTAGCATCATTCAAAGCGTTGACATTACCGGTTCTCTACACATTGTACAGTTAGATACGTTGGTACGCGACAGATGAACAAGTCTCACAAGAACAGGTCATCCTGCGTACTGTTCATTCAAATTTACAATTATAAAATTAAACATCCTTATCCCTATCATACAAACCCTTTCGTAACATGTTGCGGTTTGAGAGCAAGCCTCTCTCGCTTCCCACCTTCTCCATTTGACGCAGACCCTGCCGTAGCAGTCTCTCCCTTCGTTTCCCCGATATCTGCATCCTCACTCTGTGATTCCATCCTGTCGTCCCACGCTGGATCTTCCGCCCGAGCCTCTGGTGGTTCGATTTCCAGACGTCCCACCGCGTCCAGTTTGTCAAACCCGCTCTCAAGAAAGCTGACACGTTCAAATAGCTCATGTATGAACCGCCGCGCTGTGAGACGGAAGTGGTACACAGAGAGCATTCGAAGAACCTCTATGTACAGATCCACCTTGACAAAATAATCAGAATACTCGTGACGAAACCTTCGCCCCGAGAGAATGTTAGTCTATATGACAATGCAGAAGAGCAGAAGGGCACAAGACAGACACCTCGAAAGAGTTTTGGAGGCAGCGTTGGCCAAAATATGATTACTCATGTTACCGATGCATTTCAAGATTTCTCTCTCTGTTGGGTCAAACTCGTGTGGGCTGAAATTAGGCTTTGTTGAGTAGTCCGCCCAAGACCCCTTGTAGTTCCAATGTGGCATCTAAAACAATAGGTCAGCATTGTGATCCTGCTACACCCATTTTTAGTTACTTACTCTTAAAAACAATGCCTCGTTTTTGGGTACACACAACCCTTCTAGTTGCCCATGTGCTGGCATTACAGTCTCCCATCCCAAATCTTCCAAGATTTCCACGCCCTGCGCTGTTTTGGCTATCAATCCCAATATATAATAACAAGTCCTGAACTGCCATGAGTATCGACAATAAGCATATAAACAGCACATAGACATACCCTTTCAATGTAATGATCGGGGATGTTCGTGCGATGTTGACTATATGTTTAATGATATCTTCCTCCAGCAGGAAGGAAAGGCCCGTCTTCATAGCACCAATATTACCCTGTATGAAAGTTAGGTCCACCTTCCTTCGCAAGCGATTCTGAAAGCAGTAGGACATACCACTGCCCATAAAACGCCTTTTAACGGGAGTATGGACGCTGGCTCCACAGGACCCGTGCTTTTTAGCCTGATAAGGTCGGCGAAGGTTTTGAAATGACCTTTTCGTCTAAGCAAAGCGCTGCCTTCCGATGTTCGTGCTAGTTCCCCGTAGAAGTGGGGCGGTGCTTTACCGTCTGTCTCCCTAGCAACATTATTCAGACAGAGAAAGCTATCGTATGAAGGCAAAATGAGCGACGACGTACTGATTGTCTATGGCAAGCTCTTCGGCTGATCGAGCTGCGTCGAGGCCTGCCTCGACACCGTTCGAATGATTCATTGTAGAGGAGAGAGCACGAGCTAATGACAACTCCAAACGGATCACATAATGATTGTTGCCGTGCTAAATTATACGTACCACAATAAGTATAGGTCGCAATGCAACATCTATCAGTGAGCGTTAACCTCAAACCAATAATCCATCTCAGGCTCGATATAATTCAGCTGTTGTAGATAGTGGAATCCCACTGATGTAGATAGGAATCTTAAGGGGTATTAGAGATCAGCGGGTAAGTTATGTAACGTAGACCTTAATGGGGTTCACCTTAAGAGCAGCGGATTCCCCGCCTCCCCCAAATGATCCAGGCTTGGCCTCATGTTCACAACCGACTCGAGATTTCTTCGGTCATTGCACGCCAAATCAAGAACGGCAACCGCTTTTTCGCAGACCTCTAGCGATGGATCATACAGCTATCCACGCTTTGCCTTTAACATGTGCGCTGAATCAATCCTGCCACAAGCGCTTACCTGAGTTACTAGCAACTGTATGCCCCAGTCTGAGAAATCCTCGACGCCTTTCTGAAGAATGTTCCGCAGATGACATGTGGAAGCGAGTCGTACATGCTGCATGGAATATGTTTAGAGTTGAAAACATAAAACTCGTACAATCCTGGACTGGGTGCCAACCTTGTATCCTGAAGTCATAACTTTCGAAAGCAAAACGCGCGCATGGTTATCCCTGTAAGATCAGATAATTAACCGGCAGCTAGAGAATGGCATCCGACTAGGTTTATTGTACCGGCTATAATCCATGCTCAACACCACGGCCTTCACTAAATCATCTCGACTGCGCAATTCTGTTAAGCGATAGTACAAACTGAAGATTCGGAACCGTTCCAATAGTCTTTTTGCGGGGTCAATAACAATGGAATTGCATTGCAATGAAGGACATCTTACCGTATTCCTTCAATGGACTGCGTGAATATTCCCAGCAAGGTAAAATAGTCTCCCGTCAGTGTTTTTTCCATTCTTTCCTTGGAAAATATTGGCTCACTCTGTTGACTGGTGTGTATCTATCGACCTATAAAAGATGTGTATCACATAGCCAAACACCTGCAAAAACATACTGGATCTAGCTGTCCTAGGCATTCCGCGATCTCCGGCAGTAGCCGATTCTCTGCCAGATACCGAACACCCTCTTGGGTAGCCAAAAGGGTTTTCATCAGCTCACACCCAATGCGGATATATTTGGCGCTTCCCTGTACTTCGAAGGTCAAGACTCGTTGCAAATGTCGACAAAGATATGACGTCATCACCTTGCTCTTTTTTATGTCTGAAAACTGATGATTTGTCGGCCGATAGAAGGATAGGAGCCGCTTAACCACTTTGGTATTTTTTATCGCTTCGTCCAAGCGCTTGGGATTGAGGAACGGGCCTTGAATTAACTCCATAATAACGTCCCAGGTCCACTTGGTGTAGTCCTTTGATCCCAAAACTTTCTTCAAGGCATGGTGAATACAAATGTACCTCTAAATGGACAATCAATGCCTGCCCTTCTACCTCAAGCTCGCTCAACATATTCCGGAAGTGTATGTCATCAATCTGAATGCCCATGCGGATCTTCACATTTTCCACTTGCCGTGATCGTCCGCTCCGCAAAGAGTAATTACTACGACGATTGAGCCACCGCCTACTGCAGCGAAAATGAGCAACTGACATTCGATATTAACAAGAGGACGTTCCGACCAACATACTTCGGGAAAGAGTCATCTAGGGCATGCGGAAACAACTTCTCTTTGCTTTTGTGAAGCCCATCGATGTACGTCAAAGCTAAAGTGCCTTGATGTCGCTTCACTTCATCATCGAAGTCTGAGGCAATACGGAAAAGAGCGGGAAGCGACTGCGCTCACAATGAGGGGTCACATCAAACGATAGTTACAAGGTGCTGAAATACCTGAATTCTGGTACCATACGCTGTCGGCAGCAGTCGATGGCATAGTTCAAGAATTTCGCCAACGAGAATGGTCACCCTTGTGGTGATGTATTTATTATCGTGCTGGAGCAGTTCGACCAACGCCTACAATAAGAAGGGATCCCTTAGTTGATCTCAGGACAAGGAGCCCACCCACGGCATCCATCACCTCCAACAAGCCAGCATCAATAAGAATCATCAGGACGAAGCTAAGATAGTGGTCCACCAGGTTCTTTCGGTCGACATACAACGGCACAGAGATAAGATTCTCTGGAAGCAAGTCCTCATGCATTGGGTAGAAGTGTCCTACAAAGAGAGGCAAGCTAAATGAGCGCTCTGTTGACGTCCTAACCTGATGGCGCAAGTTGCGACAATCTTACCAAATCGACTCCTTGCAGAGACAAAATCAGGGTACCATTTGGGCACATCTATTTGAAATATATCAAAAAGCATTTCCAGAAGGATTTTCTGCGAAGAGCACGCCGCGTGAGAAAACCATATTGTAGATGCTGAAAGTGAAATGGTTGCTGACCCTATTTTCATCGTAAGGTAAACGTAGAGACTCCACTATAGATCTGATAGCGCGCTTGTCATCGAGACATAAATATATGATGCCTGCCAAGTGTATGTCAGGCTTTGACTATCCAATGCTGCATATTAGGACCAACCTGTCCACGATTTGAATAGTAAAGTCACAGCCCTAGCGCAAGCTGCTAGTTTCTCCTCGTTCGCCGGACCGCGACTGTACGCATCCGTGAATTGTGATATTATCATCTGAAGAGGAGACCGTGAGTATGCAGTCCGGAAAGCGCAAATCCTTCAAATTGACGAAAAAGTACTATCAACCTCAAGCTCAACAGACGGCCTCATATAGCAGCGCGTTTCTTCTGAGTCCAACATATAAAGGACTGTTCGCACGAGCGATCCTGTCAGCTCGCGCGGACCTTCTAGCAAGGCGTTAAATATTACTTTGGTTCCTCCCGATAACGCCAATAAGCCCATATTCCGTATCGCTGCATTCAAAGTTCAGTCAACAGCAAAAGGACAAATAATCTTACAATGCTTCTTACCCAGTTCACACAAAGTTTCCACGCATATAGTTCGGAACTTGTCATCTGGTTGCTCAGAAACAGCCACTAACATGCGGATGAGACTCTGAGGGATAAGCTCCGAGCCACCAGGTACGTCCAAAAATGCACGAATCAGTTTGAGAGACTGTTCCCGCTCTACGTCGTATCGCTGATCGCGTGTAAGAGCTCTAGAGAAGGATAAGCTGGCTCTCAATGGGTGCTCGCTGCTTGTCGCTTGCAATGGGGCCCATACCTCATTACAAATACGTCTATGTGAGCGTCAACGATCGCTCCAAGCATAATAATATCAGTTGCTATGTGCCTTAAAACTCGAAATGCACTGGCACGCATGTCCTTTGACTGATGCACCAAGCAGGTTCGCAAGCTGGATGGAAATTTTAATATCAATTATCCCACATAATGCATGAATGTCAATTAAACCTTTTGACGATATTATCCGCCGAAGCGTACGCACAGAGATCGTCCACACTTCTGCTGATTTTGAGGAGGTTGTTCATGGCCTCCATTCTCACTGCTGGATGCTCGGTTTGGTTGCTGATGCGGGTCAAAAGGTCACTGACCATTTGCGTATTAACCCCTAACAGAACAATAAACATTCGGTCTAAAGTTGCTCCCCCGCCGTGTATTTTCCGCACCTCGCAATACGTTTCCATCTGATCGTCGATCCAGACTATGCGTGCTATCTGTCACACGCTGTCTTTGATCATTCGAGTGACTTCGTACCTGACGTAACAGAAAGCTATCTGGGTCATCCGCAAACCGTTGCGTTGAATACCGGGTCTGAACTACTGGAATCAAGTCAGCAGAAGTTCAACAGCCTAGTGGCTTCAGGTTGGTCCAAACCCACCAGGTGCGTCTTGAATACTTTTGTACATATCAAGCTGCTGCTGCAACGCTGCAATTTTCTTCTTTGTTGCCGCCAGTTGCAACTCCACTTGTTCCCGACTTATCGTCGCCCCTTTCTGCCCGCTTTCAGATACTTGCAACATTGTTTCTGCACCTATTGATAGTATGACAAATGTTATGTATAAACATCCAATTATTCCTTTTCCAGACTCATTTTCTACCCGTTTTCAACTTCAACTCTATGTTCAGTTGTTCCTGCAGCTTGGCCATCTGTCGGGAAAACAAAATTTAACTGCGAATTCGCGCGACCATACTGGGAAGGAATACTTCACCATATATGGCTTCTCAGCCCTCAGCTTCTCGAGCTCGGCAGCATCTGTTGGGAGCTCCATGCTATCCTTCGACGATGGGTCGTGACTGGTCGTTGGGCGACCTGAAGATGTTTGAGGGTGCTAGCTAGCTTTGAGGTGCAAGCTAGTTTCGAGACGCGCTCGATCACGTGCTCAATGATGACTCAGGCGAGGCAAGATCATGAACTGCACCAGCTCTCGTTCGTTCCCGGTTTACTCATCCTTGCCACCAAATTTGACGTCTAAAGGTACTGGCTGTTATACCTTAGTTCGTCTAGACCTGCGATTTCAGCCTGGAAACGAGAACTGGACGCTTCCTGTACTGAATATCCATATTCTAATCTATATCCGCTATTTCTGCATTCTCGAAATGTAGCTTAGATCTACGTCAGCACCTGCAGGAACCTGGATATTCCTAGCAAGTACTATAAAGGGCTTCGTTTGAGGTGCTCAGTAGAGTAAATTGGCTTGAATGGACGACAGCGAAAAGGCAAGTTAGACGCGCTGGTATCTCCGTTACACTCAAATAACCTTGTTCCGACATATAGATACGCCAAAAACGTTTGGCAAAACTTGCAGCGTCCGCATCATCGCCAACGGCTAGTAGTAGCACGGATACAAACGCTTCTCAAGAAGAACGAGGTTTCCTGCCTCAGCAGTCCGAACATGTGCCGATAAAGCTGGACAGAGGTCCAGAGGTGAACGCGGTGGGATCATCTCAGACGCTTCGATGCGAAACGTATGTACTTATTGCAGGTTAACGACCATGAAGGTTACAACGCCACCAAAGAAGTCTCCTACATCTCCTGCAGCGTCACGTTTGCGTATCGTGGAAAGTTTCCTGCAGCAAGCTGATGATGATTGGCAGAATGAGGCTTTTGAACAGATTTTTGAATGCACTCTTAATGTGAGTGTCATATGCAAACGATCTATCTATATATGGATACGTGCTGAAGCGCGCAGCAGCCGGACGAAAGAAAGGTCCTTACCGCCCTCCCCGACCTGGTGGAGGAATTCAATGCCGAAAGCATTCCGTTGAAATTTACAACAGCGCAGCTAGAGCGTGTGTTGTATGCACGCCTTTCTCTTGAGCAAAATGCTTCAGCGAGCTCACCTCCTTTGTTCGATTACCTCGTCGAAACATGGAAGCGAATACAGCGCGTCAGAAGTCACATCAGCTCAGTTGTCGAGAAAGGCAGTTCCAATCCATCTGTAGGAGAGGTTGCGCGACGCCGCCTGGAATTTTTGGATACCGCTCAGAGACTGGTTGTTAGTTACAGTGGTCTGGTCATCAATCCGGAGATGGCAGGAAGTTTCCCTCAACCACCCAGGTACCGATACGTTGAGGGGATGACGTGTGTTCCGCACACGTGGGTTGTGCTAAACTAGAGAACAGCACTGCAGAGCTTGGACCTTCTTATATCGCGAAGAAGTTACTCCTGACCGCAGACGAAGTAGAAAGCGCTCTTCCCCGAGCCTTTTTGGAGGATTTTGTCAATCATTTCAGCGGAGAAGGTCTAGATGAGGTTAATGAGAATTAGTTCGCAGGGATGCGAGTCATTTTTTAATCATAAGTTATGGCAGATGATGGGCTACGTGGTTACGAGTTTAGCGGCGAATATGCGGGAACAGAGCCTGATCAAGGATTACCAAGCGCCGTTGCGTGTAAGCGTTTAAGTGATTGATTGCTGGTACAATTAAATATTAATTTCCGCTTGCAGGCTCTGGGGATGCTAGTCTCATTCAAGCCAATCGCCGCTGTGGTGAGTGATGCACGTCACCGTACATATTGGGATCATGTGCATATTTGACCGTGGTTCATACCCAGGTGCCCATGCTAAAGAATTGGAACCCTGAGACGACAGCAAAGACCATTGAAATACTGACAATTCTGGGGCCCTTCTTAAGTAAAATTAGCAGCTTTCCTGACGCGGACCCCGCACTGGCGGATCACTATTTCGGTAGTTCAAACGCTTTTGCGGAGGGTGGTGCTAGTTTGGACGGATTTTATATTGGGTCACGAAATCCAGGGGACGTCAGATCTTCTATGGAATCGTTGCGAAACATCACTGCTCTTGCACAAGTGAGTGGATGAGCGAGATATTTTTAAAGACATTCTTTGCAAATTCTGATCCACTCCTCACAGTCCAATCTGTACAACATTACCATGAACATTATCAAAGCTGGGCCGGATTCAAGAGAGAGGGTGCTGCAATATCTCTCCAGTGCGATTGCGGTCAATAAGCGACGGGGCCGCATGCAGGTGCGTCTCATAAGTCAAGTATTGCCAACTATGTTTTTACCGGAAATTATCAGGTTAATATGCGCGATGTTTCTACGGATGGCTTCATGTACAACCTGTTGCAAGTTGCATTGAAGCTTTCTGATCCAATTATTGATGCCAAATACTCGAAGCTGCATCTCATAGACCCTGATTATTTTAATCATTCAAAACGTTTGGATGTAACGGAAGATACACGGATAAATGCCGATAAAGAAACCTGTGAACGATACGTTAAGCAGTGGCATGAGACTCACCCCAACCCTGAGCCGACGAATTTCGTGTCGGACATCTTCTACTTAACTCTGGGACTGCATCACTACGGATTGATGAGTATAATCCGACAATATACAACGCTGATCAAACAGACGCAAGAGCTAGCGAAACATGTAGAAAAAATGAAAGCGGAGCGAGACAGCGGGGCGTGGCCAGGACCAGCGCGAATGTTGAATGAAGAGATGTTGAAGCGATTCCAGGTACTATGCAATCGTTGAATCACTCGGCAGCCTTTCAGATAGGTTGATACCAGTCATCCCATAGAAACAATTGGATAAACTCATCGGGTACAAGCTTGCGATGGACACGGCCCTGAGGAATCGTGTGGCTATTGAGCACTCGTTGCGCTTTTATGACCTCGTAATGATGTGGCTCCTCCGCTCCACGGTCATTGGGAGCCCTCAAGTGCACTATCCGTTAACAACCAAAGCTGGTGACTCTGTCGACTGGGGTCGGGTAGCTAGAGGAGATCTCATGGGGTAGGCAAATATTGACTTATTGAACAGCGTGTCGAGACCTCAAATGTTTGTTATGGTAGATTACCTCTGCTTGGGCTGTCCGGCGATGCTCCGCTGAGCTTTGGCACGCTTCCAGAATGGATCATTGAAGACATATGCGAATTTTATCTTTTTATTGTCCGGTAAGAGCGTGACAGCTTATCGCTTTTAGGACAGGAACTTACGTACGACGTAGATATGACGCACCTATTTTTGAGCGCAATCCAAGGGACGAGTTTCTCACATTCACAATGATCTTCCTTGCGAACCCGCAGCTTATCAAAAATCCTCACTTGAAAAGCAAATTCGTAGAGGTGACTTTGAAGTTGCTGTGAGCATTTTTGGATGGTGCACCGCTAATTTTTGCATCTCTCGTAGATCCTTTTCACCTTCACATGGCCTCTTTGGCGTACAGAGTCTGGTCAAACTGGGGGCAAGTTGGATGACGTATTTTCAACTCACCCCTTGGCGAAAGAGCTGCTGGTACCCAATTTAATGAGGTTTTATGTAGGTGGGTGACAATCAATCATAATGGTTATTGCCCGCTTTAGGTTTCTCAGCTTCCCTTAAAATCTTAGACGTCGAGCATACTGGAGTATCTAGTCAGTTTTATGACAAATTCAATATCCGGTACAACATATCCCAGATCTTGAAGTCTGTATGGGCCGACGCTGGGCATCGTAGTAAAATGGTGTCTCAAAGCCGGTAAGTCTGCAGTTTTACTATGTTGATCCTGCTGCCACGGATATCCGCCCTAATCGAATTGAACATCAGGAATACAGAATTTTTCGTGCGATTTGTCGCGTTGTTGATGAATGACACGACCTATCTCTTAGATGAATCGCTCTCTAAGCTAAAGCAGATTCAACAGCTACAGATAGAATTGGCTGATCCGCTGTCGGTATGTACTAGTGGCACCACATATGAGCACTGGACACCGTCTAAAGAACCACGGGAATGCAGCCCGCTGCATCTAGAGAAGACCTGCAACGACGGGAAGAGCGATCTGGCTTTTTGCGTCAGTTGGAAGGGCAAGCTCATTCATACATGTCATTGGGGAATGAGACGGTGCACATGCTGCAGTATATGACGGCCAATTCTGAGATTGTCCAGCCCTTCATGGAACCAGAGATCGTTGAGAGGCTAGCGGCCATGTTGGATTTCAATCTAGCCGCGTTAGTGGGGCCTCGATGCACAGAACTCAAGGTGAAGCATTGCTGTATGATTGTTTTCTACTATGTGGCGCTGAAAATGCTGTTGCATCAGGTCAAAAACCCGGAGAAATATCGCTTCGAGCCCAAGCGGCTGCTAAGAGAACTCGTGGATATCTATCTTCATCTTGCTCATCGACAGGAATTTATCAGCGCGGTAGCTAAGGATGAACGTTCATATCGTAAGGATCTGTTCTCTCGGGCGGCGGGAATTCTACTAAAAAATATGCTCAAGAACGAGGTGAGTTTTTTGTTGTAAGGACGGAGTGCAATGAATGATCGGCTCAATACGAAATGTTGTGCAATTTCGGACGAAGAGCGAACTTAGCAAGTTGCAACAGTTCATTGACCGTGTGGAAGCAACGATTCAAAGCTCTCAGGCGGAAGAAGAGGAATTGGGTGACGTCCCGGAAGAATTTCTCGGTAATCCTTAAGCACACTTACCGCGTACCTGAAGATGCTTACTCACCTGCCCGCATTTTGTCGTACAGACCCCTTGTTGTATACACTTATGGAAGATCCTGTGATTCTCCCTGGAAGTGGAATATCAATTGACAGGTCCACCATCAAGTCACATCTGCTCTCCGATGCACATGATCCCGTAAGTTTGAAGCGAGTTATACTGGTCGTCCTCGGTGGTCCTGATCAACTCGACCACAGTTCAATCGACAGCCGTTGAGCATCGAGCAGGTCATACCCAGTAAGTGCCATGCAGATGCGGTACGCCGCAGTGATCTGACATATTATTATTTACTCCATCTGCTACAAGACGATGAGCTAAAAATGAGGATACAAGAATGGAAGGGAGAACGGAGACGTGACGTGGGCAGAGTACAGCCAATGGATACGAGCTAGAGGGTGGCGTTGAAGCCATCCTTTGTTACAACATTCTTATGTAGTTTTGGGCTTTCATATGTTCTTGCATTGAAATCCATTATGTTTGTTTCACAGCAGCATTGGACAGGCTCGATGCTGGTAGCACAACTCCACTTGCCTCGCCGAATCCTATTTTAACACGTTTCCCACTATGCTCACTTATACAATACCCGCGCAGAATAATCTCATCTCCGTCTTCAATGAACGTCCGACCCTCGATCCCTTCAATATCCTCAAGAGGGATGGCGCCGTTTTTTGTGATCTCCAGTAGAGAACCCAGTGAGTCCGATGTCTGAAACAAATAGGTATTTAGCCTAGAGATGAGGAGCCTGCAGACTGCCAAGATGTACTTACCGGACCACTGATTGTCCCGCTCCCACAAAGGTCGCCAGGTCGCATGTTACAGCCATTTACAGTGTGATGCGCAAGCATCTGCTTGAATGACCAGTACATGTATTTCAAGTTTGAGCGGGAAAGTATCCGTGCGTCGGGAATATCGGCCGCTAAACGCTGAGTTCAGTATCTTATCCAAAAATCGCATAGTTATTGCGCATACGTTTCAGAAGGACTTCGAGATTTATATCATATGCATCACTCGGACCCCCACGCAAATATGCAGCAGGAGTTGGATTCTGGTCACGATCCAAGTCAAAGTTACCGTCAACATGGAAAAATCTATCAGAATGAGGGAATGCATCCAATTTACCTGTTCCGGTTGCTGAGTGCGAAATGGTTCAAGTGCATCCAGCGTCACTATCCAAGGCGATATGGTTGTCCCAAAGTTCTGTACAAGGCATGAGATTTCGATCCACAGCACCAGATCAACGGAGAAACCTTCACCTTGCCCAGAAACGGTCCTAATGGTACGTACTCGTATTGCTGAATATCGCGTGCTTCAGGGTGCAAGGAAAAGGCGGATAAGTCGTCTCAAATAGTACGATAAGCATTGCCTGAAGATCCACGCCCTACCACTCCAATCGTTCATTAGCACAAGTCCAAAAATATGATCCTCAGACGCCGTTATATCAATAGGATTTCCTAATGAATTCCCGACGCCCACAAAACATGCCTAATCAAGCAAGTTCAATCAATAGGCTCATGTTCGTAGCTCGTTTCCCAACAGTTGAGATATCATTACCACTTCCAGTTCGAAGTCCAGCTTTTTCGAGACAGAGAACTCTGGAACCTTAGTAAGTGCATTCTGCACCAACCCGGACGGACGCTTGATTGGTGTTCCAGTGATCAACACCGATGAAGAACGACCGTGATAGCCAACGGGCAAGTGGACCCTATCATGTGCAACGGGTCAAAATGCGACGGCCAGTCCTCTTTGAATCGGCGACGCGTACCAATTCGGCATGAGAGCGTTATCCTTCCCCCGAAACATTGAGCCCACATTCATGGCATGCTCCTTCGAAGCGTAAAAATCTGTATAGTCTCCGATAGTGGCTGGAAGATGATACTGGACGTTGCTGAGAGGGATCAGCGCTTGGTCGCGCAAGGTCGAGGACTCTCGAAGGTACGGCAAGCCATTGTTGCTCAATAAGCTCTGTAGGGTTTGGCGCGCTTCCACCCAAGAGTTTCGGCCAAGCTCCATGAACGCATTCAGAGTGGGCTGGCCAAAGACCCTTTTGGCCACCCTGTTGCACAGATATTTACAGTCATCAAATACCCCCGCATTTGCAAGTGCCCGCAGGTCCACCGCATATGGACCAATAGCAGTGGCTGGCCGAGGAGAGTCCTGGTGTTTACATGGAAATGTTAAGTACAAAAAGGCCATCATGCCCATAATACATGTCGTACATTGTCCTTTGTGGATATGATTCCAAACGGAATGTTCTCTAGTGGAAAGTCAGAGTCTTCATCCACCTGTATGTAAGACATGGTTCGCATTTATGGAAACCACTGAACGCAGGATATGACGAGAAGGGCGGGGGGTCATGGAGGCAGACCAAAAAGCCAACTCGCAAGTCGCCGCGCATGTCTCCCACGGACGACTTGTGTTGTACCCCATTCCATTCGCCACAAGTTGTATTTCGATACCACACTGCAACCCACATTGCAACCACACAGACTATCCAGTGCATTTCGATTGAATTAGTGCATACAAATCTACAAGCGGAATTATGGTTAATGCATCTTCATTTCATCGTCTATTGGCAATAGGAAATATCAAGGGTACAAGTGGGATAAAGTGGGGATACAATGAGAGTAACTGCAGAATGTTCCAATCATCAGATGGCGGCAAGTGCAATATCAATTCATTCGTGGCTACAGTACAAGTGGATTATTGTTTATCTTCATGATGACAATGTCACAATAAATGTGGTTATTTCAATAGGTCGCAAGGTACAGTACAGTACGTACCTGGCACAGATGACATACCTACTTTCCCACGCACTGGATACGCTAATGGAGTCCACATATGATTCTATGGCCAACCGTTTGGTAGAGAAGTTGAAAAGGTAAACCAGAAGACATTTACCATTATCCAATGCCCACGTCCCAATTGGGGATCGTTCTAATATGGACTGCCAGTCTCCCGAGAGATGCCCGTATAATTATTGCAATCGCTGGTACCGCCCGTATCTGCGACCTTGTCCAATTAACCATTTCTCATAATGTGAAAAAGGTATTCCTGGCTCGGGTAAGTCAACACTTTCGCAGCAAGTTATTCAACGCGTGAACTTGCGAATGAAGGCCGATGTTGGTCGGGTGTTGCCGATGGATGGTTTCCACCTGTACAAATCTGAGCTAGACAAGATGGAGGTTCGTAGCGCCATTGAAATTATGAGCAGAATACCAGAGTCTTTAGCTCCTAATTGGCACAGAACCCCTCGATGGCACACGCTCGCAGGGGAGCACACTTCACTTTCAACCCCAACAAACTCTTGTTGCTGGTCCGGACCTTACGAGAGCGCCCACATGACATTGTAATGGCTCCGTCCTTTGACCATGGTGATTGCCCGACATTTTACGGCATTATTTTCTTTTCTTATGACTGGTTGCAATGCATCAGCGATTGGAGATCCAGTGGAGAACGACGTTGATATTGGTCCTCAGTTAGTATGCAGCGCATTAATTTTGAAGATTTTAATCTCTCACTGAGATGCCTCAGGCATCGTATCATTCTTTTGGAAGGGTTATATCTTCATACGGCGACGCCGCCGTGGTCGGACATCTATGCATTGTGTGACGAACGATGGTTTATCCAGATTCCCCTCGAGTTTGCCCGTGACCGGATTGGCAAGAGACACGTCGCCACTGGGCTAGGTGAGTTTCCTGGACCTTAGTGACAACGGTGTCACAGGAATGGGAGCTAAATAAGTCAATCGGCACATGGCCTTCCGGACAGCACCGACTCTCGAGATGGCGTGGCTTCGATGGGACGAAAACGATCGGCTGAATGGCGAGTACGTTTTGAGAACACGATTGCCAGCCACATTTGAAATTATGTCGATATGTACATGAATCTTCTCTTTGCTACGCTATTCTCCATCCTTTGCTGCTATCCCATTGAAGTATGGATCTAGTTGTGGGCTCATTAACAGATTTACCAAGCAATCGACTTTTGGAGACATGAACTTACGCTGCAAAGCTCTCTCCGCACTGATGCGCTTTTCTGGTTGATATTCAATCAATTTTGAAAGGAGATCTAGACCGTGAGCATCTAGTTTACTTGATATAGATTCTAGAGATGCTCGGGGGTAGATGGGGAAGTCCGGCTAAGAAGTTATGTAGGTTTAGATGCACGCACAAGAGTATGAAGTCACAGTCCTTCTCGACACCTTGTAATCCGGCAATTCCTTCACTTTCGGCCAGCTCTAAGTAAATGATAAGTTAGCTATATCACCTCACCTCAACATGTCACTATCATGACCAGTACTTTTTCATCAGGGGTTCCCAGGAGTTTAAAAATACGCAGTAATTGATCCTTGATCGAGCTCCCTGGAAATAGTGGGCGGCCTGACCATGCCGCAGAATCAACCAGACATCTCGCAAAAGACTTGTCCAAATTCCCACTTCGCACCCACCTGAAGCCATTTCTATGTGAAAGCAACGTAAGAGCGTCCATTAGGATGTAAAGTGAGTAGGGGGGTGAACTAACGATCTTACCGGCCATGATGCATCCGGCCGACCATAAATCTATTGACGTTGAATATTGACGAGAACCCATGAGGACGTCCGGAGCTCTGTACCAGAGTGTTACCACCTGCAAGGGATTCGCCCGCCTCAGTTAATCGAGAACCCCCTCCTGCACTGCCTTCTCTGACACACACCTCATGCGAGTAACTTCGAACTAGCAAGGATGCCTAAAATGTGAGGACTGCTCATCTACCAAAAGTAGCGCATTCTATATATACCTGGAATTCCGAAAGCTCTGGCTAGGCCAAAGTCAGCCAACTTCAGTTCCAATTTTTTATTGATCAGAAGGTTTCTATGTGAATCCAATCTTAGCAATTCGCGCACGAGAGTAGTCACCACGTCAACCCACTGTGGCTTGAGATCCCTATGCAATACCCGATGCTCGTGACAGAATGCGATTCCCTTCAACAGCTGGTACAGCAGATGCTGCAACCTCGATATGAGATAAAGTTCCGAAGGCGCAAACGTGTAGAAAACTTAACTTACTTTCAATGTTGGCACATCGATATCACCACCGTAAGCGTCCAAAAACTTCTTCAAGTCGGAATCGAGATATTCAAACACCAGGGTCAGCTTCTTTTCCGTATGTATTACATCATATAGGCTGCTAGCAAGTTATTTCTGTGCGTAGCTGGTGCAAAAAATTCAACTTGTCACTTACCGGACGATATTCGAATGTTTAAGTTCTTTCAATAATGATATTTCTCTTATCGCTGAAAGGCGGGAGTAAGGGGAAGCCGAGCGCCATACATCAAAAACACTGAATAGTACCAGTACATGGCACACCCTAATTCCCAATAAATACGGAGGGGAGAATCAGAGCCGCCCCAGATTCGGGAACGAAACGATCAGAGATCATTTCCACCTACCTCTTCTTCATTATCGAGACGGATCTACTAGTGGATATACAAAGTCAGAAAGCTCTCAGTTTCCACTTGAACTAATCATATTCCTTGACGTACCCTCTTCAAAGCTACTATATCCCCCGTATCTTTATTCTGGGCTTTGTAGACAATACCATACGTCCCTGTATAGACAGGTTTGCAACCGATTGCATGCAATAACAGGCAAAATAGTCACTCTCACCCTCTCCCAATTTTTCTATTTTCTTTCGAGCAAAACAGACATGCCTAATGTCAGTTCAATGGGCGAGCAAGGTGCGATATTGCACCTACTTGATATTTCTCCATGTCCCAGCCGGCGTCCTGACACCAATGGGCGAGACGACCTTCACAATCACGCAGAATATGGCCGATGCATTCCAACCAAGGACACGTCCAAGCCACCACCCATCTTGGTATCAGTAGGTAAGCAGCGGGGCCAACTGGGGCACGATACAATACAGGGAGAGAGTACAGATCTCAGGCGGCATGAAGAGCAAGCAGCAACAGTCAGCAGTCGATACTTTTCGAACGGAGGTGGAAATATTTGAAGAGCGTCTGCGCCGTTTCAGATGCGATGTCGCACCGGGGTTGGAGGATGACGCTGTTCAGGCCAACTACCCTAGTAGACCCAATAAGGAATTTCAGTCCAGAGATGCCAAGAGATTCATCGTGCTAAAGTCATCCATGGATCCACTGAATCACATGAAAATGCTGTCGCGGACATTGCCGAGCATTGAGAACATGTGTAAGCAGAGCAATGAGTACCTGGAAAAGTTGCGGGTAAATACGACACGGATTCGCACAAAGATTGCCTTTGATTTGATTACCATCCCACAATAGCTCAGAAAAATTGAGGATGCCATATCCAAGCGCGAGCGGGATCAGCGCCGACGAAAGCGGACCTTGGAAGAGCATCAGGCCCAAGAAACATCTGATCTGGCTCAATTGGAAGAAATGGCTCTTTCAAAACTTTTGCGCCAATCCAAGCAAGAACGTCGGATAGCCGAGCAGTGGGTGCAGACTGGGAACTAAACTATAGAATTGGCCAAAGCCTAATTCTCATTTTAGGCTTATGCACGTACGCCATGAGCGGGAGGTAATGCAAGAGAACCGAATATTCAGGGAGCACCAGTATACAAACCGCCGCCAAGAAGACTACGAAAACTCTCTGGCTCGCGAGTATACCCTCTGCGAAAGAGCTAGGGAGGAGTACCGGATGCAAACAGCAATGCAATTGGCTCAACACCAAGAGATCTTGGCTGAAAAGGCAGCCGCGAACCATAACAAACGCTATAGGGTGTGTCTGGATATCGTTAAAGATATTGTTGATCTGTCAATGCGGGTAAGCAGTTAAGGATATATATCCGTCCTGATGATGATGTCCTCATTGCGTAATCCAGATATCCGAATACCGTACTTTAAATGACGGGAAAGACCTTCCCAGGAAGCTCGTCGACGAATGGAAGCTTCTGTTTGCCAGCGGTGCTTCTATGGACCAGCAGTATAATCCTGAGCTGACATCTGACGTTGTGGACTCAGCAATGTATGACCGTGACACTGTCGGGGACGGAGACAGATGCGAAGTGACGCGTGAAGGGCGGACGATAACCAACAGCATTAAACTGCTGGATGAGAAGGAATTCCACGACTACTTGTTAGGCAAAGGAGACTGGGGGTTCCCTGGTGACTCGTGCGTGTCATAATTTATTTGAAAATGCGCGCTCAAAGTAGCTAAAACTGATCATTTGCGAAGCCCTCTCGAGTTCTCTCCCAACGAACTGCTGGCAAAACTGGTTGACACTTTGCTGGATATGACGGCACCACCAGAACCTGTGCGTGAAGCCGTATTTCTTCCCCCGGTCCCACTAAAAATAGCCTTGATTGGCAAGCCCTTCGCTGGAAAAAAGACCCTGGCGAAGAAATTAGCGGCGAAATACTGTCTTTCCGTTCTTTCTGTGGATGAGTTGGTGCAAGATGCAATCAGGTGCGGTTTTCAGAGCGACATCCCCGCTTTGGCTCTGGGGTCATATCATTCACCTATGATTGTTCCTTAGGCACGCGGACATCACATATAAGCCTTCTGATGGGGAGAAACCTCGCAGTAAGGGGGCAACTAAAGCCCAGATAGGAGCTAAGATACAGATTAACATGCTAGAAGGAGGAAGCCCAGATGATGCCCTTCTGGTCTCGCTAGTTATCGAGGCGATCCGGAGAAACACGCATGAGGATAAACCATATCCATATGGAGGCTTTGTTCTGACAGATTTCCCAAGGACTCGCCATCAAGCGCAGCTTCTAGAAAGAGAACTCTCCGGGTAAACAGTGTTCGACACCCAGGTCTCCTCTACCTTCGCTGATTTCGCCTACGTAGGTACGAAGATCCAAAACCAGTAAAACTTGGTAACCTTAAGCGGACCCCTAAAGACAAGTCCAGACAACGCTCACAGATTGTACCCCTGGAAGGACAGCCCGAGAACAAGGCTGGCAATGTCACGAGTGGAATTGATATTGTGATTCTACTGGATGTAGAAAATGAGCTGGCATGTAAGCGTGCGGCTGGAAGACGGATTGACCCTTTAACTGGGGAGATGTACCACTTGGAAACCAACCCACCTCCGATTGATGACCCGGTAAGTAAATTTTTTGCCGGTATGAGCGTGCTAGGACCATGTTCTGATTCCCTCGTAGGGTCTACTGGAAAGATTGTGTCCTTTAAATGAAGATGAAAGTGAAAGCAATCAGATTCAATATCAAATTGCTGCATTTGAAGATCAGCAGGATCTACTGAAGGAGTGGTATGCTCGCTTCAGCAATTTGCAGGTAGTATGTCCATCACGAATGGAGGATGACGATGTTAAGCAGCGCCTCTGCATAGGGTGTAGATGGCAATATGACCTCGAGCGACGTCTGTACTACAGTTGATCAAATTATCCAAGAATTGATAGCACGGAAAGAAAAGTGCAAGGATCAAGCAGGGAAGGATACCATGGAGGGTGTAGAACGATTGCTGGAATCACCAATTCATGAGCGTAAGAGCGTTTGTTGGACGGATGCGCAAGTCTTCTCCTAATCAAATGGTGACCGCTATTGCAGTAGATAAGCCCTCGGATGACGGGGCGAGTACAAGTCGACAATTAGCAATACCTGTCGTTGACGAACGTGTGAATATTACACATCGAGCTCAAGCATCTCCTGTCGTCAACAGTACAGATATTAGACCTGTCTTGGGCAAGGTACAAGAAGACGATAGAAAGGGAAAAACTGCTTCTGGTCGGGCGAGAGGTACTAGTGGTAGTAGTAAAGGACAGGAAAAGGCCACTTCGAGGACAGCGAGCGCTGGAGCTGGTGTGGCTATAGAAGCTACCAATGGACTGAAAGGCCGAGGTAATGCCAGTGCAAAGGAGCGGGCCCAAATAGGTGCGTCCGCACTCCTCTGACGTATGTTCAACATCGCAATTGAATGGGTCCTTTCCTTCTGAGCTACCTCAGATGCCAAAGATATCAAACGAGATAAAGGCGCCAGTGCGTCTGCTGGGACAGGAGGTGAGAGACAGATCGCGAGCTCGATAGACCCAGGCGTAGCGGCAGGTTCGGTGGATTTGCCAGTCGAGTCGACCACACCCCTTTTGAATCGACCCCTCGCACCGGATGGCAAACGCTGGCCATCCCGAGATCTAGCAGAAGTACTTGCGGATCGTAAGAACGTGCACATGACTGGCTTTACTTTGGTGCTGCTAATCTCAAGGCCGTACCCCTCATAGAATGGGCAACTGTCGAAAATACTTACACCGACACTTTAAAATTTGCCTTCCGCTCCCTGAGAAGGGAGAAGGAGGCCATTCTGACCTACTTCCACGGAATCAAAGTAAATTTCAAAAGATTCTTGGAGAGACCTGACCAGAAGCAACATCTGATCGAGCTGTTTCAACATGAATTTAATAACGTGGAAGACGATTTGCGGTTTGTCTTTGCTGATTTATTCATTCTGGTGCAGATCTTTAATTTATGATTCTAGATCGGACGCTGATGCCAAGGCAGAGCTTCATCAAAGGGCGGAAGATTTGCGTGAAAGGTTGTGGGAGATGTCCGATAAGCGGAAAGAAGAGGCAGAAACAGAGCGGATGTCAATCATTGAAGACAAATGGGTGGAAGATCACTTCATAATTATGGCGAACGTTTACATTACAATGATGCAGGTGGAGGTTGACCGGCACCTTGGGACAAAGCATCTGATTGCCGACTATTTCCGAGATGCTCAGGGCACCGTAAGTAGCAGGTCCTTCTGCGATAGTATTTGCAAGAATCATGATCCTGAGCCTCTCAAAGGTCGTCCCAGATAATATTCGTTCACATGTCAAAATTCCGTTGATCAGTACTAGTGCGTCAGCGAGCCTTGATATTGGTTCCTTGTTTGTGAATACTTCAGCAGATAGTATGCAGAAACTACACAAGCGCGATATTGGGGGAAGTGCGGAGCAAACACGACTGACTGTGCCGTCCAGCACAAGGGCCGGTGGGAAGTCCGGAGCTGTAAATTCCAGCGGGACGAGTGGTGGTTTAAATGCAGGTGGTGGGAAAAAGCCTCCAGCTGTTGCTCGCATGGCCTCGGTTATGGAGATTCCTCGGCATACCGCAGGAGCAGGAGGTGACAAAGACCAGCCTACTGGGGAGAACGAGCATGCTATGTTCAGCGACATCCAAGCCGCATATGATACTGCCTTAAGCGTTCTTGTGAGCCATGAGGAAACTCCATCACCAGAAAAAGAGAAGAAAGATAAGAAAAAGCCTAGTCAAATCGAGCCTGTGGAGCAAAAAGGTAAGGTGAGGTGCGTGAAATAGTGTCTTCACACTGGTTGAAACTTTTGCACATTCATGTTAGCGGAAGCAGAGGTTGAGTTGCCTGTCGACTATCACAAAATAGTGGAACGTGAGGACCACGCCCTGCGACGAAAAATTGACCGACTGAAGCAGCACGCCATGGACAGCCTTAGGGTGCGTGAATCTCTTCCCTGACGCACTACCACGTATTGACATATCATAGGAGCTCCGAAACAAGGCGATTGACGTTTATACGTCGTTGGATGACTGGATTGGGGCACGCTTCGCTGCCGAAATGGATGCTATACGAGAAATGTTAAATGTGATCAAAGAAGCGGTCGAAGCAGAGTCGAAGCTCCCAAACCTCTTGATTCTGCAAGGCGAAAGATTCAAAGTGGACTTCCAGGTTTTGACCTATGAGCCAGAACCGGAACCAAGGCCACCGAGTCCCCTGGAAAAGCCTCGTAGGTCCCACCTATACCTTGATTTTATCCTGTGTTTGTGACTGAGATTTCCTCAATAGTACCGGATCAGTTCACAGTTTCTCAGCTAGTCAATCTTTGTCGACAATTTCGAAATATTGCACCTTCCGGATATATTAGTTGCAAGGAATTCCTCGACTATTTCCAGAAAATGGCCAGCGTGTCTTCGGGTACTGAGCAACTTCCGGAGCATTACAGCGCGGCGGAACCCGCGCAGTTGCAACAGGTTGAAACGGCGTTAGCATCCTATCGTATCGCATTACTGACATGTAGTCTCCAAGCTATGTCTATCTTTGGATCCGTACGAAACGGGGTTCATATCTTGGAGAAAATTTCTCATCATCAACTCACGAATATTGCCCGTGCCAAGTATCGACCAACTCATGTATTTGAAGAACTCCTACAAGGATCAGAGTGTCAACTCGGATGGATGGAAGGTTTGGAATTCGCATATCTCGAATCAGCCCAATCCACCATTACTGACTCTGACTCATAGATAAACCGGTCAGACTACATGGGAATTCCACTCTGGTTTGAGGATGAGGTGGATGATTCCGCGCTCCAGGACGACTTCATTGCGAAATTTAATAGACGTACCAAGCTGAAGGAGGCATTGTTCCGTAAGTGCCGAGAGCTATGCAAACATTTTTTACATCTTGATCCTAGCTGTAATCTTTCGATCTCTTTTCAATGATATAAAGATTTCTTCGAGGCGCCAGAGGATGATCTGCGCGAGAATCTCTTTGATGCCTTCCATTTCCTGATGTCTTCTTGCCTGGACATATCTGCGAAGAATGGTCTCCAGAAAGCATTTGCTGTAATGAGTGACCAAGAGGACGGAGCTTGCTCACTTCCCCAGGTGTATGAGGTAGGCCAGATTGATGTTCATCCGAGTTCATATACGGGGATCTCACCATCCCTCCTTCATTCAAGATCCTTCATTTCGGCACGACGCTGTTAGGTGAAACACATCGTCTCGGCGAACAGAATATTCATGATCCGTTTCCAAAGGTGAATTGACTGAGAAGGTTGTTGGATCAATGTTTTTGGCCCGCAACAGGAGTAACCCCCCTGCCATCCTACAGGAGCTTTTACAACGCATATTTGACGAAGCAGGAGTAGGTCCAGAAGGAGTAATCACCTTTGATGCTCTCACAGCTGTAACAGAATCCCAATCTGCACTTCAGTCATGCGTGCTTTACCAGCTAGAGGTATGTGAGTAATAGCCACCACTACATATGTGCATTCTATCTCAATTTGCATGAGTAGGACTCAAGTTTGTTTGGAATAAAATCCCGTCCATCATCAGCAATTGACTCAAAGGCCTTCTGACAAAGTTGCTGTTAGTAGTGCCAGCAGACAAATGTAAAAAAATATAAGGCACATAGCTAGGGATACTAGTTACACCTAATTGATAATAATACAAACTGGTGACATACACTCCAGAGGGATAACAACCCCAAATAAAAACAATATACCTGTGCTGTGTGTAATTGATTTATGACTGCCCCATAGTGGTAACAGGTCTTACTGAATTGGAGGGAGGGTTACAGAACCTGAAACAAAGGTTTCAAAACTAGGGCAAGAGGCAAAGTGTACTGATTTGGCTTAAATGGACCAGTATCTGATAGTATATATATAGGTAATCAGTCTATAGGTGGATGCAGCTGGGTTCCTATTATCTAGAAAGGGAAATGCTAACTTTGGATAGTATACTGTTTGGAGTCTCACCTGCTATTCTTGCAAGGTTTTTCTGTAAATATTTTTAGTTTATGCCACAATTCTGCTACCTAAAGGACTGTCTTTGTTTTCCTGTTTTCAGTAGTACTGTACCAGACTTTTCTTTTCTGGCAAATATTTTACTTAGTATAGTATATATAATATATATAGCTAATATTATTTTTTAGCCAGTGGGATACCTGTACTATAACTTACTGGAGTCACCTACTAAACTGCAATTATCAGGTGTAGTATGGTCTGATTCACACCTCTCAAAGCCAAGTTCTTTGAGTTGGCCATCAATCCTTTGCTCCAGGCTCCTGGAGGTTCCATTAACCCAGACAAGCTCTTCCTTAGCTTGCAGTATTTGCTTTATAAAGTCTTCTGGTTGCTCCATTTAGATGTCCTCCTCAATGGTCCCATTCAGAAATGCTGTTTTCATGTCATTTCCACAGCCTTCATAGCTACCAGTCTGAGAACTATCCTGATGCTGCCAAATGTGATTACTGGAGTAAATGTCTCCATATTGTGCAATGCTTCAACTTGGGAGTACCCTTTAGCTACCACCACTGTAGCAATAGGCAGGAGGGACAAAATGACTAGGAAAACTTGGGAAAAAACTTGGTTATTCTATTGGGGAGGGGGGGACACTCCATTTTTATAAACAAAAATGTCAACTTTTGATTTAGCTCTAACCAATGAAAAGACTTCTATACTACTGACTCATAATGTACAGTATGTGCACATTTTCATCCATCCCCTTATGACTGCACATGATGATTTCTCTCATTTAATATAGTTAATATATGGTCACTGACTATATCCTCCTTATCTTTGCAGCAATAATTTTTTTCTGTTGCTCAGTGAGCAGAATTTGTTTCAGACATGTGTCCTGACTTAGATTTTGTTTTCAGGAGCATGTCTTGCCTCTTTTAGTTGAAATTGTTGAGATTCAGGCTTAAACCATGCTGTATGATCTATAAATCATGTGAGATCATGCTGGGATGTCATTAGACAGTTCACATCTGATCTGGCTAAGTTACAACGTAGGGAATTGGACTTAGAGTAATCAGAATGATCACAGATGCGCGTGGGAATGATTTAAAGGGGTAAATCATCATGTAAGCACTCTTAGAAGGTCTGGAAGGTTTGTGACGATCTAGATCTTCATGTAATGTTTGCCAAGGCATGGCTGAAGCTGCTGAGCACTGCTGAGCACGGCTGAGCATGTAAACAAGTGGGCTGAAGCATGTAAACAGTAAACAAAGGTGGAGGGAGGCTGGAGAATGTACTGGGTTATATAAAGGGGACTTTTGAACGTCTCTGGATTAATACAAGTGTGTTATCCCACAAGTTACTGCACCCAGAAGCCTTACTAGCGGCCACAGGCATTACTAGGCCTTTCAGAAGTGATTTCTACATGGGAAATCAGTGTTCCAAGCGCTAAGTTTCAATAGGTTATGAGCCCTGATAGCTATCACTGATATTTTCCTGCTTCAAATCTCTTTTCTGATGGCCACACCACCTTCCTGATGGACCTATCTTCTTCCCAACCTCATATTTGGACCACCTACCATACCAGGATGATTTCACCTCTTCCCCAACAACAAATCCACTCACCAAATCAGCTCAGACATGTCAAACACGGACTTGGACACCAAACTCACGATGGAAAAGTTCAATGGTGTGAACTACCACCTCTGGAAGTTCAAAATGATGATGTTGCTGAAGGAAAAGGGGCTGTGGGGTGTGATTGAGGGGGATCAGAGCATGGAGGGAACCTCTGAGAAGGATTGGAGGAGAAGGGATGAGCGGGCATTGGCTGTCATTGCCTTGTCACTGAGTGATGCCCAACTCATGCATGTACAGACCGCTGTAACTGCAAAAGAGGCCTGGTTAAAGCTCAGTGATGTCCACCAAAGGAAGGGGATCGCCAGTAGGCTCTATCTGAGGAGGAAATTTCTCACTGTGAAGATGGAAGATGGTGCTGGGGGCATGTTGGGACATATAAACATGGTCAGGACAATGGCTCAGCAGTTGGAGGCCATTGGGGTGCCAGTCAGTGAAGAAGACCAAGTCATCACCCTACTCTACAGCCTACCAGAGAGTTATGAACAGCTGGTGGTGTCTTTGGAGGCCAGGAGTGATTCTCTGACACTGGAATTCCTCACATCACGGCTTTTGCATGAAGAAACACGCAGGAAGGAAGCTGGGAGTGAAGGCGATAGCAAAGGGAAGGCCTTTTTTATCAGGGATGGCAGGCAGAAGGTTGGCAAGCATGGTGGGACCAAGAAGATAGCAGGGAAGTGCTTCTATTGCAACAAGAAGGGTCACTTCAAGAAGGACTGCAGGAAGTTTCTGGCGGACACCAAACAACAAGCCAATCATGCCAGCACCAGTCAGGCAACTCAGAATGAGTTCCTATTCTTTGCTCAGTTGGGAGATGACACCAAAACCTCTCAGGGAGCAGTCTGGTGGATTGTGGACTCGGGTGCTTCACAGCACATGTCACACAGGAAGGATTGGATGACCAATTACACGGAAATGTCACCAATTCAAGTCCATCTGGTGGACAACAGAACAGTTCAGGCAATAGGGAAGGGCCAGATCACACTTGAGACAGGCAGAAACCGATTCTGTACCCTCAGAGACGTGTGGTTTGTTCCCAAGCTTGAAAAGAACTTGTTTTCAGTAAGAAGAGCCACTGAAAACGGTGCCAAAGTTGAGTTTGGCAGCAAGGGATGCTGTATCAAGACTTCAGACGGTCAGGAAGCAATCCAGGGAACTCTAGGTGGCGGTCTATACATGTTTCATGCAAGAGAACATGCAAACATAGCCTCTGGAATGAGTTTGGACCTCTGGCATCACTGGTTAGGACACCTGAACGTCAACAGCATCAAAATCTTGGCTAGGAACCAGCTGGGAAGCGGTCTGGAGGTCAAGAGTCAAACAGAAACATCACCATGTGAAGCCTGTGCCATTGGAAAGATCACCAGGCGTCCCTTTCCAAAGGGAGAAGCAGCTAGAGTGGCTCTACTGCTGGGGGTGGTTCACAGTGATGTGTGTGGGCCCATGAAGACACCAAGTCATGGTGGGGCAAAGTACTTTGTCACATTCATTGATGACAAGTCAAGGATGACGGCAGTTTATCTTCTGAAGGAGAAGAGTGAGGTTCTCAGCAAATTCAAGGAGTTTGAGGCCTGGGCAACCAACTTCACGGGGCAGAAGATCAAAACTCTCAGATCAGACAATGGGGGAGAGTATGTGGGCGAAGAATTCAAGAAATTCTGCAAGCAGAAGGGAATTCAGCAGCAATTCAGCACCCCCTACACACCAGAGCAGAATGGTGTTGCTGAGAGGATGAACAGAACGCTGGTGGAAATGGGAAGGTGCATGCTGCACCACAGTGGACTCAGCTACAAGTTCTGGGGCGAGGCAATCATGACAGCAGTCTATCTCAGGACCAGGAGCCCCACTGCAGCACTCAGCAACTAATCAACACCATTTCAAGAGTTTACAGGCGGTAAACCAGCTCTCCAGCATCTCAGAGTGTTTGGCTGCGTGGCCTACACTCATATTTCAAAAGAAAAGCAGTCAAAACTTGATGAGAAGGCCAAGAAGGCAGTCATGGTCGGCTACAGCACTCAGAGTAAGGCCTACAGATTGTGGGTGTTGAGATTCAGGCTTAAACCACGCTGTATGATCTATAAATCATGTGAGATCATGCTGGGATGTCATTAGACAGTTCACATCTGATCTGGCTAAGTTACAACGTAGGGAATTGGACTTAGAGTAATCAGAATGATCACAGATGCGCGTGGGAATGATTTAAAGGGGTAAATCATCATGTAAGCACTCTTAGAAGGTCTGGAAGGTTTGTGACGATCTAGATCTTCATGTAATGTTTGCCAAGGCATGGCTGAAGCTGCTGAGCACTGCTGAGCACGGCTGAGCATGTAAACAAGTGGGCTGAAGCATGTAAACAGTAAACAAAGGCAGAGGGAGGCTGGAGAATGTACTGGGTTATATAAAGGGGACTTTTGAACGTCTCTGGATTAATACAAGCATGTTATCCCACAAGTTACTGCACCCAGAAGTCTTACTAGCGGCCACAGGCATTACTAGGCCTTTCAGAAGTGATTTCTACATGGGAAATCAGTGTTCCAAGCGCTAAGTTTCAATAGGTTATGAGCCCTGATAGCTATCACTGATATTTTCCTGCTTCAAATCTCTTTTCTGACAGCCACACCATCTTCCTGACGGACCTATCTTCTTCCCAACCTCATATTTGGACCACCTACCATACCAGGATGATTTCACCTCTTCCCCAACAACAAATCCACTCACCAAATCAGCTCAGACATGTCAAACACGGACTTGGACACCAAACTCACGATGGAAAAGTTCAATGGTGTGAACTACCACCTCTGGAAGTTCAAAATGATGATGTTGCTGAAGGAAAAGGGGCTGTGGGGTGTGATTGAGGGGGATCAGAGCGTGGAGGGAACCTCTGAGAAGGATTGGAGGAGAAGGGATGAGCGGGCATTGGCTGTCATTGCCTTGTCACTGAGTGATGCCCAACTCATGCATGTACAGACCGCTGTAACTGCAAAAGAGGCCTGGTTAAAGCTCAGTGACGTCCACCAAAGGAAGGGAATTGCCAGTAGGCTCTATCTAAGGAGGAAATTTCTCACTCTGAAGATGGAAGATGGCACTGGGGGCATGTTGGGACACATAAACACAGTCAGGACAATGGCTCAGC